TATTCCCATGGCAATAACAATTTTCTCTAGTAGATGGAGTTAGTGAGACAAGCATCATTAGTCAAATTTACACTGTATGTTGAGTTATGATCTTTGCCATTTGTAGAGATGGTTCAGTAGTTCCTCAGCCTCCCTGTGGAGAATACAGGGTTTCACAATGGGGCTGCATACCAATCATTTCCATCTCTACAAGCTCCGGCATTTGATTGGTGCATTGTCTATGGTTCAGAGAATGCAAATGGTTCTGAGAATACCTTTCAACGTTCACACCTAGAAAAGGGCTGTAAATCCATGCTAAATCAAAATAATGCATTAATGTCACATATCTTATTGTTTGGTTTGGCACAAAACTGCCCATTCTAAAAACACATTTTAGTATTTTACAACGCAGTACAATTAAAGCCACAAAACATATTTTTTCATCACATCATTGCTAGCAATTTGTTGGCCATTAAATAGCTGTTCTACACAAGCTGTAAAATCATTATAAATATTGAGAAATACCTAGTATTAGTACCAGTCCAAACATTAAAAAAACAGGTGACTATTTACTTGCATTCTTCAAAACACAAGGATGCTTTTTTCCTTTGTGGTCTGAATAACAGTTAAAACAAACAGTTAGAACAAAAACTCTGACCACTTGCATTATTGTACACAAGAATTCTGCTATCTTCCAAGTATGCAAATCATATTGTGACATACTTAATGTCGGCATATAAAAGTTTACTAAAATACACTAGTAATGGTTACTGGTTACTAGAATTTGACATATCTGCACATTCTAGTACGAACATAAGGAGGGGAGAGCAGGGCACAGCCTAACACATTTTGATTTTTGCTAAATAATGTAAAATGAGCAACATTACAATGATTACTGAAATTGATTATTAAAATTGAATACTGAGCAAGATTAACTTTTATACAAGCAACCAGCATGTCTGCTACTAATGAAAACTCAAACTTTATTCCAAGCATCTACCGTCTGTGAACAATTCAGCCAAAAGTACTGTAAGTGCAAATGTTACAAGTGATGCTGTAGACTAGGTTGATAGTTACACTCTGAGGGTCTACCTGTAACAATTGCTTGAAATCAATGTGTTAAAACTAACCCTGTCCTGTGGAGGCTGAACTTTATCCTGGCTGTCTACCACTGTCATCCTGGTTTATGCTTTAAAACACTGCTAGGTTATAGGCACCAAGAGGGTGATTACAAAAATACAGGTGTAAATTCTGTGATTTATACACACAAGTCTGTGATCAAAAAACACTTATGATGAAAAACATTCATTTTATCAGTCTTCAGGGTGAATCTTGAGAAATGTCTGATGATGAAGATTTCTGTCAAAATTTACCCATGACATAATGCAAATATAAGATGACCAAAGGCACTTGCTACTTGAATCTGTGTTACTACATAAAATTTACATAAAATCTGTGTTAAATCTGCATTGGGTTCTGCCTTGCTCTAACCTGAACAGACTGGATCATAGGACACTGGACCAAGAGTATGACAGAATACCAGCATATGCAAAAAAGAGAAGAAAAGGACACATTGGCTTCACTAAAACAAACACAAGAAGAAATGCAAAGCAATGCAAAGTGGCATCTACACTTTTTAAAAATTTGGTGCTTCAATGGTTCTTTAGTAAAAAAAAAAAAGGTTGTATATAGAACCATGACACTCGAAGAACCCTTTGCCTGATTAAAGGGTTCTTTGCACTATGAAAGGTTTCTTCACATTGATGGAAAATGTGCTGCAGATGGTTCTTTATAGAACCTTTTCAAAAATGGTTCTGTATGGTACCCAAAAGGGTTCTTCTATTGTTACACTCTTGAAAAAGATATTTCTTTTAAAGGGTTCTTTAGTAAAGAAAATGGTTCTGTATAGAACCATGAGCATTTATATAACCCTATGTATGATTAAAAGTTTATTTGCATCATGAAGGGATTCTTCAGAATGTGCTGTAGAGGGTTCTATATAGAACCTTTTTTCAAATTCCATCGATCTTAAGAAACCTTTCATGATGCTTTACTCATGCAAAGGCTTCTTTGTGTTCATGGTTCTATGTAGAACCACTTTCTTTAGTAAAGAACCGTTAAAGCACCATCTTTTTAAAGAGTGTACTTAACACAACATGTTTTCCTTAGCCCAGAACTACATCTATTGCTGTGGACAGCCACCCACTGCAAATAAGAGTGTGTGAATGTAAGGGAAAAATCAAGTCAAGTCAAAGTTTATTTATATAGCGCTTTTTACAACAGGCGTTGTCACAAAGCAACTTTACATAAAAATCCAGGTCCAAGCCCCTATGAGCAACTCAATGGCAATAGTGAGTGCGTTTACATACACTCAATAATCCGATAACTGCAGAAAATAAGATTTTGTCAGTAATCTGATCAACGTGTTTACATACACTTGAGTAATCAGATAATGGGAACTTCGGGTCTACATGAGTCGGGCAGTAATCAGATTTCTGCTTTGCAACCAGCCAATAAACTCGTAGAAGAAGATTTGACATTTTTTTAAAACATTGCGCCACTTTACCTGATGATATGAACATACATCATCTAAAAGGTGAAGAATATTTAAATCCTTAATGTCATCAAGCATGTAGTTGGTTTCAGCAACGCTCCAAAAGTATTTTGCTGCCATCTTGCAGCAATGCTGCTTGCTTATTTCTGGTACTGCGGTCTGTTTTTGCACAGGTGCAGACAGAGAACTCAGAAAGAAATCCGAGTAAGAGTTTATATGCACTGAGAAATCAGATTACTGAGCTAAAATCCAGCTTTCTTTACCAGATATTTTATTTGGATTTCTAGACCTTTCTCCGATTTAAGAAATCTGAGTATGTTGTTTACATGATCATTTGAATAATCATATAACTGCAGAAACCCGATTATGATCGGATTATTGATTGCAGGTAACAACACTCGGTGGCAAGGAAAAACTCCCTAAGAGCAAGGGGAAGAAACCTTGAGACCTCTCGTTGACACCAGATAGCAAAACAGTAACACAAGAGCAATATGAACAGAAAATAAGGTTTTACCATTAGTTTAAAATATTAAAATACAGAAATGGGAAAAAGCAATGGCTATGATTAAATGGTCTGAGTCGGTGCAGCAGTATCATCAGGAGGGTCTGTGACATGCAAGTGAGGTTTGCACAGTGTTGTACAGCAGACAGCTCCATGTTGGTCAAACTGGTCCAGAGGGTGGGCGAGCAGCGGGCACCCGATCGAGGAAGATGAAGCAACAGCATCAGACTGCACAGGATGGGCAATTGTTTAGCTCGGCAAAGAAATACACAGACAGTTCTGTTAAGAGTGACTAATTACTGTATGCAGTGTTAGCAGAGTGCAGCAGAGACTCCAGCAGGTCTAGCTATTATAGCCTAACTAAAAGGAAAAGCCAGAAGGTAACAAAGACATGAGGGCTCCCTGAGATGTTAGCGCCCCTTTGCTCCACCGTCAACAAACTTTAGTGAATATGTGAAAGCAGCGAGACGACAGCACCAACGCTCACAAGTTACCATAATACTCTCATGTCCATGATACCCCAGATCTGCACCTTTTTGGGTAATGGGAAAAACTAATTACCAAAGGCTCGACTAAACAAGTAGGTTTTTGGCCTAGACTTGAAGACTGAGGTGTCTGAGTCCAAGTATCCTCTAAGCCCTTGTTCAAGATATCTAATTTGGTAGGTTCAGACAGACAGCAGATAGAAGCTGAGAGATCTGGGAGGTTTCTGATAAAGCTACTAGCTGTGGAGGATAGCGTGGTGATTAACAAATATTATGACTAAAGTAAATCTCATATAAGATTACGACTGCAGTGCTCTGGGGGAGAATGGATAAATGATCTGTGTTGACAAAGGTCAAAATTAAGTCACGGCTGCAATAATGAGTGGGCCCCTTTATATTTTGCGTGAAACCAGCAGTCTAAAATAGATACAAATGTCTTACTTAGTGGATCCTTTGGTTTGTCAAGGTGGACATTAAAATCTCTGACAATTATTACTTTATTCGAGAGTGTATTAAACTTGATAGACAAATTGCTGTAAGAACTAAAAATACAGCTCTGGTGGCCAGTAGATTATAATTGATGAAAAAGAATTGTTTTTTGTTCCTGGATCACTTATATTAAGAAAAAGAATTTCAAAAGAAGAGAACCTGCTTGCTGGTTCATGCCTAAAGCTTTTGTATAAAGATTGCTATACCTCCATCCCAGCTGCTTAAATGAGGTCTATGTACAACTGTTCAGAGCAAAGTATTCATCAGGTCTAATTCATGTCTCTGTGAGGCACAGAGCGTTAAAATCATGATTAGTAATAAGTTCATTTACAACGATGGCCTTAGATGTAGGATATTTTATGTTAAGTTTTAGACCAAAGGTGCCGTCATTGCAAACTGGTTTAAGTGGTCTGATATTGATTAGGCTATTAACTATTTAATCACAATCTATAGCAGTGTTTTTGAGCTGTCTTGTGGGCCACAAATAATTATGGACATCTCTGTCAAAAATAATATGAATAAAAAATAAATGAATAAAAACCTTAAAATACTATAAAACTTATTACTTATGGATATATGTGGATATACACGCAAAGCTCTCAAATGACCTATTTAACCTACTCTTCAGTATCAATCATGATCAAACTGTAGCGCCTGTTAAATAATCGGTAGCGGAGAAAACAACTGCCCAATTAATTACGAGCCATGATAGCTTTGTGGTCTGAAGCTGAGAGCAGCTTGCTGTTATGTGGGGGTGGATATTCTCCAAAATCCGGCACAAAGGCAGCAAAGATCCGTCGCCATGCCTGTGTTAGTAAGCTGCTTAGCCACATATCTACTAAATATATAACATAAATGGAACTACGTAAATAATACTGCATTCATAATTTACAATTGTCTACAAGAGTGGAAATATTGGGACTAGTAAGTGAGTCTATTTCCTGGTGGCGAAGTTCGTTTGTCACGTGACTTTTTAAAACCAATCAGAGGACGGATGACGTTGCAAGCAAATTCTTTGTTCTGGATACTTCCTTGAAGATGACAATAGATTACTCTGTAATGTTATGGATTAACTCTCATCCTGCTGGTAATCTTCGTCTTTTAACGGCAATACATTTGTTCGATGACCACAGACTTTTAAATTTTGTTCAAATCCGTGCGTTCACTGCGCCGCTTAGTTGTGTGAATATCACATGACTTTTCCCTCCCCCCTACTCCGGTCTAATGAATGGGGAAGAAGGAGTCGGACATGTTTGAAGGAAATATGTTGAATAAAGAAACGTGGCCGAAGACAAGAAGAGAAAGGGGAATATTTCGAGCATGAGGATTTCAACGCCATCTTAACTTTTTTGCGTTTTATTCAGTCTCAATAGAGGTATAGACTGTTGAGCTTGTTTTTAGGTTTATAAGGGACATTTTTAGGGGACATGATTTTGCTTTTTAATCAGTGATATGCTAAAAAGATGTAGTGATTGTGTGTATGTTCTGTTTAGGTTAGTTAAGCTAAGATACATTTCATAATTTAATGAAATTGAGTAACTTGAGTTTCGTTTAATTAGGTGACATTGTTACAATTCTATAACTTTGGTAGTGGGGGGTGGGTAGCACTAGTTACTCAAGAAAGTTTCAAATCGAATCCCAGTACATTTATTAAGAAAACTCATCTTTAAATCTGTTTTTAAGCAGGTCGATTGACCTGTGATGTTTTAGTATTGTTAAAGGTCCCTTAATTGTATGTAGCCTCGTATTTTGGATTAGGCCTGCTGTACAGATAACGTTGAGTAATCCTGTAGATTCATCGTGCATTTTTGATCAACCTTAATCTTTTAGAAATATTTTATGAATAACGTTACTGGAGTAAAGTACGATTATTTTATTTGTTGGCCTTGTAGACTGGGTGAATCATCATACTACTTTGAAAAGACAACAATTTTTTCTTCGATTCGTCGTCTTTAACGTTTAATATGTCTCTTTTCAATTACATTTGACTTGCTACGTTTTAGACGGGAAAACAATTCAGGCGCCGAAGCTGCTGCGTCATTGTATAGCAGACGTGTTCATAGGCCGTATCTCACGGGAGAACGGCGAGAACGCAGGGCTAAAAGCAAAAAATAACATGGAATCATTGTTTGATAACGTTTACGTGTTTTGTCGAGGTGGGGACAGTGACATGGTGACTTAAAATGGTACGACTATATGTCGATTTACCACTTTTGTCTTATTGCATAGTACAAAACTAAGTTGTTCATGTGTTCATTTTAATCTCATTGTGTTCTAAAATGGCGACTTTGTCGAGGTGGAACTGTTTGCCCGCGCACTAAAGCATCAAGGAGAACCTTGAGAGCATGTTGCCTTTGTCTGATACGCGTGACTAGTTCATTGAGCCAATCGCGCAGCTCGAACCCACCCCGGATAATCGCGCATGAATTTTTGTGACCAATCAGCAGTCTATGTGCCACACGTTGACGTAACCGAAATGCAGCTCATATATATATTGTGTGTGTGTGTGTGTGTGTGTGTGTGTGTGTGTGTAAATAAATGTGTGTATGTATATGTCAACCGAAGAAAAGCGGAACAGGTAACTAATAACATTTTTTGCTATGTCCTGGTTATTTGAGGCATAGGATGTTTTGACGAAAGACGGTGTAATTTAGTCTGACTTCGTAATCTGAAATGCGTACTTTAACGTTTAGGATTATCGAGGCGTGGTCTGCGTGATTGACGACCAAAATGGCGTATAGAAAGAGCGTAGGCGTGCGCGGGTAGAGTTACATTAGCCAATGGAAATGTCAGATGGTTTATAAAGAGTCGGGCGGAGGCTTTGCGTCGCCATTTCAGTGTAGCTGTGAGTAGGAGAATAAAGGAAGTCAGAGGAGTGAGGTCGGGAGGATCGGCGGTTTGAAGAGAACCGGTCTCCAAACAGAATCCGGATCCATCCTTATGGAGACGGCCATAAACCAGCTCTTTGACAGGTACTGACTGGATCCATTGACGCTGAATTTGCCGTCAGAACGAATATTGTTACTGGCGAATTGTCACAGTTCCCGAGTTTCGTTTTTTCGTTGTAGTCTTACCGGCAACCTTTCTTCAGCGCCGCTGTTGGGACTTTTACATGTTGCAGGGTTATTTGATTTTGCGCCTTTCTCAACTTCTTTGTTTACATCTGTATGAGATTTTGCAGTATCTATACTGTTTTTAACTCTCCGACCTATTACTGCGCAGGCGCTTTAATAAGTTGCTTGCTAATTGTACTTCCTGGCTTCCAGATAGGTTAACTTCATTTGAAATAAACGGAATATTTATATAACGTACCTTTTCTGTTTCGTTTTGTGATGTCAAGGTTGTGTCGTGTTCAAATTAAAGTAGGAGGTAGGTGGTAACGTGGAGCGCTCTAACTAACTACATAAGGGACTGCGTCTTCTTGGCGTTGGGTTCTTCTGGCTGGTCTAGGCTAGCCAGCCAGCTAGCAACTAGCTATCTATCTACCTTCTGCCCTCTGGCCAATGTTGTCTTGAAATTCTGAATCAGTCCATTTTATAGACATGTAATTCATTTTAATAGACAGTGACGTAAACTAGATGTAAACTTGAATTGCAGTTTGAGTTTTGTGAAATGTGAACTACCTATTATTATAGCTAGCTAGCTTAGCTTAGTTCTTGGCGCTAGCAGTTGGGGTGCGATCCAACCCGGATGTGATTATGATGCTAAGCTAGGTAGTTAGCTGTTTGTGTGTTGTATATAGCTGCTTCAGTAAAGCCTTTTCAGTAAAAGCATCATGTGTCTTTCTGTCTTGAGAAGCGGGAGAACTGGAAATATCTCTGAAATGGCCGTTGGTAGCTAACTAAGCTAGTAAGTGTCGAAGTACTCTAAATAGCTAGCTAGGTTAGCTAGTTTAATAATTCACTGTTATGTTCCAAATCCTGTCTTGGCTTTTTTTGGTCAAGTGCTGTACATTAATTTAAAACGAGTTTATTAGTTTTGTAGAAAAAGCTACTTTGTCTTACTACATTAAACTTTTTTTTAACTGGTTGTCTGATTTGTTTATACAAATTTTTATAGATTTTGTGTAAATTTTGTATACCCCTACTTAAATCGTTTTTCACAATAAAGTGTATTTCCAGTGTCAATTGTGTGTACCTTTGTATTATTCAATAAGTTGTATACATTTACATACACATTTCATTATACAAAGTGAGTTAGATTTCAGAATTAAAGAGACCAGAAAGTGCTACAGAATTTTCTTGAAAAATATTGGGCTTTGGCTGAACATGGATTATAGTACAGAAATATCAAGTAATGTAGGTATTTGACTTCAGGGAAGGTGGGGTACACTGGTAATCTCTGCATAGTTTTGATTTGCTCTGGGACCAGTGTATAAACCATGAACTAGATGGGTGTGTGTGGGGGGGTGTTGAAGTATTTGTAGAACACAAAGGATTATAATATCAGTTCTCATCTAATTTATGGGCAGCAGGTTTGAATAACATTAAAAAAACATTCTGAATGATGCAGCTCTCATGGAAAAAGCTGTGCTGTTCAAGGATAGCCTGACACCTATTCAGGTAAGTTTTAATTAGGTACAGATTGTATAGATGTAATTTAGGGGTGAGGGGAAATGTAATCATGTTTTATCTTAAGTTTGGGGCCTTTTCAAAAATGCACTCATGCTTGTGGGCTCATTCTATTCTAGTAGCTTTAGGCTTTATGGAAATGACAGCTGGTAAAGAGTTATTTTTTGTTGCCGTTAAGTTTTGTTACCAAGTAACAAAGTGATGCAGGAAATAGAATGTATGCGTGGGGATTTTACCTTTTAACTCATAAATGTTGATGACGTGGAAGTGAAATACAGTTGTACAATAATGCAAAGGTGCAAATTATATATTTCTTAATATAGTAATTGCTGAATAAAATGCCTTTCTTAACAAGCCTTGTCTGTAGAATAACTGTTGTCCATAGTTTTGGTGACTTGAGCGACGCAGTCCAGTGACTACTATGAATTTTCTGTGCAGAGTCCAGAATAGACTATTGAAGATGGATGTTTCCCCCCGGAAACACTTTTCTGGCATGTTGTAGCTTCTCATGTTTGGGAATAAAAATGCATCTCATTATAGTTATTTATGTTTCTTACTTTTCTCACTCTTACATCACATTTCCTGTGCTTTCATAGCAACCTTTCTTCATTTAAATTATCTTTAATTAATCTGTATTTCTTGCTTTTTGTTGCAGCTCTATTGGTGGGGGGGGCATGGGTGCCCAGGGAGTGACAATGATGGAGCAGCCCATGTCTGGCCCTGGCAAGCGCATCCGCAAGCCATCGCTGTTGTATGAAGGTTTTGAGGGTCCTGTGCTCCCGCAAGTTCCCCCCACTGGACCCCCTAAGCCTCCAACACGGGATCCCAGCCGGCAGGGTAGGATGACAAACCAGCTGCAATTCCTCCAGAAATCAGTCATGAAGCCTCTCTGGAGGCATCACTTTGCCTGGCCTTTCCATGAGCCTGTGGATGCTGTAAAGCTCAACTTGCCTGTGAGTAATTTTAGTACTGTTCTGGATAATACTTAAGGGAAAAAAAAGACATCATTTAATGAGCAATAAATGAGACAAGCACTTTAGGTAGCTGATATTGATCTCACTAAAGCTTTTTTGTGCAGTCCCATTTCTAAACGCTGTGCAGAATGTAAATAAAAATACAATGGAATGATATGCAAATTATGTAAACCATATTTGTAATTGAAACTACAACAAAGACAACAAATCAAATGTTGAAACTGAGAAATTGTAATTTTTTTTTTTAAATGCCCATTTTTAATATTTTTGGAATGTGGTGCTGGCATCAAATTCAAAATGGGCATATATTTAAAAAAAAAAAAGTTGTCTTCATACTATTTTCAATGAAATATAGGGTTTAAATGATCTGCACATAATTGCATTTTGTTTTTATTTACATTTTTCACGGCGTCCCAACTTTTTTGGAAATGGGGTTGTAGAAAATTCATCAAATATTATCCCAGATTATACTTTACCTCTGACAAAGAAACTGGGAAACGTTATGGTGTATTAGTTGCGTTTAAGCAATACATGTTGCTTTGACATGGCTTCAGCGCTGAGTTCTTAGAGGAAATTTCACAATTTTGAGTCCAAGTTATTCCAGTTGTATGTTACTCTTTTGACATGATTTTACTAATTTAAACAACAAGTCTGAGTTTTCTTCTGAGTTTTCTCTTTTTACATTTATTCTGCCCCAGGACTATCACAAGATCATCAAACAGCCAATGGATATGGGCACCATTAAGAAAAGACTCGAAAACAACTACTACCGCACTGCTTCTGAGTGTCTACAAGACTTCAATACCATGTTTACAAATTGCTACATATATAATAAGGTAAAGCATATTTGTAAATTGTGGTAAAGGTGTAGTGTAAACCATAAACAAATGTAAGAGGTTGTAGTTTCAGTAGATTGGATTGATACATTGAAGGCATTTCAGAATTATCTCAATTTTATGAATGGCTGTCCTCAGATTTGACCTTGGTGTATTTGTAGTGCTTTGCACACATAATTATAGCATACACTTGAAATACACTTGAAATAGGATCGAGTTCAATGGCTCAGTGTGGCTTGATTTTAAAATTATGGTGCAAAACAAGATAGTGTGTGTTTGAGTCATCTGTTCATTTATCAACTGTGCTTTACCAAATACTGATTTTGAGTCAATGATAATTGTCACCTAGCCAACAGATGACATAGTTTTGATGGCTCAGTCACTGGAAAAGGCCTTCTTACAGAAGGTAGCACAGATGCCTCAGGAGGAGGAGGAACTGCCCCCACCTATCCCACGAGTCAAACACGGGAAACCTGGCAAAGGCCGCAAAGCCATATGTAAGCACTAATTTCATTAACACCAACTTTTGTGCTTTTTGAGAAAAGTTTTTATTAATAATTTAAAAAAATGTGCTCTTTGACCATTTCTCCTTTTTTCTCTTTTCTCTTTTTCCAGTCTCAGGTGGGATAACGACAGCGCACCAGATTCCTGCTGTGTCTTCAGTGTCTCAGTCTGCATACTCTCCCCCCATGCCGGACACTCCGGACTCACTCCTGTCCACCCCACCACAGACATTGCTGGCTAAGAGTCTGCACCCCACTGCCCACAGTGCTCCAACAATGTCGGGCCTACCCCCTACCCAGCCCACTGCAAAGGTAAACAGTTCAAGGCATGGGCATTAAAAATGTCTGCCATGACACAGCAGAACAGATCAGTAAGACTTATTGAGTCTGCTGTCAGCTAGCTAATAAACTAGAGTTTTTGACCATGTCATCCAGAGCATCAGACCATGTCAATATCCTGAGTTTAAACCTACCAAGGTGAGCTTTGTTAATTAACCCTAGTTCAGTTCCATACATTGCTCAGCATTTTATCTTTTGTTTTATCTTCTCTTAGAAAAAGGGAGTCAAGCGCAAAGCTGACACCACAACTCCGACAACTATGGCTTTTCCTCTCACCATTGGTGTTGGGGGTATGGGCCTAGGGATGGGCAGTGGAGACGACTCCCCACTCACCCTTTCTGCCCTTGGTGTCAACCCCAGCCATGGCATAAGCCTTGGTGTGGGCCGTGGTGGAGGTCTGATTGGAGGGAAAGTCACAGCACGACGAGGAGGCAGTGGTCGGCCCATCAAGCCACCCCGGAAAGACCTGCCAGATTCACAGCATCAACACCAGCAGGTGCGACGGGTGAAGCTTAGCCAGCAGCTGCGCTACTGCAGTGGAATTCTCAAAGAGCTACTGTCAAAGAAGCACGCAGCATATGCCTGGCCTTTCTACAAGCCCGTAGATGCATCATCACTGGGGCTACATGACTACCATGACATTATCAAGAATCCAATGGACCTCAGCACTATTAAGGTGCTTATTATAGTGTTATGTGTTAGTTTTTATCTCCCACAGTCAATAATACTTATGTTGTATTGTGTGCTAGTAACCCTAATTGAAATCCAACCTGTTACTCTGCAGAGTAAAATGGATCGACGGGAGTACAGGGAAGCATTACAGTTTGCAGCTGACATCCGACTCATGTTTTCCAACTGTTACAAGTACAATCCTCCTGACCATGACGTGGTAGCTATGGCCAGAAAACTACAAGTAAAATGCATTTTCAGTTTGCACTTGAATATGGGGCTCTACAAGATTTTTTTTTTTTAAACAAGAATGTAATAATTTTTTTGGAAGAGACGATCTTCAATATTACAAAGCTTTTGCAGCTGAATATTCTTTTCTTACTTCTATCCCAGGACGTTTTTGAGTTCCGTTTTGCCAAAATGCCTGATGAGCCTCTGGATTCCCTCCCACCTGCATCTTTGAATGATGGATTGGGCGGTCACTCCTCATCCTCCTCCTCCTCCTCCTCCTCATCTTCGTCGTCGGAGAGTGAAGTGAGCAGTGAGAGTGAGAGCGAGAGCACCCCCAGTTCAGACAGTGAGGAGGAACGAGCACACCGTTTAGCACAGCTTCAGGAGCAGGTTTGTACATAGGCAGTAACTGGGATTTACTGAGCATGTGTAGCAGTATACACACACTCACTCATGAGATGTTTTCACATATAATGTAAGGATTTAAGTATCTTTTCAGTATTTAAGGTATCTCATGATACACTATATGTACATCTGACCATCACACTAATATGAACTTGTTGGACATACCATTGCAAAACCATGGGTATTAATATGGCGTTCCCAGACAGATAATGAAGTGTAATTCATCACTCCAGTATGTACACTAAATGTTCTCCTGCTTTTGCTGCAGTAACAGCTTCTTTTCCTCTGGGAAGGCTCTACACTAGATGTTGGAACATTGCTGTGAGGCTTTAATTGAATTTAGCTACAAGAGCATTGGGTCAGTGGGTGAGGTCAGGCACTGATGGTGGATGATTAGTTCTGGATCACAAATTTCACTCCAACTAAGGCCTGGGCAATATCTACAATAATTAGCATGATATTTTCTAGTTTAAAAAATTGCAGTTATCGATAACATCCTTCCCCACTTCTGCCCCAAAAAAAATACACGTGCGTCCGCAGCTTTGCCCTACTTTCTTTTGTATTTTAGTCTGTTTTTTTTTTTTTAATATTAACTATTTTATAATAAATGTTACGTATAAATATTATAATGTCATTATAATAAATGTTACATGCAGGCAAGCTGAAGTTCCAAAGCACATCGGCATTTATTTCAGGTCCACTCATAAAGTAAATCAAGGGGAAGCCATGTGTCTCTTTCTCTCTGTGTGTGTGTGTGTGTGTGTGTGTGTGTGCGCGCGCGCGGGCATGTATGTACGTGTCTGAGAGAGAGAGAGAGAGAGAGAGAGAGAGAGAGAGAGAGACTACTGATGCGTGAGCATGTTTTAAACATGAAGCCCAGTTTCCCAATATATTTTTCAAGCTGTTTAGTGGTAAATTAGTCCTTTCTGATTATCGCTTTCTACATATTGGCATTGGGTTACATGTTCATCAGTGATATTAGGGGTGGGGGGGGGGAGAGAATCAGTTCTTAGATGCATCGTGATGCGGATGTGGACGATTCTGAATCAATTCACAAATGTCAAATCGTTTTTCTAAATTTTAATTGATAACGTAATGTTGATGGAATGCAAAAGGCGTAACTTTGCAAAGTGCGGAAGTGCAGTGCAGTGTCCTTTTAACAAAAATCAAACTTCCTTGGGATCCACAACATTTTTAGTCCGTACATGTGTCTCAGTACGTGCTAATGTCCTAGTGTAGGTTAAAAATATAATACAAACAAAAAGGCAGACTTATTCTGCTCTGGTTTAAGCTTTAGCTCAGCTGCAGCCACTTTTATTGCTATTTATTATTTTTTTTAGTGTTTTGGCAGTTTCTCGTTGCAGATTAAATGTATCAGGAAACTAGCTGGGGTGCTTATAAATGCAAATAAGTCTATTCGTCTTCAAATTATTGATGTTCGTCTTAAATCTTTCTCTTTGCTTTTTCATTAGCTACGAGCTAGGTGAACTAGCAGTTATAGACTACATTAATTCCAACGTTTAAGATCATTTATTGTTAAAACTGTGTTTGAACGATCAGCAGAGCTTTATTTTACTGCAAAGGAGGATTATTTTATTTTTATCTAGAAATCTAATTCTGATGTGGAGCCGCGACAGGCCAGGAAAAAGAGCCACAGGTTGCCGACCCTTGAGCTAGCATATGGAAGCACTTTGCCTTCTATGTAGTTGAGGGGGAAAACCATATTACATGTTTCCACCCATTTTCCCCCCAGTTGTAGTTGCTGCCAACCAGAGGACCATCAATAAGGCGATGTCAAAGCTTCCACCCAACTTGTGGAACTACAAACTCTACCGAACTTTTATTGCCAAGGATTTGCATCCGTACTCATTCTTTGAGAACCAGAGCTTTCGCGCTATGTTGGCCGCTTTGGAGCATACACCGTCCCGTCTCGAAGATATTTACTGACACAGCGACCCCCACTCTCTAAAACAAGAGCAAAAACGAAATTATGGAATCACTGAAGAAAACGGATAGAATAGCTGTAACATGCTGCATGGACACCCATTGCCACAGGATCTTATTTCACCGTAGCGGCACGTTTTATCACAGATGAATGGCGGCGTCTCGTGCTCCAAACAAGAGCAGTGAATATTGGAAATATTGGAAGTAAATGCATTATGGACTGTTACAGATACTTTGCTTTAAAAGTTCCAAGTTGTCACACAGTATGCAAAAAAAAAGTTCTGTATAGCAAAAAGATGCAAAATGCATCAATAATCGTTTTATAATTGCATCGCATCCCTCTGAATCGTAATCAAATTGTGAGGTGCCTAGAGATTCCCACCCCTAAATGATATCCCATTACATCGCTTTATCATCCCTACTCCAGCTCATCCCAAATTTGTTCTGTGATGCTTCATCTCTCCAGAGAACACAGTTCTGCTGCTCCATAGCCCAGTGCTGGGGGGTTTTTGTACACAACATGATGCCTGCTATTGGGTATGGTGATCTTAGGCTCATACACAGCTGCTCCAGAGCATAGATTTGGCAGTGCTGTTCTATGGCGATTATACAAGCTATGTATGCACTACATCAGCAATTAGCAAAGATAGTTTTCATCATATTGTGTCTTTGTGGCCCATCATGGTGCCTTGCCTCATTTCTTTCACTCGCTGATTCACAATTCCATACAGTTGGCTTTGGGTGTTGACCTTTACTTTTTCCTTCTTAACAGCTGAGGGCAGTACATGAGCAGCTGGCTGCTCTCTCTTCAGACCCCATCATCAAGCCAAAGAAAAAAAAAGAAAAGAAAGACAAGAAAAAAAAGAAGAAGCCAGAGAAGCACAAGCGAAGCAGAGCAGTGGTGGACAATGAGATGGTCATCCGGGCTCCCAAAGCACCAAAAATTACAAAGGCGTCAAAAAGCAAAAGTAACAGCAAGGCAGCAACAGCATCTTCCACGCAAAGCAAGAGAGCACCCAGCAAGAAGAGCAGCAAGAGCAAGTGTGTCTTTTAAAAGCTAGTTAAATATTAGATTTATTAGTTAACTGAGAACTACAAACATAGTTTTTGGTTAAGGCTAAGAATGCACTAATGTAGAATTTCTTGGTCAGTATATAGTACTATACTGATACTAATAGATCTTTTGTGAGAAATATATACTGTGTGTGTGTGTGTGTGTGTGTATATATACATATATGTATATGTGTGTGTATGTGTGTGTGTGTGTGTGTGTGTGTGTGTGTATATATATGTGTGTGTGTGTATGTATGTATGTATGTATGTATTGCTATTGTTGGAAGAAAACCTTGTATCTCTGAAGAACAGGGTAAAAGGTGGCTAACAAAGTATGCAGAGAAACAGATGGACTACAGTCTGTAATTGTAGAACTACAAAGTGCACCTATATAGTAAGTGGAGCTAAAATGGATAATGAGCGTAGAAACAAAGAGGTGGTCATAATGTTATGCCTGATTGGTGTATATGTAAAATACACATGGACACACACTCTCCTGGGCAAAAAAAATGCAAAACACAAGCTTTTATGGTTTTAACAACAAATGATTAAACAAATAGATAAAGTAACTTCATATTAGAGAGCTTGTTCCTTTGATTTCTTTAAATATGTAATTGTGTGTAACTTTTGCAGACAGCCTTTTACAGAAAGAGTATTATTTTTCCACTCAGCATTGATGGCTTCAAAACACTGAAAAACATTGCTGAGCTAGTTTGTGTTTGTGGAACCAAATATTCTCTGTAGGGTTTAAATCTGGACTCTGACCAGGCCAAAAAATATTTAATTGTAAAGCACTCCTCATTGTATGAAAAGTGCACTCTAAATGTTCTACCTGCTGGCACCTTATAGAACTTGTTTGAAAAGCATGATAAGTCATTTAGAAATTTACTTGCTCTTCAGGTCCTCAAAGAAGGCTCAAGCAGCCTCCATCAGCTCTCATGCACTGGCCCTCCCTCCCCACTATGATTCAGAGGAAGAGGAGGAGAGCAGCCCTATGAGCTACGATGAGAAGCGGCAACTTAGCCTGGATATCAACAAACTCCCCGGCGAGAAGCTTGGCCGTGTTGTGCATATCATCCAGTCACGCGAGCCCTCGCTGCGTGACACCAACCCTGAGGAAATTGAAATTGACTTTGAGACACTCAAACCATCCACACTGCGTGAGCTAGAGCGCTATGTTATGACATGTTTACGCAAGAAGCCTCGGAAACCATATGGTAAGACCAGCCCCTTTTCTCCTCCTTTCTTACTCGCAAACTGAAAGATTGCTCACCTCCAAAATTCTGATAAACTGATTAGGCACTTCTTAAATTAGTAAGGAGAATTTGTTATTGCTGACAACCATATAGAAGGGTTATTGAACTGAACAGATGCTTCAGTATCTGCATAAGATTTCACTCATGGCCCATGGATTTCATGGACTCTCTTTATCAGAGGGGGTCCTAATTAATGAAATCAAGTGACCATATGCATAGTGGTGGAAATACCTGCAGACTCTCTGGATATTGAGTTGTGTACTTCTGTCTACAGTCTTTTAAACAGGTTTTGAACTTCCTAAATGCCACGCAGCCCAGTTTTGCTCACTGCTTGCCACTCTCTATATATATATACACACACACACACACACACACACACACACACACACACACACACACACACACATACATACATACACGTGTGTGTGTGTGTGTGTGTGTGTGTATATTTGTGCGTATGGACGGGGGGGTTAATAAAGTACTCTGAACTGAACTAAACCAGTTCGTAATCCTGAGCACTGTTACAGTAAGGAATATTTTACTTACTGCTCAATGTGTATGGTAATCAGAACATCAGTGTGAAAAATTTCTTCTGGTGTGTATTGCAGTTGCAAAGAAAGGTGGTGTGGGCAAGTCCCGTGAGGAACTGGCTCTGGAGAAGAAGAGAGAGTTAGAAAGGAGGCTACAGGATGTTAGCGGCCAGCTTAACTCGACCAAGAAGCCCCCTAAAACCAAAGGTAAAGATTTTCTAGGGTTGAAGTGTGGATTTACAATCATGTTTGAACTGTACTGCCCATGTTGAATATTTGGTAAAGCAAAACTGATCCATTGTTTCTACTCTTGATAGACCACACTAATGTGTGGATCAGTTCTTGTCCATTTGATGGATTGAATTAATAAATAGCCTTACTATGGCTGTCACAATCATGAAATTGTAACTGACAACTAGGTGCCATATGAATAATTGTGATGAACAATTTCAAAGTACACGTCTAAAGTGGTGAAATTAGCGATTAGCTATTTCCCGTCCTATCTGTCTGTACTTAGGTTTGTCGATACATATGTTCAGACTGCAGGCAAGTTGGATTTGTTTCTCAAATCAAATCGTTAAAGACGACTGTCAACACTATTATTTGCAAGTAATCTGATCGCATTTGTGTGTCCAGACATCACCAGCCTATCTGCATGGGTTGCTGTGGTAATGAGGTAGGTATCAGTAACTACGTAGCTATGCTGGTGACATGGATTTCAAAAGAGGATGCAGGAAAGATGGAGGTGCATCATCTCGCCCTCTGAACTCCTCAAAATTCCCTAGCATAAGCATGAATCTTTGGCATTCTTCTTAAAACCCAGCACTTCCATTACTCTGGATTTTACGTCGTTGATTGTCACGTTGTGAGTGACACAAAAGACACTTTGAGATCTGATCTGACCGACCAGAGGGTCCAGACTGGGACGCATCTATAAAAGTCCAATTAGAATTGCGTTTCGAACCACCTCCAAATGTGGTTTGATCTGATTGGCAAAAATTAGATTTCATGTGATATATATTTTTTATTATTATTATTTTTTTTTTGGGGCTGTCTGGACTATTAACAATCAATCCAGATACAATCTGGATATGCAAAGAATCTGATTTGGGCTGGCAGTCTGAACAAAGCCTTAGTAGCTCCCAGCTGACGACAGACACAACTCAACCTCAAATAATCAAACTTTGCTTACTGCTGCCCTCTAAACATGTTATAGCAGAAGCTAGAATGTGTTAAGACAGGAGCGGTAATTTTTAATTGTTTGCAAGACCCATGACGTGTCTTGATGTACCTCATCCAAACTGATGGAAACTCATCCATATTCTGGTTGTTGCAACATAAACATAGGGTTGTGAAAACTAACCGCTAATTTTGGGAAAAGAATTACGATCAGCACAAATAAGTGGGATCAGGCGATCATGTAATAATTGTGATGGGGCTAAGCCTTACACAGTAAATTACCCTTTTGTATAATGTGCTCTCCCTCTCTCCCTCCCTATCGCCGTCCCTGTCTGTGTGTAGTGGAGAAACCCAGTGTGGCAGAACCTCATGCTGTGGCTTCTCGTCTCAGTGACAGCAGTTCCAGCTCGGACTCTTCTTCATCCTCTTCATCCTCATCTTCAGACACTAGTGACTCAGACTCGGGTTGAACATGCAAGTGAAGTGGGCAGAGATGCATTCTCATGTGCACGTTGTCTCAGACAGTCAAAGGAGCCATCGCTCTGTACTGCACTTGACAGAAGTGACTGGGAATGTGGACAGAAGAAAAAAATAGTCAAAAGTTTCAAGAAAGCAAGGTTTTTCTGTCTTATGTGGTTGTGTATGTACGCATTGGATGAAGAATAGAGGCAAAATAATGCCTATGCTGCATAGAGAGGGAAATTCATGAAGAGATGAGACTGTAGGAACGAAGAACAGCATGGTTCCTTCTCTGCTGTAACTTGTTTTTTGTCTGTCTGTATTTACTGTGTATTTGAGCATGTGTGTGTATGTATGCGTGTATACACAAAGCTATAAGTGTGTGTGTGTGTGTGTGTGTGTGTGTGTGTGTGTGGAGATGTATGTATCTGTATATATTGCTATTGTCGGAAGAAAACCTTGTATCTCCAAAATAATAACTTTATAGGAAAAAGAAAAAAAACTATTATCATGAAATTTACATACAATGTCAAGGGCAAATGACAAAAATGGAGATACGTGGTTTTCTTCTGATAGCAGCGATATCTATATAAATTTCTTTTATAAAGAAGAACTTAAAGAATCCCCTAGACGGGAACAAAAAATTGTCTTGAGCAGACTTATTTTGTAAGCTGTTTTTATAAAGAAAAGGGGTGTGGGAGCTATTGTTAGCTTTGTTTTTATGATAGGGTGTGTTTTTGCTTCGAGTTAGAAATTCCATCCTACTTCTGACACGCTCACATTTGTGCCCACATAAAAATTATGGTGATTATTTTGTAGCTTGATGCCCTAGCTTTACATTTGAATAAACCCTTTCATGCCCCAAAAGTATACCTTGTCAATTATCATCTTGTAAGTCTTAAAGCTGGCAGAGCTGAAAGATGGCATTCTTCACCATGGCCTTCCATTTCCTGTAAAATGCCAAGAGCACTAGAATGTAGCTGCCATTTGCCATTTCCTTTGGCTTGTACTGCCTATCATAACTAATGTTAAAACAGTCTTTATTTCTAGAAGACAGTGCTTTTTTATTTGCATGACATTTTATAGGCAAATAAATTGCTTCATATGTCATGAAGATTAATTGCATACATTAAGCGTTCAGCAAAGTTTTTGAAATTGTGCCCATGTAGTCTGTTTATTACATCTGAAGACTTTTAAATGCACGATTACAGAGATCCAGTTCTGTCATTGATTTTATCCTTTTGTAGATCCAGAAGTAAAAAAGGGGGGGGCGGTTACTTCAAGCTGCAAGCATCATCACAAGGGGTAACATCACACACTCCATTTGACAAAGTGCATTAATAAAAAGGGTAAGATGCTCCGTGAGTGATAGGTAGACAGTGTTTCTTAACATTTTGGTTTCACTCTACATCATGATAGATATGTGTAGCTCATAGATTCATTTTTAACACAATCAGCTGGGATGTATGTTGTCACTAGGTGGCAGGAGTGCTCTGCAAATAGGTTTTGCCATGGATAAAGGCATTGGACAGTATAACTTAAAAACTGCAGCTACAAAAATAAGGCAGTAGTCAGACAAGCCAGTGACCTGTTGGACAGGGCTCAGTCTGTTCCCAAAGGTCTACAACAAAATGTAGGTTTTAACTACTTGCTTATGAAGGTCTTTACAATTTGCGGGTGATTTGAATCAAATGTATTAAAACAAGAAAACAATAACCTTTGCAGTCCTGTTACCATTTATGAGTCATTGGAGAGAGAAATCTTTTAAAACAAAAAAGGACAAAATAAAACTCCCCATCAATGTAGTATTTTTTGATATTCAATTTCAAATAGAAATGTGACACTGTCATAATGGATGGATTAGAAGGGATTTCCCGCCAATCACAATTATAACAACACCCTTTAAAGGGAAATTCCACAGATGAAATTAAGATAGAATATATAGACAAAAGTATTGGGACACCTACAGAAGCTTTTATGATGTCCTTTTCTAAATCTATAGGCAGAGTTGGTCCCCCATTACATAGAACAGCTTCCATTCTTCTTGGAAGGCTTTCTACAAGATTTTGGAGTGTGCTTGTGGGAATTTTTGCCCATTCATCCAAAAGAGTATTTGTGAGGTCAGACACTGTTGTTGGACTAAAGGGCATGGCTTGCAATCTCCGTTCTAGTTCGTGTGGGCCAGGCAGGTTCTTCCACAGCAAACCATGCCTTATGGACCTTGCTTTGTGCACTGGGACACAGTCATGCTGAAACAGAAAAGGGCCTTCCCAAAACTGTTCCCGTAAAGTTGGAAGCATACAACTGTCCAAAATGTGTTGGTATCAGACTGATAGACCATAGAACAGATAGAGAGGCGTGATTCGTCACTCCACAGAATACGTTTCCACTGCTCCAGAGTCCAGTGGCAACGTGCTTTACACTACACCATCCAACCATTGGCATTGTGCTTAGTGATATAAGGCCCCCATGCCATGAAGCTCCCAGCACACAGTTTTTATGCAGATGTTAATGCCAGAGAAGGTTTGGAACTCTTCAGTTATTGAGTCATCGTTGGCAAATTTCATGCACCATGTGTCGCAGCACTTGGCAAACCTGCTCTGTAATTTTGCCACTTTGCGACTGAGTTGCTGTGATTGCTAAACATTTTCACTTTTCAACGATACCACTCACAGTTGATTCTGGAATATCTAGGAGGGAAGAAATTTCATGAACTGCCTTGCAATAGTGGCATCATATCACAGTAGCATGCTCAAATTTAGTGAACTCTTCAGAATGACCCATTCTTTCACAAATGTTTGTAAAGGCAGAATGCATTAATAGATGCTTGACTTTATATGCCTGTGGCAATGAGACTGAATAAAACACCTAAATGATTAAAAGGAGTGTCCCAATACCTTTGTCCATATAGTGAATAAACAAAGTCATTCAGTAGTTTATGTGAAATGTTCTCTTCTAAAGAAACTTACCAAGTCAGAACTGTTCACAGTGGGAGTGATAGGAACTAGATGTCTAAAATGTTTCATGCCTCTAAAAAAGTCACTGTGCATTTCCAGTTATGTTGCCTGATGTCTAAGACATTGTTTTCCAATAAAAGTTTGGTCTAAAATATATTTTAAAAAGTCATTGTGTAGGGGTACATGCAGGGCATTGCAAGACAAAACAGTACACAAAGAAAACATTTTTTGATTAACTCAAAAGACATGTAGATGGGACATTCTACCAGAAATGTACACTGTCTGTCCTGGAGTTTTTACAGTGAATAAAACTTGTATATATTTTAAAAATGCCAAAAACTGATAAGAAGATTGATTTCTGTGAGTTGTTCTGTAAAGGAATGTCATTCATTAGGTTCTCAGCTGTTTTTTTGTTTATTATATCACAACCTGCTACTGTAATGACACTCACTGTGCACACTGCTGCTACTCCTAGTTATGTTTATATTCATCGCACTGTAACTACCTCATACCACTTAGTGCAATACCTGCTGTCAAGTAAATACAACAAATCTGTCTATGCTATGTAAATATGCAATAGATATACTTTATTCCTACTCTCTCATAGGTTACTCTAATTTCTGTCTATTTCTTGTTTATGTCTGTTTTTATTTCTATTTTTGCCTAATATATGTAAGTTTATATGCAATTATATTCCTTGCTACTGTGCGATTTCCCTTCAGGATCAATAAAAATCTATCTATCTGCCTGTCTGTCTGCCTGTCTGTCTGCCTGTCTGTCTGCCTGTCTGTCTGCCTGCAAACACTTTTAAAAAGGACAAATCCTAAGAAATGGACTGTCCTCAGCAAATTGTGAGCTACATCTTTCATAGTTTGGTTATGATAACTGTTTTTAGAACAAAAACAAATCTAAGTTGCTATCATTCACATAAATTAATGACAAACATGAAATTATACAAAAATTCTACAAATAAATAGTATTTCACAACTGTCCCTATGTTTTCATTATATCCCGTCTAAAAATTGCACAGTATGGCTATAAAGTTAAATCTTAGAGGAATTGACATAGTTTGACAAAGGTAATGCTGACATTGAAGGGTGTGTTATTGTATTAGATGATTTTAAGTTTTTTTTTTTTTGGATGAGTGCAAGCTAATGGGTCAGGCCCTGTCATGCTGAAATATCCCAGAAAAGAATGAAGTTGTTGTAAATTCAAAACATGAAAAGGCTTGCATGCTCATAGTTTTGGTAACAGGCTGAACAATGGCAGTTAAAATGGCTGACCATGAGGTCCTGTCACAGCCCTGTGTTACAGAAACTAAGAGCCTTATGACAGGGCCTTACAAATGAATGGCACAGTTCCTTTTTATTACAATTATTGCATATAACATGTATTTAATAAATACCATAGTAAAACATTATTTGAATGAATAGACATTACACTGTAAATTTGAAGTTCATGGACAAAAGTTTGTTTGGACTATATGAGTTGTCAGTCATATTCTAATGATATAGGTCCTTACTGTATGTTCTTGACTAAACTTTACAATATTAGTCTAACATAACATTACCATTAAAATCATAACAAGAAATTGAAATAGGAATGCTTAATTAACAACTTTTCCTGCATTAACAAATTCCATGAAGTCAGTCCTGTCACAACACCATCAGTCCTGTCACGCAGGATATTATGATATAAAAAATTGACTATTTGAGAAAATATTCATGAGTTTATCTCTTTAACTGTGCAGATGAAAGTGGAAATATGTATCTGCCATCACATGTTTATAAAAATCTCCTATGTAAGGGTAGGTTTTTACAATTACATGAGTGCCTGGCACTTATTCTGTGCTTACTATCCATCCATTGACTGGAATGGATCTATTTCTAACCATGTTAGAAACAATCAGGGATTTGTGATCAATAAGAAAATGCTATTTGTGCAAAGGAAATTCATTGAAATGATTCTAACATATACAAATTTGTCCGTGACAGGTCCTGACATTTCAGTAATGAATTGCATATAACAATTTACAGACACTAGACAGTTCAGTTCATTGTTCATTTGGTATGAGGAAGTATGAGGAAATGACAGTTTATGAACAGGGGCGTTCTTAAACTGCATTTTTTAAAACCTGAGTTTCTTGAACTACAACTACTGACAAATTTTGCTTGTACCATCACAGAATCTCAAGTAAGGACGTCAGCAAAAATACCATCATGAGAACATGAAGAGTTGGAGGATTAAGACTTCTAGATAGAGTTCTACTCATGGTTCTTGCTTTGTCTTGTTTCTCAGTTGAGGGTAAGTACAGAGTACAGGTATATCAAGTTTCAGTATTCAATTGTTGATCTAAGATCTATGTTGTACAAAATCAACTTGTAAAGCAATTATAGCAAAAAGAATTTTAAAAAGACCTATTTAAATGATCATTTAGCTATTTTATCAACTCTCCCTTTGCTTTCCTTTTTCGAATAAGGCCTCAAATTTTCTTTTCTATGTAATTATAAACCAAATTCTAAAGATTTGATGCAACCAGAAACTTTTGTGCAACTATGACTCTCGAAGGGGGAAGTATGTGGGATATGGTGAATATGGGTTCAGAAATGCTGAGAAATTTAACAACCAGAGCTTGAAAATGGCTACTCACAAAGCTGAGCTGGAGACAGTGGGCAAAGCCAATGCAAGATACTATGTCAATACCACAACTAGAGAGTGTAAGTGAATTAATGTTCATATATCAAAACATGCATTTCTACTTAAAAACAAACAAATGTGCAATAACACATATAGTGCTGTCATTACTTCTATCTTTTCATATTTGTCAATTTGTAGTTAATTGTTCTGGATATGCAAACACATTTATTTTAATATAAGAAAAAGTCAACCTGAGTAAAAACAAAATACAGCTTTTTGTGATGATTTCATTTACTGAAGGAAAAAGGTTATCCAACACCAATATTTGCCCCCTTACTCAATCAACCAGTTAGCCAAATTCAGTTGATAATTGGAGTCAATTAGACACACCCATGCTTGATTACTGTTGAAGCTAAACATTACTTAAATAGAACCTTTCCAGTAATGTGAAGTAGGCTAAGACGTCTCAATAAGCAGATAAAAGAAAATCTGGAAAACATGAGAAAAAAAGTTTAAATATATCAGCCTGGAAAAGGTTACAAGGTCTTTTTTCAGGCACTGGGATTTCAGTCAACCACAGTAAGAGCTATTATAGCCAAAGGCAGAAAACTGAATCTTTCCAAAATGGCCATCCTACCAAAATTCCTCCACAGCGATGACTCATCCAGGACGCCACAAAAGAACCCAGAGTAACACTTTAGGAACTGCAGGCCTTGCTTGCCTCTGATAAGTTCAGCATTTATGATCCCATTAGAAAGAGACTGGGCAAAAATGGTATCCAAAGGAGCATTGCAAGGTGAAAACCACTGATAATCAAGAAGAACATGAGGCTTGTCTCATATTTGCCCAAAAACACCTTGATGATCATCTGGCGTAAAGCTTGTGTTACATCTGGCAGCTAACACAGCATTCCAGAATCACATAAGCAGTCAAACATGGTTTTGGTAGTGTGATGGTGTAGGGATGCTTTGCTGCTTTGTGGGGTTTGTAGTGCAATGGTATGTGGCAGTGGTGGACAGTAACTAAGTAAACGTAATTCGTTACTGTACTCAAGTGTTTTTTTTGTATATCTTTACTTTACTGAAGTACTTCCATTTTGGGAGACTTTTTACTCTTACTCCACTACATTTCAAAGCCAAATACCTTACCTTTTACTCCACTACATTATGCGATATCTGTCATTCCTTTTGGCTCATGTGTGTATAAAAACGTCATCTCAAAACAAAAGAAGTGTGAAGCGAGCACACCAATCAGGGTACAGCACGCACTTTGTTTTGAGCTTGTTTTGACCTGTTGGACATACCTACTCAGTGCAAGTATATGGCTCAACATCAGTGCAGCAGTGTAAAATTTTGGGAGTGCCTATACCAACATAAATGATGGAACTAATCTAACTTTGTGTAAATAGACCACAATATAAAAAATATGTACACATATGCAGTTGTGACTGGCATGTGTCTTTTTTCTGAATTTATACAAAACACTTTCATTTTATAGTAAAGGAAAACACATTTGTGAACCTGTGTTTAAAGCAAGTTTTTATTAAATTTAAACTTGTAACTAAGTTGCAAATAAATCTTAAACTGAAACTTTGCTTGTTTGCAAAAAGTTATTTCATAGCCACTTGGTTCTACCTAATGGAAATTGTTTGCCTTCAGTGTTTTGTGCTTATGATAATTTTAATAGACATCAGTGACAGACTAATTCATGACATTCTATTAAAAGATTGGTTTACCAAGAGTGATACTAGAGTATTTTCACCTAAAATGAGTTAATGAAGCAAGAGTCTTGTTACAAAAATAGTAATAGGACATTAGAGTCATAATTAATCTTTTAGTACTTTTACTTTCGATACTTAAGTATATTTGAAGTCAAATACTTTTGTACTTTTACTCAAGTGCAGGTCTAAAGGCAGGACTTCTACTGGAGTAATATCTTACCTAGGGTATCTCTACTTTAACTCAAGTACATGACTTGTGTACTTCGTCCACCACTGGTATAGGGATGCTTTGCTATTTTGGGACCTTTAAGTGATGCTTTGCTGCTTCAAGGCCTGTGTGAAATCCTGTACATTACTGTGGGAAACTCAACCTTGACTAATAGTCTATTAGAAGTTTTAGCATAATCAGCCCAGTTTGAAGGCATATGTCCACCCTCACTTTCTGCTGGTCTTCCACTATCTCAACACAAAAATACACATTAAGGGTTGTGGAAAGTATTGTGTGATGAAGTGGAGATGTAGCCATCCAGCTGTTTATCTGCCGTTCAGAGCTTTTAATTTCTTTTGAATTTATATTATTCTTTTCTGCTGATTTTATGTGGAACAGCAAAAAGCTTAAAACGGTTATAGGCATAATATAGGTATCGTTGACTAAAATATTGTATTACCAAAATACAATAGAACAGTAAAAAATGTCATGTAGGAACTACATTTCCAAAACTGGAGTTTTAAAAGATATTAAAATATACAGAGAAATTGATGTAAGACTTGGCAGACCATCAAAAATGTCACTATCATACTTTTTTTCATATCTTAGACAAAATCAAGCTCCATTTACTATGGGTCTAAAAGGGTGGGTTGCTGTCAACATTTACTATGGGTCTAAAAGGGTGGGTAGCTGTCAAGAAGCTGTTACTGAGAAATGGAAAAGACATAATTTGCAAATCAAACAAAGGAGTCCAGATCTTAACATAACTGAATGTGTTTGGGCTTGCATGGATTGAGTGGAGCAGAAAATGCAACCACTTCTAAGACTGAACTTTGGTAGTGTTGAAAAATAAATTCAATTGAAAAATTGTCTTCTGAAAAGAAAAGAAGTTGTCATTAAAGCAAAGCGTGGGCACACGTGATGCTAAATATAATTTGAAATTATAGTTACTTGTGGAGGGTTCTGTGTAATTTTCTGTTAAATATGTTTTGTGCTTTTTGTCGTTGCTGAAAAATACGAACTTGCACTAAATGGCTGTTTTGACTAAACTGAATAAATGAAGGATGGTCTTTGACTTTTGCACAGTAGCTGTGTAATGACATACACAACTGGCACATGATCATGATCTTATGACCGTATCTGACATTGTTGTTCTCAGGACAGGGCATGAATTTACTTAAGCCATTCAAAAATTGCTTTCTAGCACACACTGAACTTAGCAAGATTGGGTTTCATGACAGGTGCAGTCCAATAACACTTTATTGGATAACCCCCTGTAGATGCTTTGTAGATCTTTATCTTGCATTTAAATTTCAGTTAACAAAACTTTTTCTAAGCTTAATCCTGGGCCTAACCCTAAACCTAACCTTAATCTAAGACCCAAACCTAACCCTTGTCCTAATTCATAGTCCTTTTCACCAGATAGTTTGTTAATAATGTGAACGTGTATATAACCCTGTTTTTCAAAAAAGTTGGGATGCTGTGCAAAATGTAAATAAAAACAGAATGCAACGATATGCAAATCATTGAAATTCTATATTTAATTGAAAATAGTACAAAGACAACATATCAAATGTTTTAAAAAAGTTGTGACGGGGGCATGTTTACCACTGTGTTGCATCACCTCTTCTTTTAACAGCACTCTGTGAGAGTTTGGGAACTGATTGCTGTAGTGTTGAAAGCGAAATGTTTTCACGTTCTTGCTTGATACAGGATGGTCTCCTTTGTCTTATTTTTAGTTTTATAATGCGCCAAATGTTTCCAGTGAGTGACAAGTCTTGACTGCATGCAGACCAGTTTAGCACCCAGACTTTTTTACTACAGAGACATGCTGTTGTAATAGGTGCAGAATGAGGTTTGGCATTGTCTTGCTGAAAAAAGCAAGGCCTTCCCTGAAAAAGCCATCATCGTAGCATATGTTGCTCCAAAACCTGTAGACATTGTTCAACATTAATAGTGCCTGCAGAGGTGTGCAAGTTACCCATGCCATGTGCACTAATGCAACCTCATACCATCACGGATGCTGGCTTTTGAACTGTGCACTATTAACAGACTGGATGGTTCCATATGGATCCATAATTTCCAAAAAGACGGACCACAGGAAAACATTTCCACCTCACCTCAATCCATCTTAAATGACCTCAGGCCCAGAGAAGGCAGTAGTGTTTTAACTTGCATTTGTGGATGTAGCAATGAAATGTGCTCACAAACAATGGTTTTCAAAAGCGTTCCTAGTCTGTGCATTGATTTCCACTACAGAATTTTAATGTAGTGCCGGGATGTGTGTTCTCTGCAGAGGAGGTGTGCTTAGAAAACCAAGAAGATGGAAAGGTATGAGAGACTGTCTCTTGCTAGACAATTGATACTGAAATATAATATTCAGTACTTTCTCTCTCTTTTTAAGACTCCTCATCTCTTGATAACAGAATCTATAAGTTAGCAGTGGGTATCACTTCTCTGATTCTTGAGGATCCGAAGATCACGGCCATCCAGTATTGATTTTCGGCAGCCCTTGCATACAGAGATTTCTCCAGATTCTCTGAATCTTTTATGCACCATAAAATGATAAAATCCCCAAAATCTCTTTATTATTTTATATTGGGAATCTTATTCTTGAATTGTTTTGCACTATTTGCCCACGCAGTAATTTAAATGATTTGCACATCATTGCATTCTGTTTTTATTTACAGTTTGCATAGTGTCCCACCTTCTTTGGAAATGGGGTTGTAGTTAATTTATTGTGAGCTCAAATGAGCCACTTTACATCAGAGTGTATACTCAGATATCACAGTGCGGGTGAAAACAACAGAAGAGGCTTCAATGGAGCATGAAAAACGAATTGAGGAATTGGAGCACACGTGTGCGGCGCTACAAAAGGATGCAACCCGGCTGCAGGCTAAGTTGGAGGACTTGGAGTCGCGCTCCCGTCGCCAAAATATCCGAATTCGAAGGAGGAGAACGGTAGACCGACAGAATTTGTTGCCAGATTAATCCCCGAAATTCTGGGAAGTGAGCATTTCAGCAAGCCAATTCAGGTCGACCGTGCACACAGGAGCCTGCAGCCGGCTATCGAGAGTAAGGCACGGCCTATCATAGCCCGGCTCCATCACTGTCAGGTCAAAGAACTTGTGCTACGTTTGGCTAGACAAAAGAAGCAGCTCCATTACAAGGGATCCCGGGTGTCTGTCTATCCGGACCTGGCCTCCGACACCATCAGAAAAAGGCAAGCATTCAGTGAAATTAGGAGGAAATGCAGTGAAAGGGGCATAAGATGTGGTTTTCGACATCCCGCAAGGTTCATTGTAACTGCAGGAGACGACACATCAACCTTCACTACGCCAGCAGAGGCAGAGAATTTCCTTCGTGCGAAGGTGAAAGACTGGTGAACCTGCTCATGTGGAGAAACGGTAGAGAATGTAAGACAGACTGTACAGCACTATTTTGAAGTTTAATGTGGTTTCGGACTGAATTCAGTTTCATCTAAAAGGCGAGGACTTAAATTTCACTTATATTTTCACAAGAAGGGGACGGACTTTTTCGTAACGTAGCTAATTCAGCTCATAAGAAGGTGCACAGCGTATACGATTTAGTTCGTTACTGGCGTTAATTAAGGTGTAGTTTAGTTAAGACGGAAGTGGGGAGGTTGTTTAGGAAAGGGAGAGTGAAAATGTTCTCTTATTTGTTCTTGTTTCTTAGAGGGTTAACATCGACATTTGTAATGGAATCCAGAGGTTCAGTTGTACTGTTAAAGGTTTCTTTACGATTACATGACAGGAAATACTCATATGTTACATAGCCAGCACGCCAAGTATGGCAATAGGCTCACAAGATTTGTAAGCTGGAATGTACGAGGTCTGAACAGCCCGGTAAAAAGAGGCAAAGTTTATTCACATTTAAAATTCTTAAAAGCAGACATATGTTTCCTCCAAGAAACACATAAAAAAAGCAGCACATAAAATGCTTTGTCCAACATGGGCATCATATGTATATCAGTCAAATTTCAACGTGAAAGCAAGAGGAGTGGCTATAATCATAAACAAAAACACCCCTTTTAGACACAAGCAAACTATTACAGACCAGAATGGTAGATACGTTATAGTGTGTGGGACTATCAACTTGACACCTGTTACACTTGTTAACATTTATGGTCCGAATTTTGATGACCCAGCATTCTTCCAGAAATTCTTTGCTGTAATTCCTGATTTATCACAGAGTAATGTAGTTATTGGTGGAGATTTTAACTGTGTCCTTGACCCTGTATTAGACAGACAACCAAGCCAAATTCATACATCAAAATCAAGTTCAGTGTTGAGCAAATATATGGATAACTTAAACATAGTAGATATATGGAGACTGCTTCGTCCATCAGACAGACACTACTCCTTCTTTTCCTCTGTCCATAAATCCTACTCTAGAATAGATTATTTTCTTCTAGACTCAAAGTTAATCTCCACAGCCACCTCATCCCAGTATCATAACATAATAATATCCCCCCACTCTGTAGATTTAAATTTCAGTGTGGTCAAAAGAGAATATCGTTGGTGCTTAGATAGTTCTTTGTTGCAAAGTGGGAAATTCAGTCAGTTCCTGGCAGAGAAAATAGCACAGTTCTTAGACACAAATGATAAAGGCGATGTACATGACTCTATGCTTTGGGAGTCTATGAAAGCAGTCCTTAGAGGAGACATAATAGCATATGAAGCATCACAAAGAAAACAAACAAAGGCAAAACTAAAGGAAATTAATGACAAATTAACTAAATTAGAGGAAACATACAGAGCAACTAAAAAAAACTAGCATACTGAATAATATAATGAAACTAAAATACGAATATAACCAGATTATGTCTAAAGATGTTTTTAAATTACTTCAGCAGGTCAAACAAAAACACTTCGAAATAGGCGACAAACCTCAAACTGTTAGCCCGCCAGTTGAGGAAAACCCAAGCTGCACAAGCTATACATCGCATAAAATCAAGCAATGGCTCCATCTTGACAGACCCTAAAGCAATAAATCAGCGTTTTGCACAGAAATTTATAAATCACAGTGCAAAGGTGGACTAAGTGACATGAACAGTTTTTTCTCCAAATTTAGCATTCCAAAACTGAGTGAAGGGTCTGTAGAATTTTTAGATGCAGAAATAATGCTGGAGGAGATACATGCAGCCATTTTTTCATTTCCAAACAATAAAGCCCCAGGCCCAGATGGATTTAGTATAGAATTTTATAAAAAATATAGCAAAGAAGTTTGTCCACTACTACGTCGCATGTTTCGGCATTCATTGGAAACATCTAATCTTCCTCCAGCATTGTACAGAGCCAATATTGCTCTGATCGCAAAACCAGGTTGGGACCCCTTATTAGTCTCATCCTATTGACCTATTTCATTAATACCTATAGAGACCAAACTGCTAGGGAAAATACTTGCGAATAGGTTAAAAGATCACATAGGCTCAATTGTACATCCTGACCAGTCAGGTTTCATGCCAGGTAGACATACTTTCTTCAATCTCCGTCGTCTGTTTGACATTCTATATGCCAAACATGAGATGGAAGCTGTTGTCATCTCTCTCGATGCACAACGTGCTTTTGATCAGACTGAGTGGCCATGCATGATGTATATCTTAGAGAAATTTGGGTTTGGACCTATTTTCCTGCAGTGGATACAAATTATGTATAAACAACCAAACGCATCAGTTATTTCCAATCAAAATATTTCTTCTCCTTTCCCAGTATACAGAGGAACTCGTCAAGGCTGTTGTCTTTCCCCATATTTGTTTGCTATTCTTATAGAGCCACTTGCTATAAGCATACGTCAGCATACAGAAATAATGCCTATCAAGATAAAGGGAAGTCTGCAATATATATCTCTGTATTCTGATGATATATTGTTGTATGTCTCCAACCCTTCAGTGTCCATTCCTCCACTTCTTTTCCTGATAAATACTTTTGGATCATTTTCTGGATTTACAATTAATTGGGAAAAAAGTGAATTGATGCCCATTACACAAAATGTGAATGTGCAGTTTTTACAGTCTACCCCATTTAAAATAGCTTACCACAGTTTCACATATCTTGGTGTTAGGGTAACAAAAAATTCAGGAGACCTGCTAAGGGTAAATTGGGAGGGAAAAATAGAGCAATTAAAACAAAATATTGACTATTGGAAGACTTTACCCATGTCACTGGCTGGAAGAATTAATGCAGTTAAGATGATGGTACTCCCACGGTTTTTGTATGTTTTTCAGACCATCCCATGCTTTATCCCACTCAATTTGTTCAAACAATTAGACTCACTGATAACACCATTCCTGTGGAATTATAAAATACCAAGGATATCTAAAAAACATTTATGTAAACTAAAAGAAGGTGGTTTTGGTATACCTAATTTTAAACTGTACTATTGGGCAGCAAACTTAAATATTTTCTCATGGTGGAAACAAGGCCCGACAGACTTTACAGCTGTCCTGCATGGTTGTCAATAGAAAGGTCTCTCTGCAATAAAACCACACTACCTGCCATACTTAACAGCCCTAATAAAGTGAATAAATCATTGTATGATGGGCATTTTATAATAAGCAGTGCTCTTAATATATGGAAGCAAATCAAAACACATATAGATAGTCCAGATACATACCTGGATAGCCCCATATGTAGAAACCATGCCTTTCCCCCTGCTTTAAATGATATTGTGTTCACTCAATGGAAGGAAAGTGGGATAAAATGTATTAGGGACTTGTATAAAGATGGTAAATTTGCTGAACTTCAAAGAATGTACAAACTCCCTGTCTCACACTTTAGATATTTAAAAGTCCGGGATTTTGCAAGGTCACATCTGACTAACTTTCAGACCATTTATCTACATAATACACTTGAAGAAATTAACCGATTTAATCCTTTGGACCAGAAGGCAGTCTTCAATTTTTATCGAATATTATTAGGACATATAAACACTAGTACAGAGTCAATTAAGCTTCTGTGGGAAAATGAGTTAGGAATGGAAATAGAAAACGATGTATGGGAGATCTGTCTGAAGAATATACATAATTGCTCAATAAATGTAAGACATAATGTAGTCCAGTTTAAAACCCTGCATAGGATATACCTCTGTAAAACTAAGCTTCACAAGGTTTTTCCAAATATTTCTCTGTAACAAATGTAATGCAATGGAAGGTACACTGATACATTCGTTATGGGCATGTAGTAAGCTACAGACATTTTGGGGCAGTATTTTTAATTGCCTGTCAAAAGCATCTGGAAGGGACTGGAAACCTAATCCACTTTGGGCTTTGTTGGGACCAACCAATGACTCGGTAACCGTGGAGAAACATGAACGCCAGGCCATTCTTTTTAGTATGGTTATTGCAAAAAAAAATATATTACAAATGTGGAAACAAGAGTCAGTACCAACATATGAAATGTGGATAAAGGAACTAATCAATGTACTGCATTTGGAGAAGCTGCGATTTTTAAAAAATGAACAGTTAGAGCTGTGTGATAAAATATGGGGTCCTCTATTTGCCTATTTTGAAAAGGACCAAGACTAACCTGGTTCAACTTGTGAGATACCTGTTGTTGTATGTAATTGTATGTTTAAAAACTAAGAAATCCTCCTCCTGTACGATGTAACCCTCCTGTTACTAATTTTAAAATGAAAATAAATGCTTAAAAAAAAAAAAAGTAACTACATTATTTGCCATTATTTATACTAGTCGGTCAGTTTGCACAGCCAGATGCAGCCAGCTATGTCTTTGTGTGGACTGAGGGCTAGCATTGGCATCGAATGACTCTTTTAAAGGCTTCAGTCATATTTAACTATCAAAAACATTTTAATTTGATTGCAATATTAGTGATATGCAAGGTTGACTGGAAGCGTCTTGAAATACACGTTTAGATAATTCCCAGCCTAATCATGTTTGATGTGGTTTGTTGTAAGAGTCCTTGTTATATTTTGTTTCGGTTTGTCACAAGGGAGGGAGGTGTTGAGGCAGGATATAAGTGTAAGTGAAGCAACTGTTAACATAAAACAAAATAAACACAGAAACAGTCATGTAAAGAAACAAAAGACAGTTCAAAAGTCCAGTGAAACAAGAGGGCTATATAGACAAAGACTTGCGAGACTTTACAATCTAAACACAGGTGGAAGGACTAATGATTAGGCAGGTTCTGAGGAGGAGACATGGGAGGAGTCTGTGCATGGCCCTAAACTTCATTCACTCCTTTCAGATGTTTGAAATCCCCCCATCTGCCACTTCAGTAACTCTTCTGCAGACTGTCTGCAGTAATACCCCATATAGAAAAGAATTACATGCATGTATTTTCTAACTTCATTTTACTACCCTCATTGATTAGATCATTTGGTCAGTAAAGATAAAGCATTTTTAAATATTTTGTGTGCTTTTAAATGTAACTGATTGGATTTATTTTATCATTGGATATGATTTTTATGAAAGATCAGATTACATTTTTAGAAAGTTATTCCAGAAGAAATCATAAGCATTCATGAAAGTGTTTGAAACACTTGTTAATGTTTTTTGTCCTACCATGAACAATTTGTAAGTATGACTGCTTGAATCTAGGATGTTTTTATCAAAGGTTCACATTTTAAAAATCCATATTTGATCAATGATGTAGGTTTAGATGTAGATGCATACATTTATAGTGGTCACAAATCAAGAAGGCCTAATGACTATTGATCAGGTCAGCTTCATATATGAAATGAGTTAATTAACAAATCAAAATCACCAGTGCTGAGCTATCTCATTAAGAGTCCTTTTTTTTCAAAATAAACGCTGTAATATGTTGGTTTTCTCATCATCATCATATAACTCTGCAATTTAAATTTTTCACTTTTAATTTATTTTTTCTTGTTACAGTGCCCCCTGTGGTTGCAGTGAGCTTCAATGAGAAGTCTCGCTATGGTCAGCTGACCATGTTGGAATGCCATATGTATGATTTCTACTCAAAAGACATTGCTGTCACCTGGCTGAAGGATGAGACAGTGGTCAATGAGGGCATATTCCAGTCTGAGACAATGGCCAGTGGGGACTGGACATACCAGTTCCATTCATACTTGGAGCTTGTACTTCAACAGGGGGAGAAAGTGAGCTGTCAAGTGGAGCATAGTAGTTTCAAGAAGCCCCTGGTTGTTTTATGGGGTGAGTTCTGTCAGGGAACTAGGGTTCATGTTATTTAGGTTCAGCCATTTTATGAGACGTAAATGTAAATGTGCAATTTGAAAAAATCCTTCCCACAAACTGAAAAAACAACCTTGTGTTGACTATGATTGCTGACTATCAGGTATTATGAAAGTTCAAGCCAGTTACCAACAGCTATAGTATTATGCTGTTTGTCTGATATGAAATTGAATATAGAATATAGAAATAGAATAAAAAAATTTGTGAGGTCCATTTTGCAGAAAAGTGACCTGCATCATACAGTGAATAAACTAACTGCCAAATACATGTTTTGCACCAACTGTCAGTGTCTCCTTAAGGATTTTTTTTACCCATCCATAATTATTATGTTTTCCCTTTCAATTGTTCATACATCCATCCTTCCATAAAAAAACTACTATTACTGTTACATAAATGGATTTGACTCCAGTTACTCAGTTTAATTTGTTGATTAATTACTTGTTTACCAATTTATTTTCAGCAGCAAATGCTGAAACATAGACATACCAAGTAAGTTGTCTATGGGAAGTTTTTGGATGCAAGCTTTTCTTCATAGTAGGCTACCTCATTATCAGTCACTGTTTCCACACTGAATCTTATTAAACGCTTTCAAAACTATGCAGATCTAGACCTCATGTCCGCATGCTAGTTATGGCCATGAAGTTTACTATCCACCTTTTCTATCCAACTTTATTGTTTTTGGCAATAAGCTTTACTATTAGCTTTACTGTCCACTTTGTCTTTGGCTTCTCCTTTTGTGGCAAATACAACAATGCACAGGATATACACTGTATGGACAAAAGTATTGGGACACACCTCTTAATCAGTGAATTCAGGTGTTTTATTCATTCCCATTGGCACAGGCGTATAAAATCAAGCACCTAGCCATGCATTCTGCCTTGGCAAACATTTGTGAAAGAATGGGTCATTCTAAAGAGTTCACTGAATTAGATTGTGGCACTGTAATAGGATGCCAGCTTTGCAACATAGTGCATAAAAGTCACCAATGCTCTGCTGACTCAATAACTGCAGAGTTCCAGACAATTCAGACAATTGTATGCTTCCAACTTTGTGGGAACAGTTTGGGGAAGGATTTTTTAGAAACTGCACTGCTTGTCAAACTGCTTGGCTACATGATGATGTAATAGACAAACTGGTCACTACAGTGGTTGAAGTGCTGTATACAAAATTTAACAGAGCTATTAATTAGAAATCAACTGTGACTTGTAAATGGTGTGACGTGTACTAAACAATCTCCTCCTTTCTTGTAATTACATGTCTATGAATTAATTTGCAGGTGGGCACTGGAGAGGATACACTTTATAATGCAGAGCTTGCTTTATATTTGTTTGATGTTCAGAAAAGTTATATTTGTTGTCTTCCCATACTCAATTTTCATTTAGTTTTCAATAAATAGCATTATCCAGTCTTATTTTATACCCATGTCCACACTGTCTCAATATTGTCACAATGTGAATTATAGAATGAAAACCAAATAAATGTTTGAAAAGAAGATATAGCCTATGCTGTAAAAATGGTTTGTTAGTTCAATCTAAAAATTACTTTTAATGAGCAATTTAGTTTTTATTCAGCTCAAAAAATAATTTGAATAAAACAATAAAAAGCAAAATAAATAGGTTAGGTAAATTCAAACCTCAAAAACATTTCAAAACCAGTTCTAACCTGTTCCATTTTTACAGTAGACACTGTAAACTTAGCAGAGTTCAAAAAATAAAAATGTGTATAAGTTTAGAAATTCAGAAGTCAAGAGTGTGTACAACTCAGGGGTTTATGGTTATTTTGGTTGTATTAAACTTACATTATTGAAGAAGGCATCACAAATATTTTGAGTTGCTGAAGTGTTCATTTCCATCATTCGTTGTAAGTTAAAGTAATTGAAACCAATAAATGTACTCACAATAAAAAGTAATTCCACTGGTTTTGTTCACCATTCTAAATTAGAAACTGATTAGATGATTGTTTACCTTAACTGCAGCGATATGTCCTAATATATGAACATGGTAAAAATAAATAATGCATGTAATTTTTTTACACACTTATATTACTACTATCATTTGTAGACATATAACATCTGTTACATGATGTATCTAGTGGTAGAGAGGAAATAATATGGCCTGTGATGGGAGAGGAAAGGGAATGACACAAGGACACAGTAGTTGCGATTTCAACTGTCTTAAATGCTTTTTTTTGCTTCCCACTTGCAAAAAGTGTATGATTCACAAATAATATTTACAACAAAAGAGCAGATACTATGATACAATGAGCTGAGCTGAGAATGAGTATGGAGTTAAAAGATAAGAGTGGACTAACCACTGCTTAAGTAAGAACATTGACTAGTAGGACCCAACCAACTGCAAACGTGGACGGAGAACGGTGCCAAATAATGAAATAAATAAACCAAAGTCTAATCTGCCTGGCTAGGTCTACTCCTCACCAAAATACAGCAGGTGGCACTCGGCCTTTACCTGATGTGTCTAAACAATCAAACAACTACTGTGTATGTATAGGCACGCCCAACTTGCCTGTCCACACATCGCGCTAGGGAGAGAAATTCGAAAGAAAGAGAGAACTAAAGAGGGAGCACAGGAGACTACCATTTACTGGTTACATATTAACATCACTGCTGGCGCCATAAGTCACAAGCACACTAAATGCCCCCACGCGTGACTTCTCTCAGGTGAGTCCTTTTATCAGCTAAGACCCGCCCCTCAGCAGACAGCAGCGATTGATGGAGAGCAGAGCGCAGCCAAGCATCATCGACGTCCTCAATGGTCCACCGCACACCTGTACAGTGTTCTGGTTGGGTGAAATGGGGCAGAGAGACATTTACATTTACAGCATTTAGCAGACGCTCTTATCCAGGGCGACTTACAAAAAGTGCTTTGTCTACCTAGAGAAAGTATCTTTGCTAGTTACAAATAGGCCAGAGAAAAAGCTAGTCCTGAGCTCAGATATTGCTAGAAACAAAAGCCCATGTTGATACCTAGAGAGAAAGGAACAGAATTAAACACAGCGCAGTGCAATACATTTCAATAAGTGCAGTAAAATACATTACAATAAATACTTAACTCAGTGCTCACTTAAGTGCTGTACAAAGAGAAGTGTCTTCAGTCTGCGTTTGAAGACCGCAAGAAAGTCTGCTGTTCGGACAGCCAGCGGGAGTTCGTTCCACCACCTGGACGCCAGGACAGAGAAGAGTCTTGATGCTTGTATAACGAGGAGACGAAGAGAGAGAAAAAGAAAAAGAAAAACATAACACATATGTGCATCGCAGGCACGTAACAACATCTCTCTATCTCGAATTGAAAACTACATGCTTTTTAGTTATGTGTACCTACCAGGCTGTAAACGCAATCTACACATTTTTGGAAACACATGAAGGTCACGGAAGTCAGATGACCGAACATTGCTAGATTAAAATGCCTTTTGCCCATGTCTGCATGTACGTACGATACATTTACATACATGCATAGTACATAACTTACCACTGTAAAATCTATAGAGGGCAGTTACTTAGGTGTACTTAAATGGCTGAACAACTTCTTGCATGCTAGCACTGTTGGTTTTTGCTGACATTTTTTCGCCATCTGGTGGACGTTTTGCTATTTGCAGCTTATCTTGCCTCTCCCCTCCACTTCCCCAATATCATCATGGCGGCGCCCTGTCGACTCATTTCAAGGTTGGCTGTTGTGTCAGGTGACTTTTTTTTTACTACTCTTTTTTGTTATTCTCATTCAGATCATTAAGCTTAAAACAAGAAACACTTACATGCCTTCATTCAAGGGCGACAAAGATTTATTTGAAATGCCAACCGAGAATTTCATTCATGTGTGTTTAAACTCGAAAGCTTAACAAATATGTTGGCTAAGGATAACATAAATCAAAGACAAACATATTTGCTATCCGTTTGGATGTAAACGGCTTCGTCTAAACCGTCAACAGCTAAGCACTCTTGCAAAGGTACATATCGCTTAGCCAGTTTCGGATCAGTTTAAGCAGGTGCCCAAAACTACTGTGGTTGTCGCACTGAAAAGGATCTGGCGGTGATATCGTGCCGTAAGTAACGTTTGTTCAAAGGAAAACAATAATGCATCCAGGAGAAGCGCTGTAAGCTAGCTACCTTAGCTGCAGATTACCTACTCACATGGGTTGATAGTCTACCCTTTGTGACCTGTTCTTAAATGGTTAGATTTTATAGTTCATTCCAAGTCTGTACACCAATGTAACCCATTCATAACGTAGTTCATTTTTATAGGTTTGTATAACAGTACTTAGGTAGAGTTGCAGGCCCTTTAATTCTTTTTTTTTTGCAATATTGTTGTATTATTTTGTTACTTTTCATTTATATATTGTTTTTTTTGTTTTTATATGTTGTATAATAACTGATTAATGTTTTGTTTTGGGAAAAAGAAGTTATTATGAAGCTCAGGCAAAGTCATATGACTGCTCAGGTGTTGTTATTTATATCACTTGTGTTGAGTTTGTTTAATGACTCTTCCTTATGATGGCTCACGCCAAGACAGAGAGACAAGAGATTTTTGAGAGATTGAGAGATGTTTGTCTATATATATTATAACCTAGGGTTAATTATGGGCAAGTTTATGATAATTACATTTGATTGGCTCCTAGCTCTGTAAGAATAGTAATACATTAATCTTACACTACCAACGTTGCTACTGATGTTGGCTGATTAGTTCTGGATCACAAATGCCATTTCAGCTCATCCCAAAGGTATTCATCCATTGGTGCTCCATTACTCCAGAGAATGCAGTTCCACAGGCCAGTGCTGGGGGGGTTTCACGCCCCTCTAGCTGTGGATGACCAAATATCCCTGTTTTTCGGAGACATCCGTGTTTTTGGCCTGTCCCCAGCTGGAGCGGTCCCGGGAAATGTGAATTAAAAACACCTGGAAGTTCCAAAGAAAGACCTGGCAGCAGAGCAGAAGGGCAGATGTCTCACGTTGTGTTTTGCCAACAGAGGGGGCTGGCTGCTGCTACTAACCACTTCTGTCACTTGCTTGTCTAGTTTTAAAGAATACTGCTGTATAAAACTCAAACAGAAGTTAGCTAGTGTCAAGTAAGTCCACAACATCACCACAAATGTCTTTTCAAGACACAAGGTAACCCAGAGGTTAAAAGCAGCGTTTGGGTTACAGGACTTGCACCATGCTGCCAAGTGATAGGCAGCCTGTCTGATTTGTACAGGCATACAGGCTATGTAGGCTACCATGCAATCTACAAATAGTGCATAATTTATTAAAACTATGTCACTTCTCTGGCCGTCCATATATGGCATATGTTGTATATGTTGATAGCGGTCGTCTGTCTCTACAGAACTGGAGTGTGTTTAAGGTCTGGCTATTGGGCTATAGCCACAGGTCTCCTTTTACTGCCAGAATATTTAATATGTATATGAATTATGGGTTCATACTACCACTGAATAATTTTTTGGTAATGTTAACATCAGCCTCAGTCATCAGCTTCTCTGGCACTAGTAGCTTTTGGTTGTTAAATTTGTTTTGGGAGAGTTTTTGGGTTTAAATTAATATTTTCCATCACATCTTTATGTTCCTGCGCACAAATGGGAAATGCAGGCCATATACAGTGAGCATTTTTCATGTTTCATGTATTTACTGCAGCAGACTGAGCCAGCTCCATTTTTATAATGTTCAATACTATCAGTGATCTTTAAAAGTTGTGGTAAAAGACAAAATGTTTAAATGTCTAAGCAGACTATGATAATGTGAGATACTGCCTGCTTGTTATCCACTGCAGGCTCCCCTGGCTTAAAAAGACTAATGCTGTAGCCTAGTTTGTTAGCAATAGATAGCTAGTTTAGTATGTCTAGATTTATTTACTTCATTAAAACTAGACAAAAGCTTTTATATCTAAAGGTGTACTAATGTGTTTCTGTACCTGTGTATGTCTAACTAGGGTTGTCAAGTGTTCCGATTTTGGACTGTTCTAGCCTTCTCATTGTGCTTCTCTCTCTCAGCCCTCTGTCTAAAAGCTATGCTGATCTGTGCCAGAGGAATCACAGGTCTTTGTAAACAGCAAAGAAGAAAAGGAAGCAGATATTAGAATTTTTTTGAGTGTCAGAGGCAAAATGTGAGCGTAAGGAGTTGTTTTACCATGTAGAGAATCGGTCAGATACTTCACTGTTCTTCAACTGTGTTGTAATTGTGAGTAATTCTGGTAATAGGGAGATTGATAGCATGAATTTGATATTTTCAATGTAAGAATATTTTGCATATTGGATAACCATTTAATGGTGCATTCCTAGTGTACAATCAGGGTCAGGCAAAATGCTTTGAAAAAGTAGTGATGGCTGAATTCTAAACACACTGTCCTAAATTTATTATAGTATTCTTTTATGATGCATAACACTAACATACTCAGAATAGATTTAGAATACATTTATAATACATGTCACCTGTCCAGGGTATTTCCTGCCTCCTTCCCATTGACCGCTGGGACAGGCCCCAAACCCCCCCCCCCGTGACCCAGAAGGATAAGCGACTTAGAAAATGTCTGTGTGTGTGTGTGTATAATACATGTTGGTAAGAGAGATGGGAAAACCTTTTCCTAAGAAAAATTCCTAACTGTTTTTTCTTCCCTCACCACCTGCCTCAGTCCTCTGCTACTCCACAATTCCCTGTGCAGGAGTCCAGTACAACACTAATGCCAACTTATCACTTGTAAACTTTGTCCACTACTTAGAATATTATTGGCTTGATCATTCCTTTACAAGAGCTCAGTAACACTGAGATTAATAACTGGTTCATCACATTGATTTATCAATCTACTCAGTAATACTGAGGTTAATAACTGATCATCGTATTGATATATCAGTCTACTCAGGCTTTAGCAGAGCTCAGTAACACTGAGATTAATAACTGCTTATCACTTTGACTTATCAGTGTGCTCAGGCTTTAGCATGAACTTCAGTGCTTGTGAAGAGGTTATGTGACATGTGCACTGATTCTGAAATAGTTTGACTAAGGTTTTTTTTACACATATTGTATGTTTTTTATTTAGTGGATACGTATTCTAAAAGTATTGTACCAAAAATATAAAAAGTAACTGTATTCTGATTACTGCCTTTGCAATGTAACTTGAGCTGAATGCAGACACTTCATTTTTGTATTCTGAATATGTATTCCAAATACTTGTATACTTGCATCCCAACCTTGTGTAAAATGTACTTAATGCTAATAATTAGTATAAGACATTTGTCAAATGATGGATCAGGTAGTATGAGCAGTGCACCTGAAACACATAAGCTGCCTTTTGAAAGAATACTTTGCCAAAAATAAAATGACAGTCTTGTAATGATCTGTTTAATATAAAGACCATTTGGTTTTAAATTTTGTTTCCTAACACAGTGAACTTAATACATTTTTTAAGTATGACATAAATGCCCAAATTGTTTTTGGGGCTGTTGTATATAATCAATGACATGTTTATTTTGTTTGTTAAAATCTAATCTAATCATGCTCACAAGTGATTAGAAAAGTAATTTTGCCCTCAATTCTTACATTAAATGACAAATTTACAGGTTGGGGAGGCAAACATTGATCAGTTGAAAAGTGCATTAAAACATTCTGACTTTGATGTCTCATAAGATAATATTTCTTTTTGCAGGAGGGGGCAGTGGCATTGGAAGGGCAGTGTGCCAGAGGTTTGCTTCAGAAGGTGCTTCCGTAGTTGTAGCTGACCACAACAAAGAATCAGCCCACAAGACACTTGAACTCCTTTCACGTCACTACAGAGGACAGGAACATGTGGCACTTGAAGTGGATGTGTCATTGAAGAAGAGTGTAGGAAGATTAGTAAATACTATACAGGTGTGAGATTATTTTGTACATTCTTACAGTTATTTCTTTATTAGCATCCATATACGCTCGTTTACAGACAAATTCAGTCAAATATTCACTCTAAGTCTTGCTGCTTTGTCATAAGAAGTGTATGAGCATTCCAGTGCTCATAAAGTACAATCAATCAACAATACAAATAGGAATTTACTGAATATAATATTAATGAATATAATGTTTATTAACGTATTTTTGGTGTTCCAGAGCCATTACTTCCAACCACCCTCCATATGTGTGAGCGCTGCTGGCATTACTCAAGATGAGTTCCTACTGAAAATGGAGGAGAGGGACTTTGACAGCGTCATTCAAGTCAACCTCAAAGTACTTCCCTGTGTCATGACAGTGATATCCTTGCAACATTATATACTGAGGCAGTATAGTTGGGTGGCTACCTTCAAAAAGATTTCTAGAGGACGCATATTACGACTGACCGTAGACCATAGATATATATGTAATATGATGTAAATGTTTTATTTTATAACTAATGTATATCTGAACTTATCTTAGTATTCATACAGCTTATTTCTGGTATCTGAAAAGGCATGTGTAGTTTGGAATAGAACAAAACTGAAAAAAATTGCATTATCTTGTAATTTTTAAATAGATTTTTGAGTGTGCAACCTAGAACTGCACAAAAATACATGTGATTCTGAGGCATACCTTAAGGAAGGACCTTTAAAAATCTAAGAATTGAAACTCAATGCAAGTCGGCAACTTGTATATGTATATACACTCCCTGAGCACTTTATTAGGAACACCTGTACACCTACTCTAATCAGCCGATTGTGTGACAGCAGAGCAGTACCTAAAATCATGCAGATATGGGCCAGCAGCTTCAAGTAATGTTCACATCAAACATCAGAATGGAGAAATATGTGATCAAATCACATAGTGATTTTGACCATGGCATGATTATTGGTGTCAGACAGGATTTTCCCACACAGCAGTCTCTAGAGTGGTGAAATAATGAAAAAACATCCAGTGAGCGCCCATTCTGCAAATGGAAATACCTCGTTGATGATGTTAAAAAAGAATTGCCAGACTGGTTCGAGCTGACAGAAAGGCTACAGTAACTCAGACAACCACTCGGTTCCACTGTGGTCAGCAGAAAAACATTTCAGAATGCTTGTCGAACCTTGAGGAGGATGGGCTACAACAGCAGAACGTCAGCCAAGAACACAAAGCTGAGGCTGCAATGGGCACAGGCTTACAAAACTGGACAGCTGAAGAGTGAAAAAAGTGTAGCCTGGTCTGATGAACCCATAGACCCAATCTGCCTTGTGTCAACAATCCAGGCTAGTGGAGGAGGTGTAATGGTATGTGTAATGTTTTCTTGGCACACTTTTTTCGCCAATTAATACCAGTCAATCATTGCTTGAATGCCACAGCCTATTTGAGTATTGTTGCTGACCATATGCATCCCTTCATTGCCACAATTTGCCCATCTTCTGATGGCTTCTTTCAGCGTGTTAATGCACCATGTCACAAAGCAAAAGTCATCTCAAACTGGTTTTATGAACGCGACAATGAGTTTAGTGGTCTTCCGTAGCTTTTCCAGTCAGAGGCTCTGAATTCAATAGAACACCTTTGGGATGTGGTAAAATGGGAGATTCACAGGATGAAAGTGCACCTGAAAGATTTACAGGAATTGCATGATGCAGTCATATGAACAGAAACTTAAAGGAATGTTTCCAACATCTCATGGAATGCAAGCCATGAAGAATTGAAGCAATGGGAGGCCCTACCCAGTATTAGTGTTCCCAATAAAGTGCTTGGTGAGTGTACATGTGTGTGTGTGTGCTACAGATAGTACTTTATTGGCTAAAATTCTATGTTTTTTCAAATAATTTTGGAAGTATTTTAACTTGTTTACCTATGTAATGCCATAACTAGATCAAAATTGCGTTTTGTTTTACTTCTTGAATAATGCAACTCTCTATCCTGTGGAAAGAAGTTAGTATGGCTTATTGCTTCATCACTTAGTGGTTACTGCTCCACTTTACAATAAAACCATTTACATTTGACCACAGCAGCTCTAACAGGACAGAAATTTGACAAACTGACTTGTTGAAAAGGTGGCATGCTATGATAGTGCCACATAGGAAACCAATTCTACTGCTGGTGTTTGTATGGCTGTGTGTTAGCAATTAATGTAGCTTATATAGCCTAACTGATTAGAATAGGTGTCCACATACTTTTTTCATGTACATAAAATCACACAAATGTTATAAGTGGACTTATACAAGAAAATGTAGAAACCCTTTCATACAACTCTGAGCTTGCTTACATAAATGTGTTTCCCAGCAAATGCGATATCAGGCCTCTGCTTTATTTAAACATGCAAATTCTTGTGTTAAAAGTGTTGAAGCATTTTAACTTTTGTGCACCATCAGCTGTTACACTCTCTTCTCTCTTTTAGGGTACTTTTCTTCTAACACAGGCAGTCTCAAGCGCTCTTGTAGCTGCTGGCATTTCCAAAGGCTCCATCATTACAATGGGCAGCATAGTAGGCAAGGTCAGCTAAATTTTAACACATAGTGTTAAAACATATGTGCAACATACAACGTTGTATGATGCCACACTAAACTGTGTAATTTGCAAACAAATGTATAAAATTGTGTGATTTGGTTTTAAAGAAAATATGCTGATGAAACTGATGAATTCATTTTGAAAATAATATTGCTTTCTGGTAGGAGATCCAGGATATTATATAATGATGACAAATTTGTGTAATCAATTTGTTATGAGCTATGTGGCCACCTGTAAAATGTGATGTGAAAACATACAGATTCCTCTTAAATAGTGGGTTTATATGAACTTTACTCGATCACTATTATGGCTATATTATGACTTGACTGAATCTGGGCTTCTGTTCTTGCCTCATTTTTCATAGGTACAGTTTGTACAGAGAACTACATGTACCCTTTGTTTCTATGCTTTGACTGTTTGCTTCATGTTTGTTCTTGGCTGTCACAAGGTAGGGAACGTTGGTCAGATCAACTACTCAGCCTCTAAAGCTGGAGTGGAGGGACTCACTAGGACAGCAGCCAAAGAACTTAGCAAGTATACACACACCCACACACACACACACACACACATACATGGGAAGAAGTAGGTACACCCTGTGAAAAGTTCAGACTTTTTGTTGGACATATAAATTTGTATTATTTAAACAATGTTGATAGGTAAAAGTGATATAATTCAACAACTGACACTTAAAATTATTTTTTTGTCATTCTTTATATGATTGAAATAAACAGAAATGCAATTTCTATATGTGTGAAAAGTAAGTACACCCCTGTCTACCACTTGACAAAATGTGTCAAATTGAAATCAGGTGCTAATGTTTAGAACACGATTAGTAAATATTTTGGAGGATCCTGTCAAATATCTGGTCTGGTTTGCTCTTTGTTTTTTGAGTTTGGGGTATCATCATGCCTAGACCATAAGAGCTTTCTGAGGCCTTCAGAAAGAATCCCTGTGAGTCTGGGAAGGAGTTAAAGAAAATATCACAAATATTGGAAATGTTTAGCTGATGATCAAATACCGATACGCCCACATGCCCACAAAAAAGCGTGCTTTACACATGAGTGAGTGTGTGTGTGTGTGTGTGTGTGTGTGTGTATATATAGCCACAGGTGTATAAAATTAAGCACCCAGTCATGCAGTCGGCCTTTGCAAACATTTGTGAAAGAATTCTAAAGAACTCACTGAATTAGAGCGTGGCACTGTAATAAGATACCACCTTTGCAACAACTCACAAAATCCCCCCACTCAAATATTCCATAATCAACTGTGAGTGGTATTATTGAAAAGTGGAAGCGTTTAAGAACCACAGCAACTCAGTCATGAAGTGGCAGACCATGTAAAGTTACAGAGCAGTGTTGTCGAGTGCTGAGGAGCATAGTGCATAAAAGTTGCCAACGCTCTGCTGAGTCAATAACTGCACCGAGTTCCAAACCTCCTCTGGCATTAACATCAGCACCAAAACTGTGCGCCGGGAGCTTCATGGCAAGGGGGTTCCATGGCCGAGCAGATGAATGCAAGCCTTACATCACCAAGCACAATGAAAAAGCGTCTGACTCTGGAGCAGTGGAAACTTATTCTGTGGAGTGACAAATCACGCTTCTCTATCTAGCAGTCTAATGGATGAGTCTGAGTTTGGTGAATGCCAGGAGAATGTTACCTGTCTGACTGCACTGTGTCAACTTTAAAGTTTGGTGGAGGAGGGATAATGCAATGGAATTGTATTTCAGGGGTTGGCCTATGCTCCTTAATTCCAGTGAAGGGAAGTCCTAATGCTTCAGCATACAAAGCAATTTTTGACAATTGTATGCTTCAAACTTTTGGGGAGTTTGGGGAAGGCCCTTTTCTATTTCAGCATGACTGTGCCCCAGTACAAAAAGCAAAGTCCATAAAGGCATGATTGGGTGAGTTTGTTGTGGAACAACTTCACTGGCCCACACAAGCCCTGACCTCAACCCCATCAAACACTTTTGGGATGAACTAGAACGGTGATTGCGAGCCAGGCCCTCTCATCCAACACTGGTGTCTGAGTTCACAAATGTTCTTCTGGATGAATGGGCAAATATTCCCAGAGACACATTCCAAAATCTTGTAGCAAGTCTTTCAAGAACAGTGGAAGCTGTTATAGCTGCAAAGGGAGGACAGACTCCAAATGAATGCCCATGGATTTAGAATGGGATGTCATAAAAGCTCATGTAGGTGTAATGTGTACGTGTCCCAACACTGTGTCCATATAGTATATATGAGTATGTTTGTGTGTATGTGTGTGTGTGTGTGTGTGTGTGTGGGCAAGCAGGTACCTTGTTATACTGTAAGTGTAGCAGAGAAAAGAACAGGAATTAACCTACATTATGCTAACGTTGAGACAGTTTTAATTTTTAAATTGACATTTCAGATATGGGATACGCTGTAACTGCATCCTGCCAGGGTTTATTGCCTCACCTATGACGGAAAACATGCCAGAGAAAGTCATGAGCAAGGTATGACATGTCATAGAACCAGTGTTGCCAGCTACCTTCAATGGAAAGTAGCATTAATTTTGCTAGATGACGTCTGCGCTAATTAGCATATTTGCAGAGGTGGCAGAAGTACACAAGTTTCTTACTTAAGTAAAAGTACTAGTAATCTAGTAAAAAATACTCAAGTAATTTGACATTGTAAATGGACATTGTTAGAATCTCCACCAAAAAAAAACTGTTGATTTATACTTTAGTAGTCAGTACTGAACACCTTAAAAATGTTCAGTAAAAATTCTTTTAATTAAGGCCAAGGCCATGAGTTACATTATGCAGACCAGCCCACCCCAAACTACACACACACACACAACAAAACACAATAATGTCCTGCAGTGTCATTATATCAGGCTATAGGCTGTCAGCCGTGCAGTCATCACCCTACATATTCCAACACTTCCACCCTGATACAAAACTAGAGCAGTCAATCAGAAAGCTGGATTCGTACATACACAACCAATGCTGCAGGACCTTCCCTATAAAGCAACTTCCTCCCAGAGAAGATGACAAATTAAAGTCAGACAGTTAAACTGACAAAGTTAAAGATGTACAAACTTAAAACCTAATAATTATTGAAGCCAAAAACACAGGTTACTGCCACAACGGGCAGACCCAATGCAGACGACATGAAAGTTAGCATAGAATAGAAAAGTCAAACAGCTAATGTGTGAAGACAGAGAATTATACAACAATTAGTTCCAGCCACGCAAGCTGATTGGTTGAGAAGCGTTCTTTTTTTTACAAACATTGTATCGCTCCACTGGGACGCCATTGTTAAGCAACAACTTTGACAGCTGTAGGAGATGCTCAAGCCATTTGAAGGTTTTTGCTTCTTACTTTGCTCACAAACAGAAAATGGATACTTTTAAGAGTACATTTGACCTACAGCCGATTTGGTCAGACTCTGAAGATGAGACTACACTAAATTCAGAAACTGTCATTACCACTGAGCAAGCTTTTCAGTCGGCAGCTGTGACAGAAGAACACCAAAACATCCTGGAATTAGCCAGAAATGAACCAAATACCATTTGGCAAACAAAATGGTTGGAACAAAACAACATTAATATTGATCTAGCAAAAATGGACGAAACTGAGCTAAACTTGATATTGCGTCAGTTTTATGGCTCGGTCCAAATTGGACAGACTCTGAAGATGAGACTACACGTTTGGGAAATGGTATTCGGTTCATTCTGGCTAATTCCAGGTTGTTTAGGTGTTCTGTCACAACTGCTGATTGAAAAGCTTGCTCAGTGGTAATGACAGTTTTGGAATTTAGAGTAAGGAGCTGGAGAATGAACTGCTAGCTGTGCAGCGAGTGAGCAGAGTTCGTAACTCTGACATAGCAACAAGCTGCTTGTTAAGGAACTATAATTTGGCGGAAGGAATTGATAATATTAAAACATATTAAATGCCACGTTCACAGCCTAATTTATTTATTTCTTACTTTATTTTAACTGTTGTATAAAAACAATAGAACACTTGAGGTTGGGCGTGTGTTATCACGAACCAGTGCCTGTGACCAAATCACAGCCGTGATGTTATTTCGCGATCACACACTCCCTCTCGTGTTCTATTGCTTATATATAACACGGCAATCTTAAACACCTAAACCTAATCATTGTAGACAAAAGTATTTAGCCATGGCGGGATATGAAACACATTCATGGTCTGTTTATGGTCTATATATATATATATATATATATATATATATATATATATATATATATATATATATATATATATAAATCATGTTAATGCAATAAGTAGTGATTATATGTAAGCCAATGTGCTTATTTAACTATGTCCTGACCTCATCTCAGCGCAGTACTATTTGTAGATATCATCCAACACTTCATTAGGGTAAAAATCAAATATCAAGGACTCATCTGGAATCAAACTTTGTTCTGACTGCTTCAGAAGATATCAGCTACTTTTTTGAAAACAAGAAATTCATGTTACTTTTACTGTATTTTTACTGTATTTTACTTGCATTTATTTTAGTGATATGGTGCTTTTACAAGCACAAGCACACTTATTGTCAAGATAAATTGTTTACCAATGTGATTAGGTGCCTAACACTTGCACAGTACTGTTTATACACTATATTGCCAAAAGTATTCACTCACCCATCCAAATCATTGAATTCAGGTGTTCCAATCACTTCCATGGCCACAGGTGTATAAAACCAAGCACCTAGGCATGCAGACTGCTTCTGCAAACATTTGTGAAAGAATGGGTCGCTCTCAGGAGCTCAGTGAATTCCAGCGTGGTACTGTGATAGGATGCCACCTGTGCAATAAGTTCAGTCATGAAATTTCCTCGCTACTAAATATTCCACAGTCAATTGTCAGTGGTATGATAACAAAGTGGAAGCGATTGGGAATGACAGCAACTCAGCCACGAAGTGGTAGGCCACGTAAAATGACAGAGCAGGGACAGCGAATGCTGAGGTGCATAGTGCGCAGAGGTCGCCAACTTTCTGCAGAGTCAATCGCTACAGACCTCCGAACTTCATGTAGCCTTCAGATTAGCTCAAGAAGAGTGCATAGAGAGCTTCATGGAATGGGTTTCCATGGCTGAGCAGCTGCATCCAAGCCTTACATCACCAATCGCAATACAAAGCATCGAATGCAGTGGTTCACGCTGTCACTGGACTCTAGAGCAGTGAAGAAGTGTTTTCTGGAGTGACTAATCACGCTTCTCCGTCTGGCAATCACTATTTCATCACTATCACTATACAATATTGACGCACACACATCTGGAACACAAGTCATGTCATTGTGTTGTGTATGAACTGTTTTCTATGTTACAGATCACCCCACTGATTCCGTTGGGCAGGATGGGGAAGCCTCTAGGTTAGTTACTTTATTGACCTATAATGTAAGCTCTAGCCTGTCATATTGTCTTCTAAAATATAAAATTACATTTGTCACTTGTGTCACTCCCTCTGCATCATATCTTTGTAGAGGTAGCTGATGTTTGTGCATTCTTGGCCTCAGATGATAGCCAGTACATAACTGGAGTCAGCATTGAAGTTGCAGGTGATGATTTTTTTTTCTTCAGTTTTTGTCATTTAGTTTTGTATAAATTTAAATCTGATGTTTATTTCTCTCCACCACTTCTTCAGGAGGATTGTTCATTGGTTGATATTGTGCTCTGCTGCCCTGAGTGAAAACAACTAAATTGCAAGATCTCCAAGTGGTGCCTTTACTGTTGTAAATGACCTCATGTAAACACATTATATGTAAATGGAAATTTTAAATTACTACTTGAAAACTGTATTGTTATGGGGAAATTATAATACACTTACAAGTAAAAAAAAATCATCAAGTATTTCTTTTAAACATATTGCAAAATATTTTGTTTTAATTGTTAGAAGGATCAGAATCCAAATCTTTATTCTTAGTAGAGATTTTAACATAAATTCCAAATATAAAAAAACATAAAATATGGGGGCAGAAATGTATCCTGTCTGTTCACATAAAGTAGGAAAACCACAACAAATGATGGATATTCCAACAAGACAGTGCAAGATGCCACACACTTCATGACGTGAAATTCAGGCAAACCCATTGAGAGGCATTTTTGGGAAATGTGTAGAGAAAAGAAAATCCAACCACTTTTGATAGTTTATGGACAGACATGAAGAATGTGTTGGATGCAGTGTTTAACATTTCATCTAGTCTTGGAGACAACCTCACACTGCTTTATCATACTTTCCTAAAGTTTTTTAAATGGAACTTTTACCAATTCATTCTTCACCATTGTCCACAAACCATCCAGAGTAACTGTTTTTTTTTTCTTGTCCACACATTTTACAACGTAGCCCAGATCAATGGGTTTTAAGTTGTGCCTGAAGTTCATTAATAAACTGTGTGGCGTCTTGCATCTTGTCTTGTTGGAATGTCCATAATTAATGTTTTTCGGTAAATCTTTATTTTGTGGATGCTTTGTTGATGCTTATCTTGCATTTAACTTGCATTCAACTACGTATTTCTTAAATTTATCTTATTTTTCCCTAACCCTGGCCCTAATGCTAACCCTAATCTTAACCCTAATATTAACCGCAACTCAAAACCTAACAGTTCTTACCTAACAGTGTTGCATTTATACCTAGTTCATAATTCAGCTCAGTCCAGTAAGATATCATTCATTCTATGAGCAGTTTAACAAAAAGTACAAGTAGAAATTTAGAATGATGTTGGAACTAACAACTACAAAAATTTGGAGCACTGTTTTGAAAATTTGCATGAATAGTTTTTTGCTTAATTTTTTACCTGAAAATGCAAAACATGACCAGTTGATAGTAGTAGTAATAATAATAATAATAATAATAATAATAATTATTATTATTATTATTATTATTTTGACTGAAATTATAAGGCATTTAGCAGTCTCACTGTTCAGATCCCTAATTTCCCTAAGTAAGGAAACCAGCAATTTGAAGAGGAAGATGATAAATAAAAACAAGTGAGTCATATAGATCTTTTTAAAAAGATTATATATATTACAGAAACAACATTTAAAAAATACTTACACACATACAATAATCTTTTTCTCAGCACCATATTTTAAGACATAGATGTTTGTTTTGCAATAACACAGCACACCCCTCCTCAGTGTTTCCTGACGAGAAGACCACACCATTAAGAATTGTGTATAGCTTTTGTGTCTCCCATCTCACTTATGATATAAAAAACAACAATGTCATTTAAATAAAATATTTTTGGCAATACCTTGTGATATTTTTATTTGTTATCCTTCCCACATGCTCTGCCCTCCTCGTTGTAGCTCTATAAACCGTTTTATCATCTTTATAATCTCCACTTGTGTCAAATGAGATATTGTTCCACTAAAATCCACTTGATCGTAGTCTGTACATGACAACGTATTTACTTCACAAGCAAATAGACAGAAGTGTAGTGTACTGAGAAGAGTGTAGTGTACATAGAAGGCAGTTTTTTTGTCTTAAGTTTTAATGCTTATATATGAACTGGTGAGAAAACTAGAGGGAATAAATACAGATGAAAATACCACATTTTATTTTATATTGTAAGTGTTTTGTCTTTGTAGTTAACATTCTGGTTCACTTTCTAAAAAATAAATACAATAAAATATTGTTACTGTACAAATGGTTTCTAATGCACATTTCCAGCCTGAACACTGCTGACAAGAGAAGTTAGTCATTGTAAGATGATGAGCTTGTTGTCAATACTGATCACTTGGATATAGCACCTTCACCATCTGCTGTCAATCTTAACAACAAGGAATTAATTCTACTATAAAGAATATTTGTTTTGTGTCACATTTGCATGTGCCTCATGCTTGAGAACAAAGATGCATTGCAAAAATTAACTTTACTGTCTTCTCTGTAAATACTGGTCTAGTATAACGGCTTGCTTGCAAAATCTTAACATCAACCTCTGAAAACACTCAATTTTCATCTCTCTATTAGACATGTACACATCAATACAATTTACAGGGATTTTGACTTCATTGCATATATTAGGCTCAACAAAACAGTCATACAGTACAAAAACATTGCTAGGGTTTTAGTACAGTAAGGAAAGGGTAAATGTTTGATCTTATTCACATTTGATTCCAACCAGAAATATCAAAGTGAGAAACTCCTCCTCATTCATATGGCTTGATTTCACCTTATTTTTCAATTATCTAAAGGAAATGACCTTGCTTTCGTCCTCATTTCCTTATTTGCATTTTAATAAGGTAAAATGTACTACATGGCTGGGTTTGTATGAAACTAAAAGTGGACATAGAGGTAGAGAGAGTAGGACACCTCAAAAGAGCACCAACGAGGGGAGAGAGGGATCTGAGGGGTCTTTTGGTGGCTTTGCAGCAGGACCTGCAACGTCGGCCAACAGCTCGTGCCAGAGCACACCTCTTTGTAATACACATCCTTGCGAGTTGATATTTAAGCTCTTCTGCCACAAGAATATTTCACCTCGGCTCTTTCTCCTCTCTTGTCATCCATCAGATGGTTAAAGGATATTTTCCATGGGCGTGTACTTGTTTGAGTTAAAGTCTGCTTTACAACAGCTTTTGTGTATGTTTGTGTGAATTGCACATCTTAGATTGTCACTGAGCATGTTTTTATTTTGGCACACCTTTGTGTGGTTATTATTTGTCATGGCTTTAGGTGTGTGTGGTGTGTGTATGTCTGTGTGCTCTCATTTAGGTTTGTGTTCCTTTTGCTCTTTGCATGTATATATGTTTACCCTAGGAAACAAATAGGTCCCACTTCAAAACCAAACTTCTGATCATTCTCGCCAAAGTCAGTGATCTTAATGTCCAGGAGAGGGAGCTGCTCCACCTGAGGCGTATTTACCTCCAGAACTGTTCTGTCATAACCTTTCCGATACTAGGTAGAAAGAGAAGAAAAAAATATTGGTTTTGGAAAAGAAGAAATTGTTTTTTAAATTTATAAAGGAACAACATTTTTTGGCATTGCCAAATAAAATGTTAAGCATGAATGATTCAGACCTTAATTCCCTGTGAAGTACATACCTTCAGTGCCAAGCAGGCTGGTAAGCAATTAATATTCGAAATTAATTCTCAAATGTTTTTCAATACATCTTTTAGCTGTTATATATATATATATATATATATATATATATATATATATATATATATATATATATATATATATATGTGTGTGTGTGTGTGTGTGTGTGTGTATGCTTAAAATCCTCTAAAAATCCTCTAAAAGCAACCTGTAATAACCTCAATAAGCTAGGGATGGCAACAAACCTATTTCTGCACTGTGGAGAAACAGCCTAAGCTGGATGGGCTATTTAGGGGTTCAACAATGTTGCTTAATAATTTAGAAAGAAAAGGTCATAACTTACAGAACAGCCATCTGAGAGGGCCTTGATATAGGGGTTAGTCTCATAACTCAGCTCTTCTTCATTAGCACCCAGGAAATGCAGTGCCCTGTGGTAGCCATTGTCAGAAGTGCTGTCAGCCCAGGCCACAGAGTGGTGGCAGTGGTAGGTGAGGTTCTGGCGGGCCTGAATACTAAGCAACCGCAGGAAGCCCAGCTGGACCACACCCACAGGCTCACCATTTGAGTCCACGTATGAGAGCTGTGAAAATTGTAGTTTGCTAAGCATTTTCATTGATGACATACTCAAAGCAAAGCTTTTAGACTGTGGCTGAGGTCTCTCTGCTGGCCAGGTCATAATAAATTACTTTTTTGGTGTAGGTACACATTTAGTTCAAAGAAGAAATGCTCACCTTGCTTCCTTTAGCAAAGTTACTGTACCAAGATCCAGGCTTCTCCTTTGGCCAAGAGTTCATCTTTACCTGTGAAGATTTACACACACAAAGACCATAATACATTACGTATTCTGATTGATGTAAGTGTAGACATTTAATGACGCATGAAAGGTCTTCTTCCAATGTGAGAAAATAATAATTTGAGACTGTGTGACCTCCATTTGCTTACATTCTCCACATCCTTTCCAGGATAGAGGCAAGTCTCCCCACCAGCTGTGAAGTTGCAGTAAACCTTAAACGAGTCACGATCGCAGCCCTGATTAGGATCAATCCAGTATTCACCTTGACAGAAATGAAGAGAAACCAAAGAGAACGCTTTACTAACTTGACATATTTAGTCGAAGAAATCTGATGTGACTGAGAGCTAGGATGCGATGTGACAGGCCCGAAACATCATTGTGCTTAGACAGTCTGAAAATCATTTCTTTATGCCCACAGATACCATACTTTCAGTGTGAGGTAAGTTGAAGTCAGGGATTCTCTTTTCTCTATTCTGCCAAAGCCTTTTTAATGTCTTGGTTGCTTGGTTGTTTTTTCTGTTGTTACCTTCACTTAGAATCAGTTTGCCTATAAGTTATAACATTGCTACAAAAGTAGTACTTCCTACTTCTCAACATATGCAAAATATTTATGATCACCATACCATCTTTGTAATCTGGTTGACTGAGGTGGAGATCCTGGCAGGTGCGGGCTGGACTTTCTTTTGTTCCAAGTGGGAAACGCATGGCCTCAATCTCCAGGCGAAGAGAGTTGAGTGAACCAAAGATCTCTTCCATGCCTTCGTTGCCAGTCAGGAATTCAGTGCCTGTGGCATCAGCCTGGGCAGCCTCATCTTCCATCTCAGAGAAAATCTTACTGGCATCAATGGATCGCTTGGATTTTTTCAGGATCTGAATGGGCAGGGGCTGGATGACATCACCAGGTGGTCCCTAGAAGTTCAACAATGAGATGTTTGAAAATATAATATGCTGTACCTCCTCCAATATGTGTTATTTTTACATTATCAAAACTGACAATAACTGTCACATTTTGGTTGTGTGTTAAGAACTTACAGGGGGTCCTGGAGGCCCTTGTACACCTTTCTCTCCTTTGGGTCCAGCTCCACCCTATAATATCACAGTAAAGGCTTTAGAATAGCATGATCCCACCTACCACAACTTGGAACAGCTGTTGAAGACTTTTTTGTAGTAGATACTCACAGTGGCACCCTTTGCTCCCTTAATACCCCGTGGGCCCTGTAAGACAAAAGAAGTTAATTTTTTTGTGTGATACATGTGAACATGTAAAAATCTAAACAGTGTGAAAACACCTGCAGTGGTGCATGTATCAACTATAAACAGACAAAATTCTGCAAAAATATGCTCACAGGCAAACCAGCAGGACCAGCAGGGCCTAGAGGGCCAGTTCCACCAGGCATACCCTAGAACAGAGAACAACACATCAAATACACCTTTGCAAATTCTGTGAAATGTATGCTGCTCTTTCATACATGTATATACAAGATATTAGCACAAATCTTAATAGTTTTTTAGGAGGTATGTGCAGTCAAAGGAGTATGGTGTAAAGTTGAATTGGTGTTTTTATATGCAGTTAGCTGAGCTGGACAACCAGCTGGACAAGGTTGTTAAGCTTCACTTACAGTTTCTCCTTTGGGCCCAGGTGATCCTTGAGGGCCAGGCAGTCCTCTGTCTCCCTTTTCTCCCTGCTCTCCTGGTGGTCCGATCAGACCAATCAAACCTGGGTGTCCCTTTTCACCCTTAGCACCAGGGTCACCACGCAGACCCGGCAAACCTGAAGGACCCTGAGAAGGAGGGGGGAGTTAACTGAGTATTTAACTGAATAAATTTGATAGAATTGATTGATGAATTCTAAATCATAAAGTGTTAAATTACACAATATACATTCCTTATTATTATGTAATTTTAATTTTATAAATATTTACAATGGGTCCAGGAGGTCCTTTCTCGCCCGCAGGACCTGGAGCACCTTGCTCTCCCTGAGAGAAATCAAGAATTAAATTGGATTAAACAAAAATTTAGATAAACGCTGTACTCTATTACTGATACTACTGTGAACTGTGCAAATCATGTTGGCAGAACATAAGGTGATTCAAGTATAACACGGATCTTTTCCACATTTCATGAGATATTTAAGGTTGAGACCCCGCAAAAAATCTAAAGCAGGGCCACTTTCAAACAATGAATAAGCCAAAAAGGGGAAATTTACCACAGACAGTGGTTGACTATGAACATACCACTGATCCTGGCAGTCCTCTCAGACCCTCTGTTCCTGGTTTTCCAGGAGGACCCTGTGGCCCCACAGGACCAGTCTTTCCCGGAGGCCCAGCAGCTCCTGAAGCACCCTAAGAAAAATATATTAAGAGAGGGAGATAGAATCTATATTGAAGGTCAGTGTCTTTCAGCAACTCCCAGCTCGGTGCCCTGAGCAATAGCAAAAAGAGCAATAGCCTCTGTTAAATGATACCATTTAATTTTTTGGTGTCATCCTTACCTTGCTTCCCTTCTCTCCTTCACGACCTTCAGGTCCTCTTGAACCTGGAGGACCCTGAAAAAAAGTGTTTAGATATGTTTTAGAAAAGGTTCAGAATTGTGTTGAGATGGTGATTCAAATCATATAAAATGCCTGTTTCAAATCGCTCAAGAGGCATTATTTTGTGTATAATTTTAGCATTAGTGAAAGTCTGAAAATCACCTGTGTACGATCAATGAGGGTCAAATATATGAAGAAATGTCAAAATGTTGGTTGTGATGTTTATTCTTACTCTTTTTCCTGGTGGCCCAGGTGGTCCATTTTCTCCAGGAGGTCCTGGGGAGCCCTGAAATGAGTGTCAGAAGTATATGTACCTTGCAATTGATATGAACTGTGCAACGTCTTGTCCAGAAAGGAAATTAAATTTATAAAGTGTCAAGATTGTTTTAAATCAATATAATACTAGCATTGAGATCACAACCCTTAACCAGGGCTTCAACTGTTTTCATCAATGTTTTATTTCGTTCTTGACCTGGTGATTTGGTGTGATCGTACAGCAAGTTGTAACTTTTTTTTTTGTGTCGTGAAATTAATCTGACTACCCATCATGTTTCATATACATAATATGTCAAAGCATTTGGGACTCTCTAACTGGTGTCCAAAACAAAAGACTTAACAAATGCCACTCACAGCCTCTCCTTGTTCACCATCCTCTCCCCTCTCTCCTTTTGCTCCATCCTGGCCCTTTTTTAAGATAAGATATTAGAAATATTCTTACAGATGTATCAGTAAGGATAATTCCAATCAATAGAGCTCACAAATGAGCAAAGATTAACCTTAATAATAAAATCTCTTAATTGGAATTAAATGCAGCAGCGTTTCAGTAATGAAGTTCAACATGCAGTAGCCAATTCACAGCTATATCAGATGTGAATACAGTATGTACTTACTCTAGGTCCAACTTCTCCAGGGGGGCCAGGATCACCAGGGAAACCAACAGGACCCTTAAAAAGAGATAAAACAGGGGCAAAGATAAATCTCTACAGAATCATATTTGGACCTACTTTTTGTATCAGGTGGCTTTTTACTTTGTACCACATACAGGGTTTCCTTTAGGACCATCATCTCCAGGAGGTCCTTTTCCACCGGGAGGACCAGGAGTGCCTGGTTGTCCAGCTTCACCCTTCTCACCACGTTCTCCTCTTGGGCCCTACCATCGGTGTCAATCAAACAGTATATGAAAAATAGCCAGAGAAATAAAGAGCAGTGAAAAGCAGTGAGAAAGTGGCTCAGAATACAATAAAATTACAATTAATTCTCACCTTTTTTCCTGGCTCTCCACCTACACCTGGTGGTCCATTTTCACCAGGTTCACCCTGTCAGTACATGTTAAAGGTCAGCACAATCTATGACAGGCATACCCCTTACCATACATATTAAACAACAACTGCACAAAAAACTGCATTTTGTATTCACCTTTTCTCCAGGGGGACCTGGGTTACCCAAACCGCCAGGAGGACCTTGAGGACCCTGGTGAGGAAAGCATGTGTTGCATAAGTGTTAGCTGTGTACTTTATAAAACTGTGACAAACAATTGTATTAAATGGTATAAATTTATGATTACTCACATCAGCACCATTCGGACCAGCTGGACCACGGGGTCCAGGGGGGCCGGGAGGACCCTAATAAGTGAGATAAATCAGAATCATAACTCAATATGGTCGACTGATCCTTTTTTGGACCAGCCATATTTGAAAATGAAGACTCACCAGTGGTCCGACATCTCCAGTCTCACCCTTCTCCCCAGCAGGTCCTGGCAATCCCTGGGGAAAAAAGTATACTGATCATACAACTGCTTGGTAAGAAAATGGTGAATCTCTTTTCTTTTGATTTGGTACCTGTAGCCCAATGGGGCCTGGAGGTCCAGGGAATCCCCGTGTTCCTTCATCTCCTTTTGCACCGAATGGGCCCTGCTGACCTCTGGCACCTGTTTCACCATCGGCACCCTGACAAAAAGACAAAGGAATGCAGGCTCTATCTCATTACCAAGAACTTGTTGAAGGTTAGTCTACATTCTATTGAAATGTTTGAATATTAATTGGAGAAATTTCATGCTTACAGGTGGACCAGGCTGTCCAACAGGACCCATTGGCCCAGGTGGGCCAGGTGGACCCTGTCAATAAACAGTTATCGCATTACAACATGAAATAATCACATACATTGTAAAACGCTATGTGGAAAATCTACACACTATTTTGGTCTATTATGATTTATCATAAATGTGCACATTCACTCACTTGCTCTCCTTTGGCTCCCTTTGCTCCCTTTTGTCCATGTTCTCCAACTTCACCCTGTTAGAGGATAAATCACAGTGTCTGTCTTTAGCACAAATAGACAATATAATTTTCTGGCTTAAGAATTGAGATGAATAGATCACTCACCTTGTCACCATCCTCTCCTGGAACACCTGGGGGTCCAGCAGGGCCTGGGAGACCCACTGGGCCTTGGATGCCATCACGACCAGCTGGACCAATTGGGCCTTTCTCTCCCTGAAAGATGAGAGAATGTCATGTTACTGGCTTATGATATGTACTTTCAATATTAGGTTTCAATATTATGAGTACAGCTAAACTGCAGTTAAAACTTACAGGCACTCCTTTCTCTCCTGCAGCTCCAGGGGGTCCTTGAGGTCCAGGTCTTCCAGGAGGACCAATGGGTCCTGCTGTACCTGCCAGTCCTCTCTCACCTGGTGATCCCTATACAGCAATTCAGCTCAATTATTGAAAGAGAAGTTGTCATGAACTAAGTCATAACTAAGAAATTAAATACATCTGTTGTACTTTTTGAAATGTAAGATCTAACATAAAAACTTACAGCTGGTCCAGGTGGTCCTGCAGGTCCCTCATTTCCTTTCAGCCCACTGCCACCCTATTGAGAGCACAAACAAATGTAAAAATATAAATCTATATCAATTGTAAAGGCTCTACAATTTTGTGGCCCCACGGATTTAGTCCAGTTGAACTGTACTTCCTATACTACATGTAATTCCTAATGTTAGTGTTTTTAAGATCTCTCAATCAGTTTTGATGAATTTCCTTACTGGTGTTCCTGGGAGTCCTCTCTCTCCAGGGAAGCCTCTCAGTCCAGGAGGTCCATCTTTGCCAGGGCCACCAGGGGGACCAGGGTCACCTTTGGTTCCTTCTTTACCAGAAGGGCCAGGAAGTCCTTGCTCACCTGGTGGTCCAGGAGGTCCAGGGTGGCCACGCTCACCCATTGGGCCAGTCTCACCTGAAGGACCCTTAATGATAAAGAATGATGATTAACTGAAGGAGTATGGTTCTGTGTGTTGTGTGGCGACGCTGCCAGTTCCAGCAGTTTCTGTCTGCGGTTTAACTGTTTAATATGACTTTAACATGACTTGAGAGTATTCATAAAACAATTTCCTCAGAGATTGTTTGCAAACTTCTGATTTTATTTAAACATTTAAGATTGAAATCAAGCTTTCAGTGGAATACTGAGAATACTGACAAAGCATTAACAGACGAGTGACAAATATAGTTGTTGGGTATCCTTGAATTGCCAAAACAGCTTAAATGCACCTTCTTCACCTCTCTGTAACTGTACTGGAAGAACAGAACACCATTCTTCCAAAAGATATTTCCTTAATTGGTGGTGGAATGTGCTGTCCAGCATGTTGTCTCAAATTCTCTTGTAGGTGTTCAATTAAGTTGAGATCTGGTGACTGCAAATTGCCATAATACAGAGGTGTCCAGTCTTATCTGTAAAGGGCCGATGTGGCTGTAGGTTTTCATTCCAACAAAGCAAGATCAACTGTCTGAAGACCAATTGATTAAACAAGTGAATCAGGTGTGTTCCTGGTTGTTTCTGCCAACTCCTATCAAGTTACAAACACTTCATCATAGAACAAAGGTAATTAGTCAGACAAAGTGATACATATACATATGTGTCAATACAAATACTTCTGTATTGTTTTAAATTTTCCTTTCCCTCTAAGGGCACAAGTGGACACCAACCTTGTCAGTAAAATGCCCCACACTATAACAGAGCCATTAGATACCTTTGTACATGCAGGCCTATACTGTTCTCTTGGTATACGGCACACAACACTTGCTTATGGTTATCAGTGCTTATGGTTTTGCACCATTGAACTTTCAAATTTGCATTTGTTTTTGTATTTTGACTAGCAAGAAGAGCGGTCTTTGTGACTGAAGCTTTTGCATTCGTGTCCCAGTGATAAACTCTCTTTCATAGTTTCCCTTATAACCACCCCATAGAAAATTATACTTTAATTTGTTAAAACTTTAATTTGTTACTAACCTGTATTTGTCTTTCAGCAAATTCGGCAAGCATTCATAAGATGCATCTTCTTTATATATTTGTTTTATGGTCAAAACCATGGCAATGGAGCCTCAATAACACATGCCCAATACATACACTGATGTCACTCCTCCTTAAAAATGTTGGTATGGGTGAAAACCACACCCTCCATTACTGGCCATTACCAACTACAAGGCTCAAATAGGGAGATCTTCACCAAGACATCAAGACATTGAAGTAAAAGTAATTTATAAAACAAGATAAATACAGATTTTAAATCTTATTTTCTTATTTCAATCTGCTTCAAATGATAAATAAATCATTAATCAACACAGAATGACCATTCATGACCAACCAACAAGCAAACGGTATGTTGTACCACAGTAAAGCTAGCTGGGAATGCATACTGCTCTGGGAATGCTCTGAATGTTGAATAAAGTTTTTGTTGTTTGCACATCCTCAGTACTGCTCAGTGTTGCTAACATGAGTGACGTTTGTTATTCAGACAGTTTTTTATTATTATTTTTTTTTTATTATTATTTTTATGGATATAAACCAGAGAATGCTAGTATTAGGCCCAATCCCATTTCACCCCTTGCCCCTACCACTTAGCCCTTAGCCCTCTGTTTTACGCGTTCACGTCTAGGGTTAGGGTGTCCCAATTTTTGTTGAGATAGAGGGGTAGGGTGAAGGGTTGGGGCTACATGCAGAGGCACACTCCAAATGGAGTGTTATGAGAAAAAAAAGAAAAACCAGCAAGATGGCTGCACAAGCGACCAAAGAAACCCACAAATGTAAGTATTTTCTCTGTTAAAAAATTGCTCTAACTATCGTATTATCTTAGTTTAATGTCGTTTCAATGTATTATGGTCGTCTTTTTCATAACAAGCATAAAAATCGCTAATAGCATGCTAATGTCTGAGTAGCTAGCTAGCTAACTTTCCCATTCCACCTTAAATAGTCCAGCAGTGCTAACGCCTGAAGCGCCAGGATGTAACTGCTGCACCATTTAAGGTGGAACGGGAAAATACGAACAAGAAGCTGGTCAATAGCTGACTTGAGCTTTGTATCACCAAAGAATTAGCGGTGGGCGATAATCAATAATTGTCTTATACCCCCTCTTTGAAAGGATATGATGCCCTAAATGTAACTAAAGCCCAGCAGCGAGGTTGCTGAACTTTTCCCTTCTCTGCTATCACTGAAGACGGGCCGGGTCGCCTACAGAGCACTGCTAGTAGCCTGTTAATGAAGCAATGTTTTTTTTTAAATTTGAGAGTTGTCCCATTTCGTAGGGCAAGATTTCAACCACTACTCCTTGTTCCAAGGGGTTAGGGTGACACTCGAAAACAAGGGGTAGGAGTAAAAAAAAGAAATGGGATTGGGCCTTAATCCCATTTCATACAATTAATTTTGCTTATATTTGGTAATTTGATAGTAACAAGTACACAAAAGATGCCGATGACAGTTAAATAAAGTTTACCTGAGGTCCAACAACTCCAGGTGGCCCAGGAGGCCCAGCCTTGCCTTGGAAACCCTAATAAAAAGAAAAACATAAATAAAGAAAGAAAATCAACTTTAACACTAACACTGACTCCTGAGGATCTACTTGCAAGAACACTTTGTATACTTTGTTGACAAAAAGTATAAATGCCAAAAGTTATAAACAGAATAATGTTCTGTTATAAACCTCTAGCATACTCATACAAAGCATTTATGCATTACATTTTACAATTCAAGTGAATCAGCAAAATAATTAAATATTGTGCAAGTTGCCTGATAAATAAAGTTTGACAAAATACTCACAACTTCGCCTCTCTGTCCAGGGTGTCCAGGCAGTCCGTCTTTCCCTGGCGGTCCCTTCATAGATCAGAAGTCGAATTAAAAAAAAAAAAATTGGTATTAAAAAAATATTTAAACTGAATAATCTTTTAAATTATTAAATTAAAAAATGTGACACTAAATAATACAATTATTTTTAAAATGTTATATTTAATTTATTTTCTATAATAAGTGGAATAATGACGAGTTCTCATACTGGAGGTCCCTTTGGCCCTGGGAATCCATTTGCTCCTTGAGGTCCAGGTAATCCCTGAAACAATTAAGTAAAAACAGAAAGTCAGATTTAATGGGTGACTATTATTTGAGCTACATGGAATAGTTAGTGAGAAGTTTGTTAAAGTAGTGAGTAATTTAAAAATAAATTGCTGTTTTAACTAAAATGAGTGAAAAAAATGTTTGAAAAGTGAGTTTACTGAATATCAAAGTTATGGACATCTAAATTAACTTGACCCAAGAGAAAAACCTATAACACTAAAAGAATACATATTTTATATTGAATACTTAAATAAACTTACTCTCTCTCCTGGTGGTCCAGAAGGGCCATCACTACCTGATGACCCCTAAAATATAAAATATTAAATGTTATTCATATGAGGCTGATATTTTTGTAATATTGAGAAAATATTCTGCTAGAAGTGATGTTTACCTTGGCACCTGGTTTTCCAGTAGATCCACGCTGACCTCTCTGTCCTCTGGGCCCCTAAAGAGTTAGAAAGTTGGGTTGGTGATTGAACAGAGAGGAACAGAATTGTGTTGATAGGAATTTGACTGCTGTATAACTTGATTTGAAGAGAAGAGAAGAGAAGAGAAGAGAAGAGAAGAGAAGAGAAGAGATGAGACAAGATCATACTGTTGGTCCCCTTTGCCCTCTTGGCCCAGTCTTTCCAATTAGACCCTGTAAAAAGAAAACTTAATTCAGAAGTGGTTCAAAGCAAAGTGCATTTAGAAATGAAATAACAAATAATTGGTGAATTAAAGCACTACTTAGCACGAAAGATTTTCAGGGTCAAATTCCAGCTGTGCCACATATATCTGGTTGGGAAGGGATGGGCTCTAAAAAACACAACTGCCTTATCCCCCAGTTGGAGCAAAGTGTTTACTGAATGTACCGAAGCCACAAACAATAATGTGTGATCAGATTTTAAATTTGTTTTAGTTGTAGATTTCATGAAGAAAGCTCAAGCAGTTATCTCCCTCCCAGACTGGATACCTGAAAAGGAAGTTATGCTACACTGGAAATTCACTCTGACCAACCTAGAAACCTAAATAAATATAAAATGTATTAAATAGTTTCACTGGTTGTATTAAAGCTTGATAGCCCTGATGTTAACAGTGACTATAATTACACAGTGACACTACAGGCACAATTGTACAGTATTAATTGATTTATTAATACAGTATTAATTAATATTGATTTTTTTCAGAGGTAAAATTTTAGTGTTGATTCTGAAGTTGTTTTTTCACCCACTGTGTAAGCAGTATTTTTGAGGCATGTAAGCACTGCAAGCTTGTGCAAGGAGATGGTAAACTACTTGTCAGGTTGAGATCGTTGAAGATGAATAAGGCAACATAAATAAAAGGAATACATTTCTGAATTGTTCATTGCTGCTGTTAATTTTGTTAAATTTAAGTTTTTAATTTTTAATTTTGTTTTGGATGGTTTTGTTGTGACGATAAATCAGACATTTGTTTACTTACTAAAACAGTGATTTGCCATTTCAGAAATGAAATTATTAAAATATTAAGTGGTGAAAACAAGGATAATAAAATTCAGTACAACTGTTACTATTATTATTATTATTAGGTTATACTATGTCCATTTGTCCATCTGTTTGGAAACCTTACCCTTGCACCCTTCTCTCCATTTGTGCCAGGGAATCCTGGAAAACCAAGTGAGCCCTGACAAAACACAAAAGGCCACAAACGTACTATACAAGTGTATAAGTTGCTTTTTGTAACTGTGCTACAAATAAATTCTTCAAATCACAGATGAAGTGCAATTTACCTTAGGCCCTTGCCTTCCTGGATAGCCAGGCAGTCCTGGTACACCAAGTTTTCCCTAAAACAGCATATTTTGGCTTAAAATATTCAGTGCATTTTTTACATTAGTTAACAAACAAAAAAATACAACAACAAAAAAACACAGTTACAGACATGCACATTAACAAATGGACAAACTGTTACTATGCTAAATAAAAGTTCACAGGTACTGCATGTATCCAAATCCATATTAAACATACTCATATTTTCAATTTACCTTATCACCAACCAGGCCAATAGGTCCAATCTCACCAGGAGGACCAATACGACCTTTTGGTCCCTCAGGACCATCCTCTCCTCTGGGACCTGCCACTCCTACTTCTCCCTGTGAGACAGCAGGACAGAAAATAGAATAATTAAAATGGAATTTACACAAAATGTTAGCAAAATAAGTTTCTGGCATCTAGGATGTAGGTCAAAATTTAATAGTAATGTAATATCACAAAGAAGTAAAAATGCACTGTTATTTTACTGCAATCCTCTTATTAGGCTGCAGATGTATTTAGGGAAATGTATATTGCGGATTATAGTGCATTGTTTAACCCCTTATACACACACACATATATATATATATATATATATATATATATATATATATATTATAGAAGTGTGTGATAAAACTTGGTAAGAAGTAATTATGCACACTGTGAAAGTCTTACCCTCTCTCCTTTTGGGCCAAAGTCTCCCTTGATTCCAGGGAAACCATCCTCTCCCTAAAGGAAAAGCATAGTATAATTTTACACATACAAAAATGAAAAATGCCAGAGGTACTTCCAGAAAAATGTTGGCCAAGTCTAGAGGTCTTTGAATGTCTCACTGATTTAAATGCACACAAAAATTGCTCACCTTCTCTCCCTTATGACCCTTCAGTCCACGTATACCTTGAACTCCCTGGGAATATTACAAAACGCTTTTAATTATAAGTCTGTCACTGTCATTAAATAATTTTTGACTGTCTGTCAATGTCAAACAAAACAAGGAGTAATCATAATCTTCTGTAGCATAGAACAAATAATAGCTTTGACAGTCAGAGCTAGTATCTCTGCTACAAGGATTGACCAAATATTCAATCTACTTGCCCCCCAACTGACGACATGACATTCTGCACATGGCTCCACACTACACGGCTAGGAGACTATATTTCCAAAACTATACTGACACAAATTACTGAAGTCAGCTCCTTTAAGATGCACCTATCGCTAACACAGGCACTCAACTGCGCACACACAGCTTGTCTCCATAGAATGGTACTGCCAATAGAATGGGTGCTCAGAAGCAGCTTCACATGAGCCTAAGGTCACCATGCCCCATGCCAAGCATCAGGTACAGGGATATAAAGCCTCCCAGTACTGGGCTGTAGAGCAGGGGAACTGCTCTACTAACATGTCTGAGATTAGTCTGAGTGCCATTTGTGATACAGAACTAACTACACAACTTCAGTGCACTATTGCTCTTAAGGCTGAATACAATCAAATCATCATTGCAATCATTGCTCTCCATTAGTACCTTAGATTTTAGAAGACCTTGCCACAGGACGCCATTTTCCCAAATAGTCAGCTCATAAAATTTCTGACCTGCGCCTAGTATGCACTGTTATTGTAAAGTGGAAATGTGTAGGAGCAACAATAGCTTAGGTGTGAAGCGGTATGTCACACAAACTCACAGAGCTGGACTGCCAAGTGCTGAAATGTGAAGCATTTAAAAAACTGCTACTGGAGCAAAGTCATCACAAGAACTGCTCTTTGGGAGCTTCATGGATTGGGTTTCCATGGCTGAGCAGCTGAACACAAGCTTAAGACTCCAAGCATCCACTGGAGTGGTGTAAAGTACACCAACACTGAACTCTGGAGTAAGTTTACATATTCTCTGGAGTGAAAAATCAGTCTACCAGAAGACTTTGGTTTTAGCAAATGCCAGGAGAATGCTACCTGGCTGAATGCATAAAGCTTGGTTGGGGAATGATAATGGCCTGGGGATGGTTTTCATGGTTTGGATCTAGGACTCTCAGTTTCAGTGAAAGAAAATCTTAATGCTATTAGTGTTCAATAACATTCTAGAGAACTATGTGCTTCCAACTTTAAGGCAATAGTTCAGGGAAGGCCTTGTTTCTGCATGGCAATGCCTCTGTGCACCAGGTGGGATCCATAAATCAATGGCTTGCAGTTTCTGGTATGGAAGATATTGAAGGGCCTGCAGAGAGCTCTGAACTTAACTCCATCAAACACTTTTGGGATGAATTGGAATGCAAATACAAAAACAATTGGGATGAACTGTGAGCCAGGCCTTATCGCCCAACCTTGGTGCCCAAACTCTTTGATGATCTTGTGCCTGAATGTTTCAACATCTAGTGGAAAGCGTTCCCAGAAGAGTGGAGGCTCTTGTAGCAGCAAAGGGGTATCAGTTCCCCTAATGCCCATAAAAAAAGTTCAATGAGCACATATGAATGCGATGTTTGGGTGTCCACATACTTTGGCCATGCAATGTATATTAACTGCACATAACTTCTTTATTTATATATTGGTTGTGCAACCAAGTGCCAGATCGTCATCTACACCCACTGTCATTAAACATTAAGTAAAAACAGAGAACTGTCATACCTTAACTCCACGAGGGCCAGGATAACCGATAGAACCCTGAGGACCGCTAGGCCCCTGTGACAGAAAGTGACAAATACATTAAAACAACTTTGATAATATATGATGATAATAATAATATTATATAATGATAATAATCTTAAACGTTGAACTGGATTTGTTAAATCTATGAATTAGACTCCTGAGTAAATTACATGACTGGTTGATCTATTATGTGTACAGGGGATGACGAATCAGTTTATCAGATGCTATGTTTACATAGTAATACTTCTAAGTAAGATGCATGCTATTTAAGACATTTTATTCTGTGGTAGGAAGATATAAAAATAGAAATAATAATAAATGAATAACTGAAAGAATAAATAAATAAAAATAAAAATAACTGGACATTCTGAGCTTCATAGATCTGGTACATATTTCCATACACTGTACACCTACAAGGATTTCTTAATCACTCCATAATGACCCAATGGCTAAATTAACTAAAATGCTGTATCATCCTGCTGGATGATAATCCAGCGAAATGCTCAGCTAGCTCAAAGATCCTCCCTGACAGGGGTGGTGCCAAACCTCCAAAAGTAGTGGTGCAAAATGTATTGTTTCAAACAAACAAAAACACAGTTAGCCAGCGACAAAATGCTGTTACGCCACTGACTAAAACTACCTTTAATGTCATGCTAAAAATAAATGTCACTTAATGTCACTAGAAATAAATATAAACAGGGTCAGTGTTTGTTTTAACCCCTCACTTCACTGGGTTCAGCCTCAGACAGCAAACTCTGCTAGATAACATCTCTGAGGGACATTAGGCTGCACCAATTTTGCAGGGAGGCAAGTGCTTTGCTACTCACATTTGCCACCATAAAAAATAGAGATGGCTATTGTCGATGCGCATCATAATCAGCAGTAGTAACAAATCTTACTTGATATCAGCCTCTTTATAATTACTTTACCAATTTGAATTTACGCTAACCAATCAGGTTGCTGATGTTTGGCCAAAAATACACACTGTGATCCATGAGCCAAATTTAAACCCTTAACGTTAAAAGATTAAAAGATCTATTCTATTGTTTAATTGCTCTTCTGCCATTATTAGCAGCAGCTGGAGTTTAAGGAATGATATGAGTGTCTGCAAAGTGTAAAATGTTAAAGCAGGCAGATTATACAAACAGTACAGTGCTGATATGCACTGGGAAAAGCATACTCTGTTTAATTCACTGGTAAACTAAATATAAATAGTGATGGCATGAAAATTTGAGTTTTTCTTTGCCTGTTCAACAGCTAAACTAATGCTTATGGTATGATATTGCTTTTCAAGCACTGTGTCTAAGATTTGTGTCAGAATCCTAGGTCATTTTACATAAAAGGATTCAAATTTAAAAAGAGAAAAAATACACATCATTTTAAACTTTAAGCAAGAATTCAAGAGGATATTGTGAGTGCAAGACAAGTTTTCTACTTTACTATTTCTTTAACATACTTTTTGCAGCTTTTTAATTTAATCTATTACAGCCAGTTAGTTAAATACTCATACAAGCATGGAGTTAGATTAAGTAATTAAGTATTAGTCTTTTCAGAGTATTCAGTGAGTTACTGTGAATGTTATTCAAGTAATATTCAAATAAGTCTACTTTAACACAGGTAAAAATTTGCAACACTTTTACCACATCTGTCAAATATACAGTAATCGTTTTAAAAACACAAGCTGAACATAGTCAAGTATGCAAACCTGATTCCCTTTGGTTCCTGAGGGGCCTTCTTTTCCTGGGTGACCCTTGAAAAAATGAGTTAGAGTATAATTGAAAGACTTTCTTATGATTTAAAATTGAGTCATCCAAACAGAACAGTTGTTTGGTGGTGCTTGTGGCATATCAATTAATCCATGAGCTCCTGGATTATTTGAAAGATTTTATATGTTTCATATACTGTGCGGTACTAAATCCAGTTAAACAGGACGTATTATGCTGTGTTTTTATTAAAATAATTGCTCAGTGCTCTTTAGTTACTGACAATATCCACAATATGCTCAAAACAGCTCATAGCGATGTAATTTATTCTAATAACATATTGCCATTTTGCCCATCCCTAAATGAAGGTAAAGATGAAAAATATGAATGACTAAAAGAGAGATCTTTGAGAAAGGTAAGGATGAGAAGCCCTTACAGGGGGACCGTCAGCTCCTGGCATGCCTGGCAGACCTGGTTTACCTGCAGGTCCCTGAGAAAACAAAACAGTCAGTCAAAACTGGGTGTTCCACAATCACAGAAAATCAAACTAATCCTCAGCAATGCCATATCCATCCATGGCTGGGAGTCCAAGACAACATAATTGGCCTCACTCTGTCTGAGTGGGTAGAATAGTCCGTCCTCTTCTACCATCACTCAGCCCAATGCTAACAAACATGGGTGTCTGATAGCCAATGTAATAGAATTAGCATTCTTCTCCAAGCGTGCTTGAACTGTCCAATGATGTCGCATTAGCGGCAGCTCAAAAAGATTGGATGGCTGGCTATACATGTCTCAGAGAAAATACTTGTTAACGTTCACCCTCCTAGCATCGTGTGACAGAGAGAGACATAACTAGCAGTTGTGAATTGACCACAGCAAAACAGGGGAGAAAAAATGGATATAAACAAAACAAAAAAATATGTATTTAGTGTTTCTTTTGCTTTTCTGTTAGTTCTAAGTTTTTTTTTAAGGACGGCAATTATATGATGCTAGCTGTTACTGTGGTTGACTTTCATAATGGGCTGAATTTAACAAGGCACACTCCGTGTACACTGCATGCTATAACATTTTGAAGAAAAAAAAAAGATGCTGAAGATCTAAAAAAAAATATCACCTTCTCTCCTGGAGGACCAATAGCACCCTGAGGGCCAGGCATTCCCTATAACAGAGAAGAATGTTATTTTCACTAACACACATACATATTTTCATAGTGCATTTTACTTCAAGAGCACAGAAGTCTAAGTAGATACAAATCATCTTTAACCGTATATTTCATATCCTAATAATCAAGCCACTCAGGAAGCACTATTTGTGACATTATTTTTTACATCTAATCATATCATTAATGTAATATGATAGTCACCTGTGTTCCTGGGGCCCCCTGCTGGCCTGGAGGACCTGGCTCTCCCTGGGGTCCCTATGAAAAACAAATCAAGAGACACAAATGATTAAGGTTTTGCGGCATCCGTTAGCCCAAATGTTCACCATTCTAAAGCAAATCAGTTAAATGCATCCAGAGAAACGTACTAACCAAGTTTCCTTTTGGACCAGGAGGACCATCGCTGCCACGAACACCCTTAAAGCAGACACAGTGGAACCTCTATGTATAAAAATGATCATTTTTGGAATGGAATATAAAATGAGCACAATTTGTGAAGGGTAAACATTGTGTAGGGAGCTTCTGGGAGCAGTTGGGGGTTAGGTGCCTTGCACAAGGGCACTTACTGTCAGCTCAGGGGATCAAACCGGCGACCTTCCAGTCACAAGGCTGGTTCCCTAACCTCCAGCCCACGACTGCCCCCATATTCTTAAAAAAGCATTGCTAATAGAATGGGATGCTCAGCAGCCCAGGAGCCTAAGAATCATGCTCTATAGAAAAGTTCAACCAGAGGGGTATAAAAGCGGGAGTTGTCTGGAATGGTGGAGCAACATCAAATAGCATTGGGACAGCAGTGTAAATGACACATATGTCAAAATATACAAGGAGAGAAGCCCCTAAAGGTAAGAAATACATTTATGAAAAGATCAAATTGAATAGAATAAACTCATGAATAATAACATAAAAGAGTGCTTCCACAATTGTGTTGCCATTTAGCTCTTGTAACTCTTAAAAATTTAATTTTGTTTTATCATTTTTTAGCATTAAAGAAAACATTCATTTAACTGTTCAAAAAATACGATAACCCATCTCAAGTACAATATCTCATTTTTTTTTTTACAAGATTTCTTGGGTTTTGGGTTGAGGTCAAGGTTGGGGCTAGGATTAGGGCCACGGTGAGGGTTAGGATTAGGTTTGGGGTTGAAGTTAAGGTCAGGGATAGGATTAGGGCCAGGGTGAGGGTTAGAATTAGGTTTTGGGTTGAGGTTAAGGTTAGGATAAGGGCCAGGATTAGGGTTGGGTTTTAGGTTGAAATTAAGGTCAGGGTTAGGGTTAGGGCAAAGGTGAGGATTACGATTAGGTTTTGGTTGAAGTTAAAGTCAGGGACAGGATTAGGGCCAGGGTGAGAGTTAGAATTAAGCTTTCTGTTTAGGTTAGGATTAGGATTAGGGTAAGGTTTTAGGTTGAAATTAAGGTCAAGGTTAGGATTAAGGCCAGGGTGAGGGTTACGATTAGGTTTTGGGTTGAAGTTAAGGTCAGGGTTAGGATTAGGACCAGGGCAAGGGTTAGGTTATGGGTAAGGTTGTGTAAGGTTAGGTTTTGCATAATCGAAGTAACACATTAAATCTACTTCATGTAACATATCAATAATACATCTACTTAATGTGTTACTTCGATTATGCAAAACCTAACCTTACACAACCTTACCCATAACCTAACCCTTGCCCTGGTCCTAATCCTAACCCTGACCTTAACTTCAACCCAAAACCTAATCGTAGTAACATATTAAGTCTACTTCATGTAACATATCAATAATACATCTACTTAATGTAAGTAATGTATCAACAGTACATCTTCAAGATATTTACCTATTACCTTCACTACTGCTACTTCACTGATATGTTGTTGATGTGTTACTGATACAGTGTCAATAGTTGTCTACAAAGGACCACTCAAAATAAAGTTTTACCTGAGTTTTTAGTATAGAATTAGCAAATACACAAAATGTGATTAACTAGCCTCCACACTAATGGAACATTAAGGACATCCTAATTATTTCAAAAATTTTTTTGTAATTTAGACAACAGGGTTGTACTTTTTAAAGGAACTTAGTCTGTCAGTATCATAATCTTACTGAATTTAAAGGTAAAAAAGGGAATGACAGAATGTACTCTTCTTAATCCCTAATCTTCAGGAAATCTGAATAATGTAATTTTTTGAACATGGCTTTCAGATATTCTAGATACTTAATAGAGGTGAATGTATTCAGCTAACAGGACTGAGCGAATGTTGAGGGATGCAACTAAAATGTAAACTTTTCTATAATAGAGGACTCTTCAAAAAGAATTTTTAAAGCATGAGATATGCATGAGATGGATTCACACATTTAATGCAAAAATAATAAGATTTTGGAAGTATTTTAATGATAATGTTTTAAGGTAAAGTATAGTTGGAGTGAGCTGCGATAGCCAAAAATGCTGTGTTACAAGCTCTGTTTTCCTGGAATACATTTTGCCCTCATGACACTGAGAATGCTGAAGAGCTGAGCAGAAACCTGTCAGACTCATCATGTTAAGCTAGAGCTGAATTCACCACAGCTAGCTTGTCAGTAACATAATTAGGGGTGCTACTGGAAAAGAAAAAAAAAACGTTTTATCTTGGAACTGAATACTTACTGGAGAGCCAGGTACTCCAGAAGGACCTTTAGGCCCCAGCAATCCACGGGGCCCCTATTAGATGTGACAAAAAAAAATACAGTTATTCATGACATGTTCTGACAACACAAACATGAGAGCAAAATATGAGAGAAAGCTAAGAGGAAGAATTAATCATTCCTTGAGTGGTTTTGGGGTGGGTTCACAGACACAGATTAAGCTTAATCAGACTTTTAAAATGAGTGTGATTTCTCTAATGAAAATAATTTTTAGTGCAGAAAAGGTTCTGGAGGGCCACAGCATTGCAGAGTTTAGCACTCTACTTCATTTAATCTGTTTACGCACTGTCACACACATGCCTCTCTCTCTCACGCACGCACACACACACACACACACACACACACACACACACACTCGCATAATAGGTGATGGCCAGGGTACAGTGAGTGAGCAAGTTCTCCTTTTCCAGAATATGCTGGATCTGATGTTGTACAAATCAAGCAGAGTGGGGAAATTAACACCAATGTTTTTTATGCAGACCTAAGGATGCACTGAAAACTGTAAATGTAGTTCACAGTTTTGCTGAGGATTGTGATGACTGGACGAAGTAAGAGGCTTCTCCTTGAAGTCCACTGTCATTTTCGCTGTTTTGACCATAGTCAAAACATGCATTTACATAACATAGAACAACGAAAACAGAATCTGTTGTAATTTTAACATTTCTTCCAAATACTTATTCATTCCATCCCCAGGTGAGATTTACTTCTACATTTTACCTCTCATAATACAGCAAGTTTTGCCTTCTGATTAGCTTGATTCAGAGTTTAGACAGCTTGATTTCATCAACCTTCGCTGATATAAGAAGAGGATTCCTCCATCTCTTGATTCCCCTGAGAGAACTACAAAGAGTTCAGCTGTGTAGAGATGAAAGCCAAGGTGTTTTACAGTGCTGTATGGAACAGATTCACTGAGACGGATTTTAATGAAACGGAAAGTATTGTTAAGAAGTAACAGCTAGTCCTTTTTTCCAAGTGAGTGAATTGAAGTGAGTGAGATTCACTGGGGGTTTAACCATGCTTTCTGGCCTGCTTTCCCCATCTCCATCTCTGTCTTTGTCTCCTGAAGAAAGCAGCAGCTCCATTGACTAAAATGTCCAAAAAGCTGCATTAGTATGAGATTTCAGGAGTAATGCCTATTGGTGTAAGCTTTCGGATATACAATAATTCTTAGAAGGTTCACCAGCGACAAGACAAGCATTTGTTCAGTTTGGCATGTTAGAAAAGGGAAAACTGTAATCTCAGCAGGGCAGTGGCCTACCAGCACCTGAGACTGATACCTCTGTGGGCCAGTTGTGTACATTGTGACACACAATGTATGACAGACATAGCTACATTTCTACATTTTGATTGCATAAAGTACACACACATATATATATATATACATATATATATATATATATATATATATATATATATATATATATACACACACTTGTGTACGGACAGGGACACTCACTGGTTCACCTGGGAGTCCTCTGGGTCCGACATCTCCATCATCTCCCTGTGAAAGAAAATAAAGGCTGACTACATACTATTCTATACTAGATACATATACTGTTGAATTAATTTGAAGTTATCAAGGCTGAAAGGTTTGGTGAAGCTACTAACTCTCTCTCCATCCTCTCCAGGGGGTCCAGGTGGTCCCATTCCTCCAGTGTTGCCCTGGATGCAAGAGAAGATTGAATAAAAATATGAACTAGAAAACAATTCATTTAAATCATCAGCTAGAATCTGTTGATACTCTAAACACATTAGAATAACAGAATAGATAGCCCACATACATTATGTATATAATCACAGATATGTAGAAAAATTAATCTCAGTAATACCTAATGTTGATTTTTTTTTTTTGGTAAACCTGATTAAATTGCCTATCCATGCTTCACCACAAATGTGTTTCTTCATTGCTACTCCTGCAAGATTGGACCAGCTTTACAGAACCCTGGCAAAAAATCCTCTTCAACCTAATGAGAAACTGTAGTGTATAACTACGTTAAAGTTTAACCTACAACATACATTCCTTATTTCACATGATATTAATTATGCATGTGTGTGAAAGTTCACAATTTTCTTACAGATTGTAATTTGGTGTAATTTTGAAATTGTAATTATGTAACTGATCACTCAAAATGATTAAAGCTTGCAATAGCTGTAAGGAAGTGTGGGATAATGATTGAATAATCTAACTGTATAGAATTTGTGTGCATTATCTTTTTTTTCGCATGTAAAAGTTTCTGCCTCTGTTTGTCTCTCACCATCACTGTCACTGAGTAACTTCACCTTATTTGATATAACTTGGGGAAATTTATTGTTTCACTTTCTGTTGTTGAATAGTGTTGGTATGTATGGGAATTACAACAGGGAAAATGTCAGCAAATTCCTTAAGGCCCAGACACAACAAGCAGACATCTAATAATTAGCGCCAACAAAGGCTGACTAATGTTTGCCTTCCCTTAGCTCACCATCACATCACATCTTATTTGAAAATTTACACTTGAATTTATCGCAAAGACTACAGCTGATAACTGTTACACACATACATAATGTGCCTCTGTGAAAAAAAAAAACTTTCTATAGCAGGAGGTGGCAGTGGTCTATATTTGCAATCAAAAAAGAAAGAATTAACACTGCAAGAAACTGACCCAAGCCCAAGAAAATCCTGTCTTAATCTGACCTGGTCCATCACCCAAAGTGCTGAATAAAACCTGATAGGATAGCGCCGGTTAAATTATCACATCGTGACAATAATAGCTGTCATTAGATCATGGACAAATAAAAAAAAAAATAATACATATGGATAAACCTTGCCTAACGTGCTTTACTCTCCTTGAATCAGTTTGTATTTTCTGCACATCCATTTTCTCATGGACCTCTGTGCTAAATGATGATTCCAAAAAGACAGTTTAAAACTGGATAAATAAGAAGAAAATCTAAAGCAGAGGTACATGCTGTTTTAAAAGTGGGAGGAGGGGTGTGAGAATGTCCAAACAAATCAAACAAAACATAAATAGTTTTATAGGACCATAAATAAAGCTAAGTCTCTCAGCTTGTGCGCTCTGCCCACAAATGCACTTTTTCATAGTTACTGTTACTAGGGTATGCATTATTGTAGCTGTTAGGTTATACGTCTTATACATACATTTTGCTACACTGCCCACAGGACACTTTTTATACAGGTCTGATTTCTTCTGAACACAGCATATTTGTACTATACAAAGAGAAGTGCATCTATGATAGCTACAGTTAGCTAGCGAAAAGTACCACCTCACACGTTAGACAGGTTATTTGTGACTTGAACAAATAGTTCGAGGCTTGCTATGGTTTGCAGCAGTAGTATATTTTTGTACTATCAAAATATATTTTACTGATTTTCTAGTACCATGGTAACTTTGTTAACCAGGCCTGATAGGATAGCGCCGGTTAAATTAGCACAGTATAAAGCCTTCTTGTTTCCACAGCCATTTACTGGCAGCAGATTCTCTAGTAAATAATTTCAAAGATCTTAATCACTATGGTACATTCCAAGCACCCTTACTGCCTTAAGTGGTAGTTTCAGTTTAGTTTCAGTGGTAATGGGTAGAAACCCTAGTTTTATGTTGTGCATGTACTTTGAGAGCATGAAGCAATTGGTACAACATACTGTGATTTAAGGATCCAGTAAATTTGAAAAATCCTTCTCTGATAAGCATGCATATTGAGGTAAAGATTGCAACACTCACTCGATGACCTTTGTCTCCTGGCAGTCCAGGCAACCCATCAAAACCCCGGTCACCCTAAAACAGACACATAAGAACAGTGAGGAACATTAAAGCACTGCTGAGAAAGAGTAGTGGCTAGAGCACTCAGAGTTTCAATCACATACTAGACAAGTAGAGTTACATTTACTGTTAGACACATAAAGAATGCTAAAAAAGCAACCAACCAGCCCATTATTACCAAAATAAGAGACTTATAGACAAATATCACAACTCAGAATCAATTACTGGAACATATCTAACCTTAACTCCAGGCTCTCCTGGCATTCCTCGAGCACCATCAGCACCAGCACGACCCTTTAGGAACATCATAAACATTACAAAAAAAAACCCCTAGGCATACAGTTCTATACTTTTAGAATACCCTAAAATAAATCACAGAAGACCACTGTAAAGACAGATAAATTGATTGGCCCAAACATGATCACTCACTCTTCTCCCAGGTTTGCCAGGAGGACCAGACAATCCTTGCGGACCTCTGGGGCCCTGCAGAATAAATGAAGGGCATGACATTATATGACATCATGATATGAGGAAGCAAAATGTGTATGGGTGAAGTAACTGTACATATTTCCTTTTTTTCACTTCAGAAGCTGAATGATTAATGAGCATTATACACATATGCACATAAACACATAAATACAAATACACTCTAACCTGGGGACCAGGGTCTCCAACCTCTCCCTTCAAACCAGGACTTCCAGATGAACCCTATTAAAAACATTAATTTTTGCTATGTGCAATGTAATGGACTTACACCACATAACACTGCAAAAGCAGGTTGCCATTTTCATCTATTCATTGATTTGAAAACATCCAAATAAGAGATCTGTTTGAATATATCTTCTTACCAGGGGACCAGGCCGACCAGTAAAACCCATTGGCCCAGGTGGGCCCTTCAGGGCCATCTAGGAGGAAAAATTAAAAATTCAATTAGCCAAGAGACTGCATTTAAAAACATTATCTGTTAGTTCAGGAATTATTAAGGAACTAGACACTGTGGAATAAGCAAGTGATTGGAACTGAGTAGTAAGTATGAAAGGTGAATGGAATTGGTTAACAAGTGTGTAATTAGCTGGTGAGTGAAACTGGCTAATAAGTATGTAATTAGCAATGTATGGGGTTAGCAAGAATGTAACTATGCGACGTCTATGCATGATGTTTCCTTGTTCCTTGAAAAACTAAATCTCAACCTATTTGAGTAGTGACTTCCTCTTGACTCCTTCTGAAACACACTAGAGCAACCTTGGTCACGTTTCTCTAAGGAGGGGATTTCATTATTTAAAACAATTTATCTGGGCAATCAGTGTTTTGTAAAAGTACAATGTATCATTAGAATAAATGGCATGCAGACATGCAGCATTGTGCAAAGGTCTTGCAAAGCACGTGAGAAAATGACATGTAAAGCCTGTTCTGTAAATAATAATTTGCATTAGAAAAAATTTGAAAAAATGCAAATAAACAATACATGGAGATATGTGTATGTGTATCAGAGTATGTGTGTCAGAGTGTTAGTTAACCATTTCCAAACCTCTCCTTGAGAAAACCCAGTATTTACAATTACCGTCCAAAACCTAGTTTAGATAATCACGTACTTCATTTAATTCAATTAGGTGTGCTAGTGATGGAATTTAACAAATTCATGTAATGACTAGTGTGCAGTGAGAATTCAGAAACCAGTGTAGTCAGTGTTCTTCTAAGTTTATTCTTCTAACATATCAATAACTAGTCAAATAATAGCCCAAAAATATATTGTGTTATAGTGTTTTCATTGGTAAAAATACAATTTCTGCCAAGAATAATAGTTTAAATTAATATTCTTTGCATTATACTGTATATATATATATATAGTCAGTGGCCACTTTATTAGGTCCATGTACCCTGTATCTACACTCACTGTCCATTTTATCATGTTTACTTACCATATAGGTGCATTTGGTAGTTTTAAAGTTATAGATAGTAGTCCATCTGCTTCTCTGCATAATGTGTTAATCCCCTATACCCTGTTGCAATGGTCAGGACCCCCACTGGCCTACACAGAGCAGGTATTATTTGGGCAGTTGATCATTTTCAGCACTGTAGTGACCTTGACATGGTGGTGGCATGTTAAGGTGTTGCACTGGTTTGAGTGGATCAGACACAGCGTTGCTGCTGGAGTTTTTAAAACACTGTGTCAATTTCCTGTCCACTCCATTAAACACTCCCACTATGTTGCTATACCTTGTAGATGTAAAGTTAGAGATGATAGCTCATCTGTTGTTTCACAGTTTGTGTCATCCTCTAGTCCTTAATCAGTGGTCAGTTTCTGGCCTCAGGACACTGCTGCCTGAGTATTTCTGATTGGCAGCCCATTCTCAATCCAACAGTGACAATGAGCCTATTTATGCCTTGCATTAACATATGTTTAATGTCCGGATTGTATCTGGACAAACTTTGGTTGAATTCCATTTACACTTTTCACTAAAAAGCATCCCCAATGTGACCAGATGAGATCCGAGTAGCAATGTGGCTACCAATTCAGTGCTAAGAATTATCCAAATAATACTTGCTGATACCTGTGGGGGTCATTTGGGGGGCTAATAAATTTAATAGAGAAACCAAGTACAATCTGTAATTGAAGAATTACAATATGCACCTATATGGGAAATGGACCAAGTAAAATGGACAAGGAGCGCAGATACAACTTGCACCTGATAAAGTGGCTGATGATTCTAACTGCTACCGATGCTATTACTCTATTTCAAGCTAGGTGTAACATTAGCACACACAACAGCTACCAAATGCACAGAAAACACTACACTGTAGGCCATAAACCAAACAACAACTATGCAAACATATGACAGTTCTAACGTTTGTCAAACGTTCCAAGGGATATGTCTAACTTTGTATGTTTTTTTTTTTTAAGCGCATTTAGCTAACAAACACATAGATGGCAGGTGCTGCTCTTGAGAGAGTCCAAAATGATTGGGGGCCTAAGGAGCTTTTGGACAAATCTGTAATTTGTACATAGTTAATCATTTTCATACAAACAAATGCACTTGTTTACTCAGCACAAAACAGAATAATATTCTCGAATGCTTTTCAGCTTTTTGTCTACAGTATATCAGCAAAGAACAGTGTAATGTAACCTCATGTACATTCATGACATCAGGGAGTGCAAATAGCTTTACTTAGCCAGTGAACTGATCAACTCACCAAATAATCAGCTAGCATCAGTAGCATCAGTGCAGTAATGCTAGCATCCAAAGACTACTGCCCAAAACTTTTTAGCTGTAGAAAACATTGTTTTTTTATACAACATATTCTTCTAATTTCCAAAATTACCATTAAACATTTTCAGCCATTCAACTCCATTCACCCATTAATTTAGGCCTCTAATGTTTTGCAGTCTAGTTTTTGGTATAATGGGACAGGCTCTCCCTAAATAGCTATCATTTAAGTTTCTAATGATAACGTGATATAATTTGGGTTTTCTATGAAACAATACATACGATTAGCTAAGCAATTCTTTTTCCTGGCAACTATTGTGCAACCTGTAAAAAACTTTTAATAAATGTTTTTTGGGAGAACTACTTCTGTAAATGAGATGTGAGGTTAGTGTGAAGAACCTTTTTAAAAGTTCAAGGAACCTCTGTATAGTGCAAACTTTTAGGACCAACCCCTCAATTAACCCCTCATAGAGCCTTTACGTTATGTAGAAGTTCTATAAAATTTAAAAAGGTTCCACATCTCAATTACAAAACTGGTTCTTTAAAGAACCAAACATGGTTCTTCTATGGCATTACTGAAAGAACCTTGATTTCTAAGAGTGTACACCTTGAGTACCTCCTCCTCAAACAACAGAGTAGCCAAAAATATTTCAGAAGGCTACAGTTTACACATTCATTTAAAATGTGGTATGGATTCAATCTTTTTGTGTCTTACAAGAAAATGTTAGAAAAACATCATAAGTGACTCTCATGTAGCTGCTTGAGAGAATGCCAATATTGTGCATAGTTGAATGAAAGCAAAGGAGGGCAGCTTTAGCTTTGATATCTTTACTATTATTCTAAAATGTGGAAAACAATAGAAATAATGGAACCTTTATAAAACTTTTGAATGGTATGTCTAATGTCTTATCCTGCCTTTTGCCCAATGACTGCTGAGATAGGCTCCAGCACCCCCGTGACCCAGAAGGATAAGCAGTTTGGAAAATGTGTGTGTGTGTGTGTGTCTCATGTCTATGGTTTCAGTATGGTAGATATTAAAACCATAAGTCATTGCTATCAATGCTTCTACAAAGCTAAATGGCTCATATGTGCTACTTACCCGAGCCTGAGAGAGAATAGCTTGAGCCTGGGCCTCCTGTGCTGAGACAATGGGGCCTTTGTCCCCTCCACTTTGTCCAAATCGGAACTATGGGATCAAAATGTGTGTTAACAGACATATTAGCAGACATTATTTTAAAAGGTTTTGTGTTTTCCATGTGTTTTTCTGCAACTATTCACAGCAGGTAAAGCCAACACAATAGCTACAGCAAAATAAAACCTATATCTGTCTGTAAGACAGCTGGCTATATAAGGTCCATTTTTCCTTGTGTTTTTACCACATCACAGTAATGCTCAAACAGCTCTTGACATCCTCACCAACTACATATATTCTTTCCAAATCACATTTGATGTCATAAATACTCACCATGTAATGCAACAAAGATGTCATGCAGAACAGATTCATTGGTCAATTTTTTTTTTCATATCAGGATCTGCCTAAGGTCTGTGTTACTTAAATCTTTGAATCGTTGGAGGCATTACTTAATTTGCTGAGCCACACTTTTATGCTGACATCTAGTGGTGGAATGTAAAAAGGACAAACAAATGATGAAGTAATGCTAAAAACGAGAATAAAAAAGTGATGGCAGTAGAAGTAATACATACTGGAAGCATGACAGATGTTCCAGGAGGTCCAGGAACACCATCAGCTCCAGGCAGACCAGCTTTACCAGGTGGACCCTGAAGAGAAGGTCAGTTCGGGGTCAAATACAATATATTACACAAAATTCTCACCCACAACTAAGCATGGTTGTCAAACAAGATTTCATTATAAACTTACCCTCTCTCCTGGATCCCCCACAGACCCAGGAGGACCAGTGGGCCCAGCAGGGCCAGGGAGACCCTGCGGTAGAGTGATGAGGGGGGGAAGAAAAATGGAGGCATGTTTTTGTGTTGCACAATATAAAGCAAAAGATGCAACAGGTGATTTACTGTGCACATGATATTCAGCAGGCATCGGTAACATAATCATGTAAGAAAGAATATATGAACATTTAAGCGGATCTGTGAACTTATAACTAATACTGGACTAGCAATTTAGTGGTCCAGAACGGCTTATCAATAATGCAAGGTTTCTTGCAATTCTATAAGATTCACTCACTGCTGGTCCTTCTGGTCCTGGTGGTCCTTCGATCAACATGCCCTATGAGAATGGTAAAATAATAAAAAAACGTATTAATTTAATAGCTGTTTTTTAAAAGTATTTATTTGTAGTATGTCTGTTTCTTGTCAAGAAAGAACTAGGTTTGACAATGAAATGTAGCAGTACCTTCTGACTGTCTGAATGTATAACTGCCCAGGAATGCACAGTGAATTAATGTGGGGATTTGTTCTGCATATAAACGTAAGTTTCCCTCTCACTGCTGATATGTAGTTGAATAGTTTCCCTCTTGCAATGCCTTTGATTGTCCTTCAACCACTATGAATATCTTTTAAAGAAAACCTGTATTCCAAGAGTGACCATAACTACTCCTGGTGATCTGCTCACTCTAAAGAGTGCAGTTCCAGCCCTAATCTAACACATCTAATCCATTTAATCAGTGAGATTAGATTAGAGATTAGAACAAACAGCAAGAATTAATTTAGGGTTGGAACTAAATTTTCTACTAGAACTAAAGTGTAGATTTTCAAAAGTAGGATAGGGCAGGCTGGTTCTATTCAAAGCTGAAACTTACAGGCTCAAGGACAGCAGGCTCTCCCTTCTCTCCTTTCTGGGCCCTCACAGAAGCCTGAGCAAAACAGATATGTAACCCACAATACAGTCCAGTCAATACACAGCAAGAAAGAAAAGTCCAAGTCAAGCAAATTCAGTATTAAACTGGTGAGGCCAGTTTCATACAGACTGATTACACCCAGGCTTGGGCTAAACTGCAATGTCAATGCCATTTAGTTCAGGCTGAGGCTTAATCTGAAAACCAGCACACTGTGTCTTTAAAACCTGAAGAAGAAAAAAAACACAACCCTTTTATCTTTTTTTTTTGCACAAGGTTAACATTAACAAAGTCAGATAGAAAGATTATATTAGATAGAATAGGATTCTATCTAAAAAAGGTGTTTCAGTTCAATTTTGTGTTCAGTTTATTTGTACCCTTTTCCATCTAATTTTCTGTGTTGTTTGACGTAAACAATATTGCCTTCACTAATGACTGTCTTACCAGTCTGTAGACTCAGAAACAGCCTCAGAGCATTAACTAAGAGAATACAACTTTACCTTCCAAGTAATTTCCTAGGACACTGATTTGATGAAGTATGTTGACCTTAATTCCAATGTATTTTTGAGTGCAATGGTCATAATGAAATGAATACGACAGCACTTGATTTGTTCCCTGGTGTTCTGTTTGGGCTTAAAAAAATGCATATTGGTTTTCAGAACTAAAGTTTTGTTGTTTGAACCATTGTTAAATTAGGTACAGGATCATACATGTTGTTTCATATATCTCTGGTTCTGCAACCAAAAAAGGATGGTCAGCATGGTCTTGCATGATTAAAGAGCCCTGTGTTAGTATCAAAACTAATATACGCAATCTAGGCAGGAGTACTATATATATATATATATATATATATATATATATATATATATATATATATATATATATATATATATGTGCGTGTGTGTGTGTGTGTATATTTATATGTGTATATATAAGTAATGTCATATATATATATATATATATATATATATATATATATATATATATATATATATATATATATATATATATATATATGTATGTATTGCACATACATACATACAGAACAGTCTTGAAGCACAAAATAATGCAGAATGGTGTTGTGCTGAAGAAGGAAGTTGTCCATTTTCACGGATCTAGCATCACTGATCATCCTAATATCATTCATTATTAAGAAACTGTAAACCTGGTTTGAGATCAGTGCATACAAGCAGCTTCTGGAACACTCAAGATGGTTAAGTCCTTTAAAACAGTAACCTCTATGTATTTTTACAGTGGAATCTATGAACGGGTCATGAAGGCTTGTAATGGCAAAGGAACAAATTATTGTACAATAAATTTCAGTAGATTTAAAGCTATTGTCATTGAGTTAAAAACACAATTAGGTCTCGATAGGTTAGCAAGGAAGTCTACGCCCAGTCTCTTCCCATTTCTGTAAGATGCCTCTTTAACTATGTATGGTGCAAAGGTAAATGCTACTTTAGCTCTCAGCTTTCAAGAGCCTGGAAGAGAATTTGCCAGTCATCACAAAATGACTTACGCCTCCCTCATCTGTGACAGCAGACAGGACAGGGCCCATGGTACCATCTGTCTCCCCTCCAGGAATGGGCTCATTGTAATCCTTGTAGGAATAGTCATACTCCTTCATTCCAAAGTCTCCTGTCACATATTCTTCGATGAAGGCCTCATCTGGTGTTTCAGATACCTCCTCACCATTTGCTTTCACCTTTTCTACCTCTTCACCCACTACAGTTTCCTCCACCTGGGGCATTCCATTGGGAACATGGACAGTAGAGAAGATAGTTGTACAACAGAAGGTGGTTAGAAGATAAACAAAGACAGAAGGTGGGTTAGTATGGCAAGGAAAAAAATATATTAATCAAAAGGAAAGAGTAGTAAAGAAAGGAAAAATAGGGAGAAACAGGAAGATTCCAAGAGAAGATGGAGATTCAGAATAAGTCTTACCTGTGGATAGACAGACAACGAGAAGGACACAAACACACACACTAATGCTTATTGCATTGGATCTAAATAATAATGGAGGACAGACAAGATAAATCTCTGGTATTCCACATTTCTATTAAGTTACTGACTTCTTAAAGTGTCCTGTCTCTTTGCCCATGTTTTGTGTCCTGGAGAATGTGTTCTGCCTGTACCCCACCATTAAAGTAAATGGCAGCCCATAAACTTGTGTACTGTGCCTCAACAAACAATAGCTCTTTAGGGAGAGTTTACTATACTATACATACTGTGCAATACCACAAGTGTTGTGATAACACAAAGTTCATTAATCATAATTAAAGTAGGAGAACACAGAAACACACAAGCCTATGATGACGCATTAACTTTATGGAAGAAATGTCACTCCAGTTTCTACTGGAGTATTCTGCAGACTAAAGACAGGTGCTTCTTTAAAGTTTCCTTACCATAAACTTACCATTTCCTGTGGTTAGGGCTTGTGGTTTTTACATTTTACATTTAGATTTACAAACCTGACCATGACAGACCTAGCTTCTTACATAACTGAGAGGGCAATGGTTGAATACAGCTAATTCAGTGAACTGAAAAAACAGCAAATTAACTTCAAAATGAACTTTTCTAAGCACTTCAAATAGATGATATTTTTAAAAAATCTATGTCTCAAACCATCATTAGCAGTCCATGTAATAATGCATAATACACATTCTACCTTTACAAGCCAAACTTCCTGGTTGACTCCTCAAGACATTTTGTTCTTATTTCAAGATTGTGAAGAGATGTTAAATCCAATCTTGATATAGGAACACGGGTAAATCTGGTAGAATATCAAAGTGTCAACAAAGAAAATCTGATAAAATGAATGCTATGCATTCTCCTTCGAGGGAAGTATAGCACCTGTCATGGCACGAGTAGCTTCAGAAACATGTTAATAAGAAATTATATTGTTACAGACAAGATTATTGGATTCTACATAGGATGGTCTCACCTCCATTGTGACAGATTTTATGTGGTGCTGAATGTTTTGACATTGCTAATAGACATGAGTTACCTGGCCTGTGGTTACTTCATGTCCAGTCACCTCACTTCTTGGCCGTGGTTTGGCCTCCTCCCCCTCCAAGGTGTAATAATACTCTGTCTCTGTGGGGGTGTGGTCAGCCTCAGAGTAAGCAGGATCTACATCCTGATTGGGCAGGCCAAGGAGAAGATAGGAACGGGATGGAGGTATGCAGATTTGAAGGAGAAAGACTGGTTAGTTTGAAGTAAGTTCATATTTTGATGAACTTATTAAATGCAGAGAGGAGAGAGCAACGTTCCTTTGCCAGAGAAACAAGATACTTTCTGGCGAAACATTGTTGATATAATTTCGCAATGAAATTAAAGCAGGGAAACGTTTAAGCCAGAATGTAATATCTTGACATAAACCTTTACATCAAAAAGGTTTATTCAAAATTCCAAGACTTGTTTTCCCAGGCTTAACTCCTTTTGGATCTAAACTGAAAAAGCCACAATGCCATGCCAAGGTATTCACATAGTCAAGTTGCCCCTTGTGTGAAGGACAATAGAGGGCCATAACTTGACTTTTCAATCGGTCAAGATTAGTTGTAATGGTCATCTCTGCTGCATCATAAGAAACATGATCCCGTTTTGATACTTGTTATTCATTTTGTGAGGCTGCTATTAAAATTTTGTGAAGGACAGAAAAAGAAGAAACCATTGAGCACAGCCTCACAGAAATACTCTATAAACAAATTAACCTGATGATAGCTAAGTTACACAATAGACCAAAGCATATTGTTGCAGGCGTGCGTTATATTGAGAAGCTTAGTAAACTACATTTGCAAATATCAGCAATAAATAAAAGAACCAGTAGTGCTTTTTGTGAAACTACTTCACTAGTATTCAGTTCAAATATGGATGAGAAAGGAGCATTTAATGAACAAGACAAAAATGCCCAGAAAGAAAAAAAAAACAGACAGAAAGAATAGCTGAGAGAAAGGATGTGTTGTTTCATTTATAGATCTACAGTATGATTAATTAATTAATATGTTGATCCTTACAATAACATTATTGAAAGATTGCATGCTGGCACAACTACTTTCTACAAACTAGAGTAAGGTTGCAACAGGGTGTATAGGTTGGTAGTGACAGGATATTAAAGCATAAATAGACAGAAGACTGTACAGGCAGTCATGCGGTAGTGTTACAGTATATTCCGCTTTATTATATCGTTTCTCATGATCACTGAGATCATTTGATATATGAAACGGTGGAAAGAGTCCGGTAGGTCATTAACTTCCAACCTCATTTCTAGGAATGTCTTCTTTAAGGTTTTACACATGGATTTCCAGTTGCTTTTACATGCCTCATATGTGAGCCAATAAAATATACAGCTATTTCTAATCAGTTAGGGTCATAAGCTATGAAAATGACCAAATTATGAAAATAATCAATTAGGTTGTTCTTATGAACTTATATGTTTAACTGTCTCATTAAATAACCATGAAAAAAAATAAAATATGACAGTTTAGGTTGAGTATTGTCTGCCTTTTGGCAGAGCTACAGTTGACTTAAGAATGTCCAGAGCAAAAGCTTTCAAGAGCTAACAGACAAAATAAGTGTAGATGGAAAGAGAACAAGCTAGAATCTCCCAGCAATCAAACACAGGCATGGCACACCAACCAAACATTTCTGTTTGTTCACATTGTTTTTGTTCATTTGGTCAGTGTGCTCGGGCCTTAACACTAATGTAGTGAATAAATTTGAATGATACAATCTATGGCTATTAGGACAGAAGCAGCACAAACTGCCCACAGGCTAACACTCAGGCTGGCTACAGTCTGCATTTGTTATTTTGTGGACAGCTGTAAATAGGTGTAATTTATGCAATTTGTGTAAATATGTGCAAACTGTGTGTAAAACCTAAAAGATGATAGCTGGGTCTGCGTTCACAACATACCACACAGTCAGAACGATGTAAATATCATTGTCAGTACACAACAATAAGACTTATTTAGAAAATTGTGATTCTAGCACAACACTCTCACTTTGAGGTAATTTGTGAATAAAGACCTTAGCTCACTACATGATGAGGTTGGAAATAAAGATCTGGACAGCCAACACGGGCTTTTGATTTTGTACCTGTTGATAACCATTGGTTGGTTTCTTCTTGGATTTTTCTGGAGCGGAGATGGTGGTACCACTGACTGCAGCCTTGTCGAAGGGTGGGAATTGTTTGGTCATTGATTTGAAGTTACTGACGTCTATCAACACCTTGGGTTTCTCTGGCTTGAGAGAGATGGGGACAGGCACAGGGGCTGGAGCAGATATGGGTGCTGGGACTGGTGTCTCCTTCTTGGATATGGGTTTCAGACTAACAAGCTTTTGCATGATTACAGAATCAGATGTGTCTTTGACAGTTTTTCTAACATCTGCCTTTTCACTCTTCCCAGCTTTCACCTTTAATGTCTCAGTCTTAACTATTTTGACCTTGCTCGGCTCAGTTTTGTTTATCTTAATCTTCGCCTCTTTTGCAACTTCAGTTTTTACTCTGTCAGTTTTAGTTTTAGCATTTTTTCCTGGTTTGGCATCAGTAACCTCAGTTTTCCCTACTTTGTACTTGCTGAACAGTCCTATCTCCAGCTTCACTTCAGGTTTCTCAGTTTTCACTGATTTTTCCACATTTCCATTTGCTCTTTTTTCCTCAGCTGCCTTGCCACTGCCATTAGCCTTTTTCTCTACAACAGCTCTTTCGCTGCCTTTAGCTTTAGTAGCAACATTTGCTTTGTTATCTTCTTTCCTTTTGGCATTGCCATTGATGGCAAACTTCTCACTGCTTTTAGCTGCACTGTTGTTTCTTTTCTCCTTAACTGCTTTCCCACTGACCTTACCATTGGGCTTAGAATTACCATTCACTTCCACTTTTTTCTCCTCAGCTGCTTTGGTACTTCCATTTACTTTACCATCGCTGTTAACTTTAGCACCATTAGCTTTATTTTCCACCATAGTCTTGCTATTACTGTTACCATTTACTTTAATTTCACCACTACCTTTTTTATTCTCAGCTGCTTTAGCATTGCCATTTGCTTTTTTATCTCTTCTAGTCTTAGGGGCTAATGTGGCTTTAGAATTAGATGATTTAGCTGCTACAGATGGCTTAGTTTTTGAAAGCAAATTTTGCACAGCAGTAAGTTTCGCTTTGGCAGGCTTTGTTGTGGCAGCACTTGTTGGGGCTGGGCCTGTGTTAGCTAATGTAATTGGCTTGGCAGGTTTTGCTTTAGCTGGGCCAGCTTTTGTCTTGTCAACTTTTGATTTCTCAGGAGCAGTGGATTTTTGGGTGGCCTTTCTGTCCTATAAAATTCACAGTTTTTTTTAATAATAATGTATTTTTTAATAATAATATTTTAAATAATAAAGTATTTTAAATGAAGTAGTATTGAAGTAAAGAATATAAGACAAAAGGACAGAGGGGAAAAGATGTCAGGGGTGGGTGGGATTGAAAACAGTGGGGAAGGACAGGAGGAGAGAGAAAGACAAGGTTGGTGTTTGATGACAATGACATTAAGATCGCTGGCAATTGGATGACTAACTGAGAATGTTGGCATTACTGGATACAGTATTCAGTGCACAGACATATCATGGTTTAAACCTTGAAAGAAAAAAAGAGTATAAACAAGGAATTGTTAATGAATATTTCCTTTGAATTACAGTCTAATTCATTTGGGGTTTCAACACTTTTCTCCAATAATGCCATTGTCTGTATTAAAAAGCAGCTATTTTATGCATAGAAAGACTCAGAGCCTGTGGTTTGCAGGGACACAGAGACAAATAGGCTCAAATAAAGCATGTGCTGCTGATAATACAAATGCATGACTGGCATACTGTGCTGCCCAACTGTGCAGAGAGAGATGATGACATACAGAGAGAAACAGCGCTGACAGCATCAAGCAACACACAGATCCAGACAGTCCTATTTTGCTATTCATAGTGCCCCTACACTCAAAATAAATGTATTAATTTAAATAATTGTAGTGTAGAGGCCATATGAATGGAAAATACTACCCAAGGGGAGGCACTTCCTCATAGACAAGCAGTAGCACAGGTCAGGTACTGAGGCATGACTGCTTCAGTATGATCCATAAAAAACGAGAGTATATTATGCATATTATCTGCCACGTTAAGCTTGTCAGAGTGGCAATATTGAGCAAACTACCAAAAGAAAACAAAATAAGATGGGTTGGCATAGACAGATGAACAATGATGCAATGACACTCATCTGAGGTAAAATAAAGACAGACCTGTGAGCAGTAATGGCATACGTCAGAAAGAATATCAGAATGCTATAAATAATGGATTCTTTTCAGGGGTTGAAAATTAAATTTTACATTTTTAAGGGAAAACCTGCAAACAAATCTAACCATATCACATTTCATAGGATAAAAGCCGGTTTTTAATTACTGACCGAAAATTCACTGATCATTCACATGATCTTATTTTTTTAAATGTGCTCATAATCATAAATACGTCATGTCAATTTTAGCAAGTCAGCATTTCTCTGCTTAGCTGGATTGTCACAGTGGGGCCAGGTTGCTCTGTGGTTCTTCTTTTGGTGGCACATATTTTTGTGCAGTACTGTGGGTTTGTATGTGAGACAGCGCTACTATACCTGAGCCTCCAGTGCCCACCCATACACACAAGAATTCATACATTATACACAAACATACACAGTGTATAGAACACAGATAAACAACAAATACATAAGAATGGACGGCAAACACAACATAATTGTAGTGTTAGGCTGTTTAGAGTGCGTTAAATGAGATGGTGTAGAGAGAAAGTTTGGGTTTTTAAAAATTTATATGAGATGGGAGTAAATACTGAAATGAAGAGAATGGAAAAGAAGTAAGTTTGACCTTAGGCTTTTTGAACAATAGTTAATTCTCTCTAGGGATATTTGAATCAAATTAACTGTGACGTATAGTTTGGCACCCCAGAAAAATGTTTTTTTTTTTTAGGTAAAAAAGAAGTAAACACAACCTCTGCAACCAACTATTTTAAAAAATGTCATTTTTCTGCAAATGTTAATTTACAGTTCATTTATATTATATTAACTTAAAAAATAGAAAAAAAACTGTAATTGTGTCAAAAGTTTGGACACCCTTCCTGTTCTCTTAATTAGCACATTAGGACTGGCTAGGCAGGTTGAAGTTCCAGAGCTTAATAAATTCTCTGACTTCTAAGCTTGTGCTAACACTTAAAATCCATGGGCTCCTTAAAGCAGGTGACTGAGGATCTAAAAATGAAGCTAATTAATGCCTACAAAGCAAGGGAAGACTAAATAAAGATGTGCTTCTAGCACACAATTTTTACTGTCTGAAATGTCATTAAGAATCGGCAGCTAATGGGAACCAAGGAAGTCAAGGCAAGATCTGTAAAACAGACACATGATAGCGAAGGAGGTTTAGCTGACACAAGAATTCTGGAAGCAAATGTGACACAGTCAGGCAAGAAACTGATGCCGAAAAGAGGCTGGTTATGACAGCACAATGACAAAAAAAAACATACCTCAAATACAACATGAACTACTTCAAGAAACACAAGCTGAAGCTTTTGGAATGGTCCCTACAGTACCCTGACCTTAGGTCTGTGAGTAGGTCTTAAATATGTTGTGCATGCCCGACAGCTCAAGAATAGTGCAGAACTAGGAGTGTTCTGCAATAAAAGTGGCTAAAAGGTTTCTTTTAAAAAAAAAATTGAAAGACTCCTAACTTGCCACAAAATTACTGACTTAGTACGGTGTCTAAACGTTTTCATATGGTACAATTAATATTTTAATTTTTTCCTTTTTTAAGTTATATATATATTGCTGGTGTCGGAAGAAAACCTTGTATCTCTATTATTGTTGTTTTTCAGTTTTTGACATAATTTGAAAATGCCTGTTGCCCTTTACATTACGTGTAAATTGGACCAAAAGAAATGGCCCAAAAATGAATAGGAAAAAAGTCTGATTTCACTGACTTACATTAAAAGTAAAGTATGTTTTTTCTTTCGCCTGTAAAGTTACTGAGGTTTTCTTCCGACAACAGCGAGATGTATGAGATATATATATACACCGATCAGGCATAAAAATATGACCATCTCTGCGTTTCTACGCTCATTGTCCATTTTATCCGCTCCACTTACTATATAGGTGCACTTTGTAGTTCTACAATTACAGACTGTAGTCCATCTGTTTCTCTGCATATATATATATATACATACATACATACTGTTTGTTTGTTCCTGTAAAATATCCACAGGGGTTTTCATAGTCATATACATTTTTCTCTTGTCCTCAAAGTTCCTGAACATTTTCCCAACAGCGAAACAGGAATGAGTGGCTATATCTCGGCCTTCCAAGCAAGGAAAAAGTTCTTTTTTCCTTGACAGGAAAAAAAACAGTTTGAGTTTAATTTAAATGAATTGAATTTAATAAGCACAGCCAACAATAAACAGGAGATAAAATAGAAACTTGCGCGCAAGGAAAGCACAGTGAAATTAAGAGATCCTTTCTACTTGGGTAACAATGAAGAAACTGAAACTGTTGTTTAAGATGGCAGGTCTCCACTGTTGATGACTCTGGCATGATTTTCATCAATTCATTTTATCATTTTTGTATTCAGGTGAGAAACATACATCTAGTACAAAATACAGACCTGTCCTGGTCACAGTATGACTAAAAATATGTCTCTTACGTTGGAATAATATTGCAATTCCAAGCACTGCGACTGGGGAGGATGTAATGTGTTACTCACATAAGTGTTGGGATCCTGGGCCTGAACTTTGGGTAGACGAGTGTCACAGTCAGGACTATAATGCTCACAGAAGTCATAGGCTGCCTGAGGGTTGGAAGCAATCAGCAGCTGTTGAATATCGCCCTGTGAAGAAACATAACCCAAAAAACATGATGGAAAAATCATCAACTATGATTAAGTACCAGTCTAACTGTGAGGGTGTCTGTAGCCTGACATAGCATTACAGAAACATTACTTCATCATATACATCATATAATCATAGAGTGGATATGCAACATTTTAAAGCAGCATGCAGCATTGTGCTCAGTCATCTGTGAACCATCAATAACCAAAATCTCTCAAAAATAAAAAATAAAATGGTATTTTGGGTTCAATATATTAATTTTCAAATAAACAATTCTACTATTGCTCAGCTAGAGGTTTTCAATTGTAGTGCAAATAATGAGTATATATGCAGTACAGTAGTAATGTTAACAATAATAATGATATACGTAGAGGCTGTTTTTTTAATTATAATCTACAAACATTCCTAGTTACAGAGCTCACAATATCCTATACCTCACATATCCCAAACTTAAAATGTTTTTTTCTGGTTTTAAAGAGTCTAGGACACTAACAATAAGAAGAAGGTGAAGACTGATAAACAGAGGCACCACCAGGGGATTTTGTACCCCATGAAAAAATATCACATTAGGCCCCACCACCTCACCATCACAGGTCATGCCAACCCTGAAAAAAATAACACTAATACATTCTGTATGCAGTGGAATTCACTATTTGATGCAAAACTGATACAGTATCAATGATACCCTCTATTACCCTCTGAAAAGCATTTAATCATTTTTCTTTTTTTCATAATAATAATAAAATAAGAAATCCCCATGGACCCCCTGTCATTATGCCAAATGACGTCATGTATTTCATTATGGACTAGGCTTACAGGTTCCAACACTCACAGACTAGTTTTTTGTGTAAATTTAGGTGACATACTGTTTCCATTTCTTTTGTTTCCCCTGTCTTTTTTTCTTTCATTTCATTTTTAGCAAGCTGAGACATGATGCTCCACCAAAACTCACTGCTGGCAAGTACTGATTTGTTTAAGACAAATCTCTGGCCTGTGTACCCAGGCACTAGGACAACTGGCTTGCCTCAAGAAAAGCTTGATAATGAGCTGAACAACTAGTTTAAAATCTAAAGATGAGAGCTTCCAAAATCACTTAACAGTAACAGCACAAGCTGTTATCCCAAAATTTCTTGCACCACTGACCTGGAAAACCTCTTCATCCAACAGACGTGCACCAAATACAGTAATACCCTTGGTGTCCACCACTGGCTTGTTACTTCTAGGAAGAGGTCTAGTTATTCGCTTCTTGCAGTCAAGCAGGAGAGTAACGTTCTTCTTTTGTACAGAGATGGCAAGGCGGTGCCACCTGCAGGATTGGATGGGATTAAGCAGAAGGGTGTGTATGCGAGTAACTACAGTGAAAGAAATGAAGTATGTGAAGGAAATGGAGTAAAAAATGGAGTATGCGAGCATGAGAGTAATGCTAAAACATGTTTATGTAAGTTTTGCCATTACTCATAACCTTAAGATATTAAGATGAATACTGGAAGAATCCAGAGAGAGGATTTTAAGCAAGCAAGGCAAGCAGTATGACTATGATGAAGAAAAAAATATACACATGTTCACGTGCACACACACACAAACACATTAAATTTTATAACAAGTTTGGGTTCAGCAGGATCTGGTTACTGACTTGCCATCAGCCAGGTTGATCCCTGTAAATAGTGGGTAGTCCTCTGGGGCAGGCTTGCGGCTCTGGTCCTCATACAGGAAGACAGGTGAGTGGCCCACCTCCAATCCTAGCTGTTGCACCCCCTGCTCACTGTAGATGGACAGCAGAAAGGCCTGAAGACCAGCCTTGGCCTTCACCAGGGCCATGATGGAGAAGTTCTCTGGGAAACGTCCTTGTGATGAAAAACAAATGAATATATAGCAAATTACCAAAAACCAGAATAAGATAAAAATGAACATGGAAAATAGTGGATGAAGGGGTTAGAACAATTTAAACATGAAGGAAGAACCAAAGAGAGAAAAGAGAAAGTGAAGAGAAGTGTTAGGTGATAGCAAATTAGGACATCATAGAAAAACAAGTTTAAAGGTATAACTCTGAAACAAATGAAGAAAATGAGGACACTAAATGTGATTAACTGAAAAGACAATAGGTCAGTCAATAATAAGTATAACTGCAAAAAGACTGAAAATCACATCCATCTTAAATAGCAGATTTAAATAAGACCTCACAATATCTTTGACTTGCTAAAAAAATTACAATTTTGCTTGTGTCTTGACATGGTTTGGAGTTTCATCAGGTTTAATCAGAGCAGGACTGGGAAAACCAGAAATCCTGGTCCAGCCCAGGCCCCACTCACACATTCATATGTATACTTTATGTCCAAAAGTTCCCAGCCGCCCCCTTCTAATTAGCTAATTTAGCTACTTCCAGGCATGTGCACACATTGCTTGAATGTCCATAGAAAAACAATACCAATAAAATAGGATGCTTGGGTGAGCAGATGTCTACACTCATTTGGACATATGGTGTATGTTATGCCGAATATCCTGCCTACCTATTATGACCACACATGATGTACAGTACCATAATCAGCTCAGTTACCTGAAACTTTTTTGTGTGAACACAGACACACACACCCATTCATACACACACACACACACACACACACACACACACACACACACACACATACACACACACACACACACAGTTTACAATTTCAGCCTATATTATCAAAATAAGATGAGCAATCAATTACTTACTGCTCAGCAAAACTGGAATATAAGCAAGTAACCACAGAAAATCAAAAGAGAGATTTTCTGCACATCAGAATTGCTATTCATAATTATTTGACCCTGTTTGGCCATATAACATCAATGTCAGTACAACAACAAAGGGGGTAATTCACCTATTTTTTAGTTTGTTATTTAACGTAGCTAATGTTATCCATAAGCAGGACAAAGCGCTGGTATCAGCGTAACTAGATATTTGTGTCTATAACCTTCTTTCCAAAAAAGCTGGGAAGCTGTGCAAAGTGTAAATAAAAACAAAATGCAATGATGTGTGAATCAAGAGACAAGGCTGAAAACCAATATTGGATGGCTGCAATCTTTTGGCCCTCAGGCAGCACTGCATTAAAACCAGACACAATTCTGTAGGTAAAATCAGTGCATGAGCTCAGGAACACTTCCGAAAACCACTGTCTGTGAACACAATGTCACTGCCTCCACAAATGCAAGTTAAAACTCTAGTATGCAAAGACGAAAGCATAAACAAACAAGATCCAGAAACAATGCCGTCTTCTCTGGGCCCAAGCTAATTAAAGATGGACTGGGGCTAGCTGGAAAAGTTTCCTGTGGTTCAACAAATCATTTAAAATTCTTTTTGAAAATCACCACGTCCTCCAGGCTAAAGAGGAGAGGAACCATCTGGCTTGTTATCAGCACACAATTCAAAAGCCAGCATCCACAATGGTATGGGGGTGCATTAGTGCACATGTATTGGGTGACCTGCACATCTGTAAAAGTGCCATTAATACAAGAGTCCAGGTGCTAAGAGTCCACTGAAAACATTTGGCGCATTATGGAAAGAAAAATACGACAAAGGAAACCCTAAACTGTTGAGCAGCTAAAACTCTATGTCAGGCAAGAATGGAAAAACAGTTCACTTTCAAAACTACAACAATTTGTTTTTTAAAAAGAAATGACGCAACACAGTGGTAAACATGTCCCTGTCCCAACGTTTTTTAAATATATTGCTGGCATAAAATAAAAATGCACACATATTTAAATAACAAAAATAAACTCTCTCAGTTTCCACTTTTGATGTGTTGTCTTTGTACTATCTTCAATTAAATATATGGTTTAAACAAATTGCACATCAGGAGGTTTCTTTGTGGGTAATGCAGCTAAACAATAACGTTTCCCTGAACTTGTATTTGAGCATCTATTTTTCTTTAACAGACAACATAATGCCATAATAAGGTTTTTTTTTAGGGCCTCCCAGAATTTTGATTTTGAGACATTCAGGGGGTCCAAGAGGTTAAATAAGGTGTTCCGGACGCACCAGATCCCCCTGTATTTCGCACCTTGGTTTTAAGTGAAACTCAATTCAAATTTCAATTTTAGATTTAGCACTTGGTTTAAAAGCAGGTCATCTAACAAAACCTCAAGTGTTTCATACTTATAGCTACTTGCTATGAAGTAAATGAATTATCTTGAGCATGTGAGCTTGGTACCTGAAAATAGTTGCTTGGTTGGGGCAGAGATCTGGGCCTTCTTAGTGATGCGGTAGGCATGGTCAGGAGTGCCAGCACGACGAGAGGTACAAAAGCCCGGAACCTTCTGCACACCTTCAGGGAGTGAGGGCAGCTGCAGCACCCTCAAAACATCAACTGGATCTGTGGAGACAGACAATGCATTAACACATTTAATCTACTAAAACACCATAATTTGTCAGCCACAGCCTTTGCATGCAAAGCATTGCAAAGTATTTTTCATCAAAAACAAGTTGATTCAACAAAGATGTAGCCATATTCCATGAATCATATTGTACTTGCTATCACACTGTCTGTATACTTTGAATGAGGTTTTGAAATTCTGTAATACTCTTTATCTTCATTCCATATTTGTCTGTGGTGACAAATTCTCTAATGCTTCACTACAGTTATTACTAAACCACAATAAATAAAATATTGTGTTATTGCCATATTGAAAGAGTTGGGTCAATTTTCTACATAGTGGCAACTCTATGCATAGTGCAGGCCAAATCTGAAAGATACTAATTAAATAAATACCATGTGGGGTATCAAACATCACATCACATCTAAACCGCTTATCCTTTAGGGTCGCAGTGGGTTATCAAACATACACACACCAAAATCATTCAATTAAATGAAGGACAACTGACCACATTAAGGTATTTGTAAGAGAACACAACTTGGCTTCAAATAACACATTAGATTACATACTGTTTAGATTACAATATGATTCCATCTCTAACCCCCAATAAGACATGCTATTTCCCCCCAGAAAAAGGCATCAGAAAAAGAGAACTGTGGTTGTAAGAGCGTAATTGTACAGGAAATTTTGCAGAATTAAATTAACATCCATATTCAGTCATAAAAAACAATGTTATTAAAAGTTTGTGGTGTACAAAATGGTAGTAGATGACTTTAAACAACAGTCCTTTTAGTACTATACATTACTTTTGAGCTAATTTCAAGTCTTATTAACCTACATCAACATCATTAGACCATAAAAGGTAGGTTTCCTTGTCTTCTCTGTCTAGAGTGCCACTGTGTACTGTGTACTGGGCCTGCGTGGTTGTGTGGTGCAATGAGTCACTGTGGCAGCAAAAAACCCATCTTGGCACTAAAAAGGTGGATATACTGACCAAATGGTTAGTGCACTAAAAAAGATTCAGTTTATACAGACTCCCCACAATTACTGTATACACCCTATGATGTAAACTACTGTAAATGCCTTAAATTCAAACATACAATGAAAAATGTACAAGATGATTAAGTCCCTCAAAAGGCCAGGAACCACCTACAAGTTGTAATATTAAGAAACTCAGTAAAAAAAAAAACTTACTTAGATCTATCTAGTGCAATTCTTTCTGTGTAATAGTATTTTGGTGGATCAGATTGAGATACTATCTTATTTTGTCTTTCTTAAAATATTCAGGAGTATGATCCAGCAAGTGCCTGATATTAGGTAGCAAAGGTACTAGATAAACTCAAAGGGCTGCACCAATGTACTGAGATACTATTGCTAAAACAAAAAATAGAAATACCTAAATAAGTTGAGTTTACTTATTTACTTTTGTTGTTGTTGTTGTTTTTGAACTGGATTGAGTAAAAAGATGCTAATAGGCCTCTAAGGCAAAACAATTCTCTTGGTAGAAGAGTTTGTACTACATGTTTCCATTTTTAACTCATGTTGGAAACAACTTCTTGACCAAATACACTCTGAGACACAACTGGAAAAAGTATCAAAATCTATTTTTTAAAAAGAATAGGGAAGCAAAAATAACATACATGTACTATACCATTATGTGCTGAACCTCAAAGGCCCAAAGGACCTCAAAGGATGCCCAACTCTCTCTCAGAACATTACCACAAAACCACTTTGCCTGAATCGAGTTTTTCTGGCACAAAAATTATTTAAGAAAGTCCACTGTTCCACAAAGACCTGGTTAACATGAAGACGATGAACACTCTGGAGGTGGTTAAATGGATCTAGGTTGTGATTTGGCTCTAAAAATAGCCACAGACAAAATAAACATATATTTTTGGTTGGGTAATGCTTGTTTATGTAAGATTGTTTCGTGTAAGAGTGTTTCATACAAAAGTCATGCTGCAGTATAACTTACAGTGTCATAATATTTTTATTCTCCATATATTCAAAAACGTTACTACATGGGCAGATATAATTTAAGCTTAATAATATGGAATACATTAAGAGATTAAAAGAGCAAAGAGGTCTGAAGAAGTAACCTGCAGGCTCTTTTGTCTGTTTGGTAAAGTTATTAAGGCTTCTTGACACACCCACAATCTTGCAGTGGAATGGTCTAGGCTTTCCCTTTCAAACCTAAGGCACAATCACAGGATAAGTGAAGGTGAAGGCATGAGCTGGGCCACTTTGGTTGCCATAGGAGGGAGCATTTTGGATAGTTTCAGAGATACTACCTATTCCTTGGTGAATGTCTTAAACATGAGGTCAACGTCAAAGAATAGCGGTGAACAAATACAGCCTATTTAACCTAAAACTCTCTGCCTTCCAAGAGCTGTTTCAAGTATATAATCTTTCATTAATTTTCACACTATTTTTTCTGTCTAGCTTTCAGAATGATGACAGAAAAAATGCAACATCATTTTAGGGTGGGCCTTTGGGGAGAGGGACAAACAGCCCTTCCAATGAAAGCCACATGTACCGTCATTGGGAGAAAAGGCCTAGGAGCTCAACGTTCAACGACCACACAGTGAAGCATTCATTTTACCACGAAGGTAAAAAAAAAAAAGTATTAGGTTCACACTGACGTGCATAGTTACACAGACATAACTGAATAAAGCACACACACACACTGAGACACTACTGCTTTCACCCTCTTCAGTCTGACTGCCTTGTAATAAGCTATTAATTTATTCTGACTTTAAAATACACAAGGGTTCAGAACAGCAAATCTCTGAAATGTTTCCTCAGACTCACTCAGGGGAACATTTTCAGTGCAAATAAGCTGGTGCACTTCAGAAGCGGCGACAAACGATCATGTAAGTCTGTGGCTACCTTTACAATGAGCATACTGTGCACAGGTTTGCAATTACTAATCCTTTTCAGTATAGGTTAAATGAACACTTCTGATTAAAAATGGTTACTGTAAAAATTGCTGTGACATCATTAAGCTACAAATGCATAATCAGATCTACACTCACCACATTTAGCTAAGTCCAATTTCAAAACAAACAATGCATAAAACATTTGCATGGTGAAAAAGAAAATAAACAAAGAAACAAATAAACCAAAAAGCATAACGGAAAATAATTCTAAACAGAGAATAACTTTTACAGTTGGGAGTTGGTTGACATTATTACTTGTACCTTATAAGAAATGTTTTATATGTAAACATTTTGTGTTTTAGATGCTGCTTACAGACTAAGGCCCATTAAAATCCCAATTACACAAAATTACCTATATCATGCATTTATCCATACTCATATATCTATAGCGAATAATACAAACAGAACGCGCTTTTGGATAGATTGAATAAGTTCACAATGGAAAATTGTCAGGAAGTAGATTGTGACTTGTATAATAAGAGTGAGAAGGCAGTTGAAGCAGTTGAGAAGTAAGTTAGGGTAAAATAAAATGGTTGTAGTCATGCGAAGTTGTTTTGCGGTATGCTACATTTTTGTTGACTGGTATGTCAGAATTATCTGATATACCTGGATAGTAAAGTACACCGTCCTACCCCATATCCCCGCCTGGAATACTGCATTATCCGCGCGCAACGAAGCCTTCGTCTCAGTCGTTTAATTGTAAAACAACTCAGTTGTCCATAAAGGCCATGGTGTCTATAAGTAAAAAAGTATCTTTTTGAAGGCAACCCTTTTGAAATATGTTATTAAACGTGTGCAATTCTCTGTAATGTTTGTTACAATGAATGCGCAAAGAGAGAAACGCGTGCGCACACGTGGTTACATCTTTAGGTGTTTGTGGCAAGTAGATGTTTCGTTGGATCGTGTCTAAGATATTTTGAACAATCGTCTTAATGCACTGTTAGAAAAGATTTAACTTACCTGCTCGAGCCTGTGGGACCTGGCACAGGACGAGCGTAACAGTCACCAGAAGCAAGGAGCTGAGTTCCAGGCGCCACGGTCTTCGCTTCTTCCGAATATCCATAGTGTCCAAATTTGACCGTTTGGTAAAACTACAAAGCAGAACAGTATCTAATTAGATTGAGGTCTGACACAGGCAGTCAGTCGAGACGAGTGCAATCGACTGAGCTTTCTGTGCGGCAAAAAGAAAACGGTGCGCGCTAAGAGACTTATTTTAACGCACACTCACCTTGACAATAAATTATCTATTTTCATACAGAATTTAAATAGTAACAGGAATAGTAACAGGAATGGGTAATAAATATTTTAGTTCTTCAGCTTAAATCCCTGACGCTAAAGCCCCATTGAGTCAGAGGAGTGAGCAGGAGTCCCGAAAGCGGAGAGAGCAGAGAGAGACTTGGAATCTCTCTCTCTCTCTCTCTCTCTCTCTCTCTCTCTCTCTCTCTCTCTCACACACACACACACACACACACACTTTTTCACTGCCTGTGTCTCTCTCTCTTACTTTCTCCTTCGACAAGCGAGTGAGCGTGTGTGTAGAGAGAGGGAGAGAGCGAATGAGAGGAGAAAGCAAGGGCGGGGGTATGTGCGTAACCACGCTTGCAGTAGTCCGCGCATTAGGTAGGTTACGTGAGCAAAATGTGAGAAAGACGTGCTAGTGTAAGATGTAGCGCAACGATGATCCCAATACTCTGATTTTTCAGTATGGTCTGTTACGGGACGGGAAATGTAATCAGTTATTAACTTCCTCCTCGATCAGCTGCACTTGTGAAAAAGTACACCCAAAAGTGCACACTGCATAAATAATTAGGGTTAGCAGCTGGACTCCTTAGGCTTGATTTGTCATCATCTTTGATCCAGTCTGTAAAGCATTACCTATGGTCTCATTTCGGAAGGTAACTAAATTCTTCCAAGCTGTCATTATCACAAAGAAGTAAGAAATATAATAGTAATTATATATGTTGTTAACTCTTTCAGAAATGCAAAATTTTGTTTCCTTTGTATGACTATGTAGAATTAGTCCTAAATCACATTTTCAGAAACTTAGTCAAGATGATCAAATGGCACATGAGACAACACAGGGATGGTCTAGCTTACATGCCTTTTAAATGAGTATGTATTTTTTGTTTGTGACTCCTCATCCACAGTGTTACCCATCATTTACTTGTTTTTCCTTTCTGGATACCAGTGCCGATTTACTTACTGATGTCTGTGAGTTCAAACAGCCCTGAAACATAACTTGCATTTAAGATTCTTTCTTTAAATGTAGTGACAGGCAGCATACTCTAATTAAGTATAATAATCATCATTTCTGGTTATTGCCCTTTTACTTATTTTCACTCCCTATCATTTCACTGTCTTTGAATTGGAAAAAAATGCTTTGTGTTCTCTGCCCATTCTCTCTCACTCCCTCTGTCAGTCTGACCTCTTATACGCATGCAATAGCCTGCAATTTACAGAGTGATGAAGGTTTATTTGTTTGATTTTTCTTTTTTACCATCATTTTTCAGTTTCAATAATGTGTTTTCTGGCTTTTAAACTATTATTCAGTGTGTCCATGTGCACATGGTACAACAACCAAAAGAAAACCTTCATAAGCAAATGAATGTCACACCAATTATAGTCACAATCACGTTTTCTTGCAACAACATTTGAAACTGACTGTGGCATATTTATACTGATTATAGAGTTTATTGGCAATTTACACTATAGCTTGAGCTTATAGCACTACGCCTGTGAGCTGGCTCCAAGACATGATACTGAAAAGTCCTTATTCTATAATTTCTTAACTATTGGCTTTTACTTGTACATCAGAGGTGACAAATTGAAAGTGCCTTGTTTTCCACCTCACAGAATACAGAGACTGGAAATTTTTAAACGTTCTTTGTAAGTTTTTGTTGCTCCCAGCAGATGCACTCTAGTCCGCATTGTTTTTCCGAAATTGAAACACTGTAATTATGCCCTGAGTGGAACCTGCAGTAGAGTCCTAGACACAGATATTCAGAAATGAATGAGATTTAAAAAGGGGGTAGAGGCAGGTTAAGAGAGTGGGTGTGAAAAGAGAGGTGTGATCAACCTAGTGAAAAGATTTCTGTGGGAAACAAAATGTGACAACAGTGAAACAACATTAAGACTGTCAAACCTTATTCCAGTGGGTAGGCTATTAGCCCTGCTGTTCAAATCCCAGGAGTGGAAATGTGTTGTCCTTTATATTTGGCAATAATGTAATATGACACACATCAGCTGCAGAAGTTTAGACACATACATGCTAAGTCATTCCACAACTGGTTTAAAGTATATACTCTTCATTTCAACATTATCTAATATGAAAACAGAACACCCAAAACATACATTTTCCATGTTCTTTTTACATGTTTTTTTAGTACATGTACAAACCCTGTTTGTTAAATTATTCTGGTCAAAAAGACTGTGAAGACCAACTTTGTCTAGGAAATCCTCGAAATCTTTCAGTCATGTGTTTTCAAGGTCATCAGCCACATGTCACTGCACCCATGTCTTTTAAATTAAATTAAAAGAGCTGAGCTAATTTGGTCATAGGAAATTTAGGGTTTGGAAATGAGCCAAAGGCTCTGTGGTTATGTATAGTTTCTGTCAGCTACTCATATTAACAACTATTCTGGCACAGCAGAGTGTGAGCAAATCAGATTTTGTAATGCCTATCTACACATTTCATGATTTTGTTAGGGGGTTAGACATATCAGGTGGGGTATATGAATGAAAAGACAAATATGCCCTGTAGACAGATACAGCAAGTGCTTGTGGCTAGCCAGCCCTTTTAAAAATAGGACCTTGTAATTACAATAAAGCAAGCAGATTATATTGTAGACTTCCTTGAAGACTCTGTATTTTACTGGGCTGGGTTGCAAACCACACACACACCCTAGCCCGCTACAACATACCAAAATAGATCACAGAAGGGGGAGGAAATGGATTGGGTGTGTGAATATTTGTGTGTGAGTGTGTGGAAGTTAAATGGTTTGCTACAAGGCTCCTGCAAACCCATAGAAAGAATAAGGCTGCTTATGTGTCCATGAGTTTCAAACACAGTAGCCCCAGTCAGTGGTAACTCTGGTATATGAACATAAAGATTTTGAGTGTTAAAAAGAATGGGTCAGTCATTTTGGATATGGGCTTTATATACACCTAACTAACCACATATTGAAAAAGTAGAAATGAGAGAGTGAGTCAGAGGATTAGATTAAAGTCAGATTGTGTAAAATACAGCTACTTTATAAAATAAAAAAAAAATATTCTATGTAACACTTTAGTATCTGCTACAGATTATTACACTACAAAAACTTGCATGTGATTCAGTGTGGCAGTGTAGAGGATGGTCAGGCACAACCTCCTTTGAGCCCCATTTGGCAGAAAAATTTCCTAATTTTAACTTTTTCTGCCTACTACTCTCAACCAATCACAAGGGCATAAAAAAGGATAGAACAAACAGGACAAGGAAAAAGGGCATAAACATGGATAGGACAAACAGGAAAAGGAATGGTCGGTATGCAGCGGGTTAGGTGGGCAATACTTTGCAATGAACATGACAAAAAGGTATTTATACAGAGACATGCAACAAGGAACAGGTATAAACATTTCAGTTGTCAGCTGACGTGGATCTAGGAAGCTGTCCATGGTGAGAGTGTTCAAAGCATCAAGGGAACAATAGTGCGTGGAGTCGACCAAGGCAGGGGGAAACCCGGAACTGCGTCATTCAGTTATTTCATATTAGTAGTACTGGTTGCTAGAGTAGTATTAGCTTATGTTTTTTGAACTGTTTATGATTTGCTTCTATTATTGTTATTATGATTTTTCATTAGCCAACTTATATTGGCCAGCTAGTTAGCCTACTAAAAGATGAGAGGACTGATTTTTATGTTGTAAATTACTTTGCTATTTCTGACCCCTGAATAAATAAATAATCCATTTGAATTCACTAACTGTCTATGCATTTAACACTTCAATCAGCAACCAAACATCTACACTGATTTATATAATGTAGCCCAGCCAGACAATATACTGTGTGATGTAAAGTGTGCAAAAGTGTTGTTGTTCTTGTTGTTTTTGTTCTTATCAACTATGCTTGCCTGTTAAGTTAGCAGTGTAACTAGATACCTTTGGTAAATTTGAGAAAAAAGGCTATGAGAAAATGTTTTGTTAGCAGAGTGATATTAAACTGTAGCTGTGAGAAGAGTCTAACCTTTCAGGGAGGTAAAATTGTTCAAAGACAGTTGTTATGTTTCTCTCAAAAAACATATGTGCCACCTTTGGTGTTTTAGTCTCATCTCACTATATAACCCTGCTCAAATCAAAGTCCGAATGATGTTTCAGTTTGCTGACATAGAGATAGCATCTAAATGTATTTTCACAACCAAATCCTATAACTGTCCTACTGCAATCCCTGGAATATTTTGTGCCTCTCAAACCATCCTCCTCAATGCACAGGGGGCCAAAACCACTTATCTCCTCTTTCAGGCAGGTTAATCACAATTTCAGGTGCTTGAAGACATTTAATTATTGCCCTCATTGCCACATCTGTAATCATTACCACACCTATTGGTAGTTCTCTTTTACATGAACTAGTGATGCAGTAACATACACCTAACCAAAAAACAACTAAGCAGCAAAGTGTCCAATTACTTTTTGTTCTCTAAAAACACACTTTTTGTACATCCTTAGAACTAAAGCTGTCCATGTTTTGGGCAGGCCACATTTGTGTTTCTGTTTGTGTCTATATTAGTTGTTAATAGTATACTTAATTTCCAAGCAATAGTGTCACTCTAACTTGATTTTCCAAACAAGCTATTCTCCTGAGAAAGTTGGACTTATATAGATATAAATTAAATAAATCATATCAATAAGCAAGGCTCAAATTGAAATGAGCCTCATAACGATATTCTCCATATTACCTGTTACTGCATATAATAGTATTTATAAGGGCTGGTCTAGAAATTAATTTTATACATGCATTTGTCACTGCTTGTGAGGACTGAACAAGTTATTGTTTAATGTGTAGTCTGTATATTCAAATAATGGTTTTGCCAAGACTTGCACCAGTAAATTGACATAAACCATTGAAAATAAAGAAGAATAAGGACACCAGGGATACGAAGAACAGTTTATCATTTCCACTGCAGAGACATTGTGGTACACTGCTAATACAGTTAATACAACAGTTGCTTTATGTGAATTTGAACTGCACATTCAACTGCAGAAGTCATGTGTGTACCTTAATAGTGTGGAATGTTTATAAATGTCTTTTTTGTTTTATTCCAGGTTTTCTAGCAAGTTAAATACACCTGGTTCAGCTGTGGGTTTTAGATCATTTAGCACAGTTGAAAACTATTAAACTAATAGTTCTTTAATCACCCTGTAATAGTCACCTCTAAACAATGTACCACAGAGGTATTTGAAATCCGAAAACATCATATCATATTGTGAGTATGCCATGTGTTCATGGAGCGTATATAACAGTT